GTAAAGAGGGGGGTGGGACAAATGTGACCTTTTTTTTGCGCACCTGGACATTTGCGCACCTTTTTTTTTTGCTGGAAAAGGCCTTAGGCAAGGCCGTAGAGCTTCGAAAATATTTCCATATAAGGGAATCGTCTGCGTAGATTCCGAATTTCGACAACTGCGGAAAAGCGTTAAGTTGCGTAGTTTTTGCCTTTTAGCCCAAATTTGACGTGTCAGCGAGGTCTGATTTGTCGAAATTCGGAATCTACGCATACGATTCCCTTATATGAAAACATTTTTGAAGCTCTACGACCTTTCCTAAGGCCTTTTCCAGCAAAAAAAAAGGTGCGCAAATGTCCAGGTGCGCAAAAAAAAAGGTCGCATTTGTCCCACCCCTGGTAAAGAGTATCATCGCGTACTCCTGCGTAGCAGCCCTTTTTAAAATTTCTTTTCTGCATAAAAGCTTTCAATCAAGTGCTATAGAGCTGGAAAATGACTCAAAGCTAACAGATTTTTGAGTCATTTTCCAGCCCTATAGCACTTGATTGAAAGCTTTTATGCAGAAAAGAAATTTTAAAAAGGGCTGCTACGCAGGAGTACGTGATGATACTCTTTACCCGGTCTTCTATTCGAAGAAATACGGTATTTCCAATACTATCAACTTTTAAGACTACGCGGAGGGATACACTCAAATTTTAATTCCTTTTTTTTTAAAAATCTTTAAATTTTATAATCAAAGCATATCTCATAATCTTTAAGAATGGTAAATTAAAACAGTACAGCCTTTTTTTTAAACCAGCAACATTACCGTATTACCGAGGCTGTAGTGGTATTTACTTTTAGTGGTGAACAATCGGTAATTATAGATAAATTCGTTCCCAGAAGCCGTTTTTTTCAACTGAAAGCATAGTAAACTCGTCAGAGCAAAGGAAATTGGAAAGCTGCAAAGCAAAAAGTTTCAAGTTTTCTACATTCGGTAAGAATGGAAATGAGAGGAAATTAAAAAGCGAACATTTTCAAAGGAAGGAGTTCGAAAAGTGCTTTTCCTTCTTTCGCTGACACAAAGGTTAATGCATAATTCAAAAGAAAGGAAAGAAAATCTCCAAGAGAAACAATAAAAATGAGAAGAATATAAAGAAATTGGATAAAGAAAAAGTAGAAAAGATGCTCGTTGAACTTTAGAAATGAGGTGAGTGGATGATGATGGGGGAGGAAGGGAGGAAGGGGGAGGAAGGGGGAGGAAGGGAAGGGAGGGGAGGAAGGGGAGGAAGAGGAGGAAGAGGAGGAAGGGGAGGAAGGGAAGGGAGGGGAGGGGAGGAAGGGGAGGAAGAGGAGGAAGAGGAGGAAGGGGAGGAACGGAAGGGGGGGGAGGGGGAGGAAGGGGAGGAAGAGGAGGAAGAGGAGGAAGGGGAGGACGGAAGGGGGGGGAGGGAGGAAGGGGAGGAAGAGGAGGAAGAGGAGGAAGGGGAGGAACGGAAGGGAGGGGAGGGGAGGAAGGGGAGGAAGGGGAGGAAGGGAAGGGAGGGGAGGAAGGGGGAGGAGGAGGAGGAAGAGGAGGAAGGGGAGGAAGGGGAAGGGAGGGGAGGGGGAGGAAGGGGAGGAAGAGGAGGAAGAGGAGGAAGGGGGAGGAACGGAAGGGAGGGGAGGGGAGGAAGGGGAGGAAGAGGAGGAAGAGGAGGAAGGGGAGGAACGGGAAGGGAGGGGAGGGGAGGAAGGGGAGGGAAGAGGAGGGAAGAGGAGGAAGGGGGAGGAACGGAAGGGAGGGGAGGGGGAGGAAGGGGAGGAAGGGGGAGGAAGGGAAGGGGAGGGGAGGAAGGGGAGGAAGAGGAGGAAGAGGAGGAAGGGGGAGGAAGGGAAGGGGGGGGAGGGGAGGAAGGGGAGGGAAGAGGAGGAAGAGGAGGAAGGGGGGGAACGGAAGGGAGGGGGGGGAGGAAGGGGGGGAAGAGGAGGAAGAGGAGGAAGGGGAGGAACGGAAGGGAGGGGGGGGAGGAAGGGGGAGGAAGAGGAGGAAGAGGAGGAAGGGGAGGACGGAAGGGAGGGGAGGGGAGGAAGGGGAGGAAGGGGAGGAAGGGAAGGGAGGGGAGGAAGGGGAGGAAGAGGGAGGAAGAGGAGGAAGGGGAGGAAGGGAAGGGAGGGGAGGGGAGGAAGGGGGAGGAAGGGGAGGAAGAGGAGGAAGAGGAGGAAGGGGAGGAACGGAAGGGAGGGGAGGGGAGGAAGGGGGAGGAAGAGGGAGGAAGAGGAGGAAGGGGGGGAACGGAAGGGAGGGGGAGGGGAGGAAGGGGAGGAAGGGGGAGGAAGGGAAGGGAGGGGAGGAAGGGGGAGGAAGAGGAGGAAGAGGAGGAAGGGGGAGGAAGGGGAGGACGGAAGGGAGGGGAGGGGAGGAAGGGGAGGAAGAGGAGGAAGAGGAGGAAGGGGAGGAACGGAAGGGAGGGGAGGGGAGGAAGGGGGAGGAAGAGGAGGAAGAGGAGGAAGGGGAGGAAGAGGGGGGAGGGGAGGAAGGGGAGGAAGGGGAGGAAGGGAAGGGAGGGGAGGAAGGGGAGGAAGAGGAGGAAGAGGAGGAAGGGGAGGAAGGGAAGGGGAGGGGAGGGGGAGGAAGGGGAGGAAGAGGAGGAAGAGGGAGGAAGGGGAGGAACGGAAGGGAGGGGAGGGGAGGAAGGGGAGGAAGGGGAGGAAGAGGAGGAAGAGGAGGAAGGGGAGGAAGGGAGGGGAGGAAGGGGAGGAAGGGGAGGAAGAGGAGGAAGAGGAGGAAGGGGACGAAAGGGAGGAAGGGAGGAAGGGGGCGAATAAATGATCCCCTTCAGCCACACTCGACTCATCCATTCACACAGCTGAGACCTCCAACAAATAGATTTGATTGAAAAGTTTTCAAGTAAATGAGTTTTCTTTCTATTTTAAATTCTTACTATTTTAGCGGTTAGTTTTAGTTTTCTTTCTATTGTATTATAATTTTTTTTCTATTAAAATCAAAATCGCCTTTAGAATTGGTGGTTTGAAAAGAAGAAAACGATGATTTAAACTTATCGTTTCAAAAGCTGAAACTTATCGTTTTAAGCCGAAATTCCAGTGCTACGGCTAACTAACTTTTTCCGTGCTACACTTTCCGAATTCAGTTTCGAATCCGATTCAAAATTCCGAACGCATAGTTGCTCTTTTTTTTCTGTTCAAACTTCCTAATGCCTTTTAGAATCAGGAACACAACAAAATCAAATTTCAAAAGCATTCAATTAAAAAAGTGAATGCATTCACCTTTTCAGCACAGAATCAGCACAATTTTCCGCATCTAAAAAAGGTACTCCCAGAAAAATCCGATAGAAAACGCATTTTCGCGCCGATGTGTGAATGTATCATTTAAATGAAAATTGAAACGAATTGAAAGCACTTAAAGCTGTTTCTTAAATCCAAAGAAATCCTTAAAAAGTTCACGAAATTTTTCAGTGATCACATGGTTGCTCATTTCTTTTTCGAGCAAGTTGAAATTGGGTCTCTAGAGTTCGCGACGGGTTTATGTAAGGTGAAACGATTGGAAGGAAAAGGGGAATGACTCTATTTGGGGCTGAATGGATTCAACAAAAAAAAAGACGGAGGAGAACTAAATTCGAAATTTTGTGTGGAAAAGAGGCAACGACGACAAAGAAGACTTGCGGAGATCGAATTTTGTTTTTGGAGTCGCACACACATATCTGAGAAAAAAGAAAAAAATTCTTCCCAATGATCCTCAAATTCCCTAAACATCATATCAAAATTCAGAAAGGTTCTTGAATAATCGCTTTTTTTCTTTTTTCTTTACCCCTAAAAAGTCATTTGATCTCTTCGCGCGCACAAATTTTAGATTGCTCTTATTAGAAAAAGATCGAATTTCAGAAAGCGTTCACTACAATATTTCTCTCGAAAATCACCAAAAAAAAAATGCCCCAATTTGTTCTACAAAACTCAATGTAGTTGCAGAAGATATAGAAGTTTTGCCCAACAATGAGATTGCTTGACCTTTGATTGTATTAAACGAGTCAAGTTCAATCTTTTTCTAGAATTCTAGGCTTCGATGTCAAAATTCGTTTCAATAAAAGAGTCAAAAGGAGTTTGCATCGCGGAATGGCGAAAAAATTCTTTAAAAATAGTTGCCTTTCCAAGAAAATAGATGTCGTGAGATGAGGAGAGGAAAAAGGAGGGAACAAATTGCCGATTTTCCTATATAAAAGATGAAAAGAAAAGAGGAGAACGGGGAAAAAGAGATCATTTATGAGAAGACCTTCTTGCGTATGAAAGGGACGGAGGATCGGTTAAGTGGAGACTTCGAGGAGGAATTCTCAAATGGACATCCATCCGAAGAATGCCTTCAAGAGGGGAGAACCACTTATAAAGGAATGCTCTAAATGGAGACGAGAAACGACCCTTCAAAAATTTGTTTGTAAATGAATGGCGTAGGGGGAAAGCTTACCCTCTTCCACCCAAAAAAGCACTCATAAGCCCTCCATTTGCCTCAACAAATGTGCTCATTTTTGTAAACGATCTCCGATTTTAAAAAGACGCTTCTCTCATTTACGCAAGCTATTTTAAGTGTTTCAATAGTTATTTGTGTTACGTATTCGGAAACAATTATTTACGCGGTGCTACGCAGTTACCATTTTTTAAAAGCAAAAGCCGGAGTGATCAACAATCACAAAATCTTTACATTTCCGTTCATTTTACCTATTTTCATTGTTCTTGTAAAGCGAAATGTAAAATTTAACTATTTAACTATGAAAAAATAACAATAATGTTTAACAATTAGCGATGTGTAAGCAAAAGATAACATAAACAACTAACGAAGACCCATAACAGAAAATTTAAGTGAGGATCAACTTTACAAGATGCAGACTGAGCCAAACAACGTATTTTTAAAATTTGTCATAAAAAGTTGCTATTGCAAAGTAAATCTTCAAATATCACAATAGAACACCGGTTAACTGTAAAAACCTAGTCATTCATGCGAAATCTAAGTAAAATAATTGTCTAACAAGATTTCAATCGTTTAAAATCATCTAATGTGGACGTTTGTTTTTCAGGACCCCTTTGAGCTCGTTTATCATCTTTCGGCCTTCACCTTGGAGAGTTTCGAGCTCAGCTTTGTATTCGCTTGAAGAACGAAGAGCTAAAATATTTGAGAATTTATTACAGCTTTTAAAGATTATAAATACTACAGCAAGATGCTCACGCTTTTTATAAATATTTGGAATTGGTTGCTCATCGTCCTCCTTTTTCATATATACATCGAAGCCCTTTGAAGATTGCCTCATTTCTTTCCAATTGACACTAGCTGTCATATGATGTTGAATTTCACCTAAAACAAAATATCATACCTCATTAAAATTTCAACTGACCAAAGTAATACAGCGCATTTTGCCCTCGTTCGGCGTTCATTCGAGCTCTTTGTGCGGGATTGAAACCGAACAGACCGCTTGATTCAGGAACATCCTCGTTGTGAATCTCTATACCAAGCACCCCCTAAATGTTCAGAAATAAGTTCAGAAAGAATCAGAATGCTGCGCTTACAAAAAGGTACTATCTATACAAACGTAATCTACCTCAGCAGTTGTTCCAGCGGCTGTAGACGTGATGTCAATTTTCTGACCATCAACTTTGAAGTAAACTCTTCCCTTCCGAGTAATGGACATTGTGCCAATTTCTTTACCCTAAGCTTTAAAAATATTTAGTTAACAGGTCCTCCTCACTCTAGGTAGAGAGGCCGGTTCCGCTATGACGGGTGAATCAACAGTAGATGGTCCAGCAACAATTTCGGAAGCCGACTGAGCAATATCCAATTCCTATAAAAATCCAAAATCTCGGGAACATAGAAAGCCCACATTAGCAAAACACAGTACCTGCTTCACAACCGCTTCACCAGCTTTGACGCGAGATGACAAATCGCCAAGTATGGTAGGTAACTGTATTAGAATGAAGTCATTGTTTTCACCGACTAAAAACTTTTGTACTTAAAAATAACCAAAGCAACCAGAAACCTTGTGCTAAACGTCGCAAGACCTGAGCTGCTTTCTGACCATATGTGAAGGTTGGATCTGAATCATCGTCGTCTATCTCCACTTGATCTTGGTAGCTTTTAGTTCTATAAACAGAAAGGATAATCAACAACCTCAAAGTCTTACTGTCGTATTCGTTCTTTCTCTCGTTCTTTCATTATCTCCTCAACTTTTTCCCCATCCGTAAAAACTTCTTCTTTTATTTGTTTCGGCAAAAGATCGAAAAACTAAAATAAACAAAATTATTTTAAATGCTTCCCTAATTTACCTGGAGCTCTTCGTGCCTTGGCAATACTACTGGTGGTATCCTGCCCTTTTTGAGGTCCGCGATTATCTGAAGTAAATCGTACAGGATTTTTAATAAGTAACCTACACTGGCACCCATAATCTCGTTCATTTCCGTATCTTCTTCCGCTTGATCAATTGCCCAAAATTGGTCATAACTAAGATGCACTTTATTAGTAAATAACATAAAACTCAACCTCTCAATCGAGACTTTTTCAGTTCCACTTGGTGGTAAAACAGCTTCCGATTGAGCTAATGCTACGGCCTCTTCTTTTATAGTTAGAGAACCTTAAAAAACGTAAATGAATAAATCAGTTCGCTTAAATTTCATACCCGGCTCACTTCTTCTTGATCCTTTTTCTAGCGTGCCAATTCCTCCTGAGAATATTCCCTCCGAGTGAATGATCTGTTGTCCTTTGTATGAACCGTCATCTCTTCCTCCTCGTCCACCGCGCATAAATCCTCTCGCTCCACGTCTGCGAGAACCAGGACCATGGCCAGGCAAGCTAAAGTTCAAAGTTAGATCATTAAAAATATATTAAATTACCCAGCATGCGTTCCATTCTGCTCCGTTTTACTCTCTAATTTGCCTGCCATTGAGAGGTTTGGCATCTTCATCTTTGATGCGCCTGCGCTTCCTCGGCCACGTCCGCGTCCCGTCATTCCTAAAATTTATTATACAACTATTCATTTAGCCAGAAGTAAACGTTCAAAAAAGAAAGGAGAAGAATTCTATAATCACAAAACAAAAATCCTATTTCTCGAAGTACACGATTAGGTTAATATTGAAATCCGGGTTTTTTGTCGTATCCATATTCAGCATACCATTCCTTTTGCCACCATTTCTCTGGCTAAATTTGGATCACATTAGAAATGAATAATATTAAATCAAAGCTGTCCAGAAAGTTTAAACATTACTATTTATTTTAATATGAACGAATTCACCTCAGGAATGAAAAACTCGGGTTTATCGTAGCCCAAATCCTCGGGTGTCGAGATGCCGAGCTCATCGAGCACTGGTTTCACCTCCTTGATAATGTATCCGTAGACGAGCTCGCGGTTCTTTTGGCTTCCACACTTGAACTTGATGGCTTCAAGGAATCTAACACACAAAGCATAGTCATTCACACGTCGGCAGGCGCGAAGGGCAGCTTCTACCACCTTTGGATCAGGGATCACGTCAAAATCGTGAAGCTCGGTCAACGCCTTGCGCACCTCCCAACCGTCGATCTCTGGCCGATTCAAATAGGTGATGAAGTGCGTGTCAAACTTCTCCGGGCTCCATTTCTCCCTAAATAAAATGGATGAAATAAAGGAAAACAAAATTACATGATATCATCATGGCCACGAAGAGCCGACGTGGTTGAGAGAGCTCTGAAGCCTTTCGTGATCACACCACGAAACAACACGGGGAGCGCCATTTTCCGAACCGACTCCTAGAAACAACACGCCATTTTTACTAAAATAAGTCTAACAACCAATGCAGAAAATAAAGTAAAAAAAATTAATCGTATTCATAACGAGTAATATTTTCTAAACAATTAATTCGAAACTTTATTGAAAATCAACAACCGACTCAAAAAGTACATAACAAAATGAAAATTTCAACAATTTTTCACGGCATTAACAAATGATTCAAAGCGTTCATAGTCCATGATCACAACGCGACGATATGGTCGAAAAGTTTTCCCATTCCGAACCTGTATGCCAAATTTGCTTCCAACGTCAACCTCACCCTGCACGTTGTAATCAAAAAACACTGCTTTGCCATCTTGAAGCTCAAGCAAAAGTTTATCCTCAAAATTATCATACTCTGCATCAGCTGATTTTAAAGCTTCAATCATTCGTCTCTTCTTTTCAGCTTTTCCAAGCTTGCGCTTTGAGGGAACCGACTCCATTGGTTCTGAGTCAGTCATTCGAATCTTGTGAATGTAAATGATCTTCTCAGGTTTCTTTTCCATCGTCTTGACATCTTCATGAAAAGCTTTGAAGCTTGGAGCCGCAATTTCTCCGGGGAACTTCAGCATACGTTCGTTAATCAACCACGAACAAGAGCCATTCAATGCGTTTTCTAGTTCTTTTGTTGTTTCTTTGCCAGCATGCTTTTTGGCTCGGGTAACCAAGAATTTGGCAATTTCCGACGACGGACTTTCGGAGCTGTCGATTGGCAACAAGGATAGTAGACCATAGACAACATTTGTCGTTTCTTCGTCGGAGCTTGATTCAGCTGGTCCAATTACTGATCCGAAAGGACTTTGCTCGATCAATGCTTTGGCAATCTTGCGAAGATCCAAATCAGCATTTAAGAAAATTTGCGTCAACATGTTTGCAACTCCATCAACATCGTCTTCTTCCATTGGAAAAGCCTCAAATTCGAAGTCAAGAATCTCTCCATCTCCGTCTTCTTGTAAAAAATCCTCTTCCTCTTCCTCGTCAATGCTTTCATCATCCGACGGATTCTCTTCTTCGGGTCTGTCCTCTACCTTTTCGGCGCTCTTGACATGTTCCTTTTTGTTGTGGATTTTGGAAGTCGTTGGAACGTCGTCGGAAATCTTTTTCTTCAGTTTCTTCTTTGATGGCCCTGCGTCGTTATCGGTTGATCTCCCATTGAAACTTGCCGCAACAACCTTTTCGTTCGTTCCTTGCTTTCTCTTTTTCGCCATTCCCTAAGAATAAGATCATTATTTAAAGTCTAAAATACACAATTCAAATAAGTACTCATGATAAAAACTTCGGGATGTCTGCCGATGTTTAAGGAAAAGTATTTATTTCAAAAACCAACAATCAAATCAACAAAAAAACATAACAAGCTGCACCGGTATTTGTCTATGATCTCCAATACAAAAAAATAAGGCGACTATTTTAAGTGAACAGGAGAATAATTTACAAAACAGCGAAAATCATTACTCAAGTTATTGGCGTGTTGTGGAATAAAGGTGATTGGGCGGCAATGTAACAATCGATCAATCTAAAAAATGTTCTTTGAAAATTTATAAATGTTAATAAGTTAATTTTTAAAAACAAACCATGTCAGACATCACTGCTCCCGTGCAAAACAGTATCTTTGACCCCTCTTTTCCCAGCCATCTCACCGTCTGGCACGTTTTCACCAAGCATTCATCCGATAAAAAGGGGGGATCGGCGATGACTAAAATTTAAAATAGAATTCCTTTGTCAGCTAATAAATGATAGAACTTACCTAAATCAAATATTCCTTTAAACTCTTCTGGGAGCGCAAGTGGTTGGTTATAATCGAATGGAACATACTCATCGGGATATTTTATCCTGAAGCGGTCGTCATATTCGAATAATCGTAGCCACAGTTTTTTATCTTTCGCCGCCTAAAAATTTTAAATTTAAGATTTTTTAAGGTTTACCTCAAATTCGAGAAAATATTGCATAAGTGTTGGAGCAGAAACTATGGCAACTCGTCCGCCCTCTAGTTCAACAGCGTCCACAACCTCATGACATAACGATCGAGCAGTTTCGGGTGTATACCAAAATTGGGATAACTAAACAAGAAAATTGGTATTTCAAAATTTTCAAACTAAACCTGCCAATTTTCGGAGACATCACCCGTTCCTAGGCGTTCTTCTTCCTCTTTTTGTCGTTGTTCTGCTTGGAATTGCTTGAGAACGGCTAGCGTGTCGTCGGAGAGTTTCGGTACATCATCGGCCTCATCGTCGAGCATCTAAAATCATGCATTAGAAAAAGTAAAACAATCGCTAAACAAAAAGTTAAAAAGATATAGTTCTCTCAATTATTCCGAAATGTAAACACATACTGCATGGCAGCCCTTTTCAAAAATTTGTAAGACGATACTTTTAGAAGGGCTGTCACGCATTAAGTAAATTAGTTTCCCGGAATCCCGAAGAATTGCTCCACACAAAATTCCCATCAGTGTGAGGAAAAATGGATAAATGTGGGAAACTATGAAGGGCGTAATGTAAAGGTGTCTATAGGAGCGTCTAGTTCGTCAACCCTGTATGCTAGCTTTTCAAAAATCAAATCATTTCCGTAAATAGCCATCACACCTTTTCTCTTGTTTACTTTGTGTCTATTTCATTTTCTCGTTAAATTTTTTAATGTTTGTATTCTTTAGAGAACTATGTCGTTGGCCACAAAATTACGCCGTCATCGCAAGCAACCACCCGAGGGATGGGATTTGATTGAGCCCACTTTGGAGGTGAGCCTAGTTTCTGTTATTAACTTTGATCATTTTACCTTTTTGATTATAAAACGAAGTTTTCAGGAATTTGAAACAAAAATGCGTGAAGCTGAAACCGACCCCCATGAGGGCAAAAGGAAGACCGAGGCTCTTTGGCCAATTTTTCGAGTAAGTTTCGTTAATGTGGTGTTTTTTGTGTGGCTATATGAGAGCAGTTAGCAAGCCATCAAAAAAGGAAGCTTTATAGGCAACTGCAATCTAAGCACGACCATTTTTTCAAATTACAAAGTAAAAAGGGTTGCCTTGATGAAATTCGAAATATGATAGCTAACTAATAGAATCATGGAATGAAGTCTCACTACAGCAACAAACTGTGTCACCACTATTTGTGTTTGTTTTTAGATTCACCACCAACGCAGTCGCTACATCTACGATCTCTACTACAAACGCGAAGCAATCAGCAAAGAGTTGTACCAGTTTTGCCTTGATGCCAAGATTGCTGATCATCAACTGATGGCCAAATGGAAGAAACAAGGATTTGAGAATCTATGTTGTTTGAGGTAAACTTTTGAGCCTATGTTCTGGGTATTATTATAATGGTAAAATGATAGATTACTACCTAATTAAATTGCGACAATAGACAAAAATATTTATCATAAAGCTGTTTTCACCTTAGATTTATTTAAAGTGTTGAAAATTCGAAATCTGATATTATTATGTTTAGGTGTATTCAATCCAGAGACACAAACTACGGGACGAACTGCATATGCCGTGTCCCAAAAGCTAAACTAGATGCCGTAAGTTATTGCTTTTTGAGAACAATCTATTGAACTATTTTAGGATCGAGTCGTCGAGTGTGTTCATTGCGGATGCCGTGGTTGTTCTGGATAAGACTTTCCAAAACTAAATTTCTCTCTGTTACTTGTATATTTTTCAATTTACGATCTATCGATCGATAAAACCACATTTTCGTGTAATTTTCATTTTATTATTTATTGAACTCATTGGTTACTGTTCGTTGAATTTGTGTCGAGTTTAAATGATAAAACGTTGTAAAAAATTTTGAAATAACACACTACAAATGTAGTTGACCGATTTGAGGGAATTCTCATCTAGATTAAGCGTCATCAAAAAGCGTCTTTGGTCTATTTTGAGGGCCGAGGATGAGAAGCGATTATCAGCTTTTCTGTCGCAATCTCGGATTTTCTCTCACCATGTAATTAACAGAATTGCATTCCACACTTCGTCGGTGGAAATCATTTGACTCACATTCCGTTATGTTGATACGATTCCTCCTTATTGCTCTCTATGGCACTCTGCCCTATCTAAGATGCTCTGATTTTGAATCGAACAGGAGCAATTTCATCAACGACTTGGTGCAACGTGATCTGGTAGAAAATGCTCGAAAGCTTGAAAGGAATAAGTGATAAAGGCTTTTGTTTCAGTGTTAGTGCGAGTTTAGCCTTCAAAAACGCAGTGAAGACGACAAAAATGTCTCGTATGCAACCTTTGATCCAAACGTGAAAATGGAGCTGAATTCCGAGGGGAGGTACTTGGAATATCCTTTAGTGAGACTATTCTCAATCGCCTAGAATAATTATCAAAGTTGGTCATCTTGGAGCAAAGGGAGTAATGCCAAACGACGACAAAATTGTGGAAATTGCCCGCGAGCAGCTGGTTGATGAAGGAATACTCGGAGACGATATAGCTTTTGAGTAGAAGCCACACAGTTTTACCGTCAAAATCTCGTCTTCAGATTTATCTCAAGAGCCACATGTTCGGAAGCCTATGAAGGAGTTGCCGTGGCCGCAGAAATGTTTCATGTTCAAAAGGCTCGAGCGTTCATTGGACCATATTGCGCAACAGGTTTTTCTCGGCTGTTTTTCTAGGAAGTTAGAAAATTTTCAGAGTTGGAGAGTGTTGCAAAAATGGCGAATTTCTGGAATATTCCTTTGATTTCCTATGGAGCATCGACAACAGCTTTATCGGACAGGTTTAGAAAATGAAATAATTAAGTGAAATAATTTAAAATGAAACAAAATTTTTATAGGAACATCTATAAAACGTTAGCGAGAGTCTCGAGCAAAAACACGAACGCTATAGCTGAGGCGACGGTTGCACTTTTGATGCACTACAATTGGACTCGGGTTTTGTAATATGTAGAGAATGTCAAAATATCAAGTCTAGGTTGCAATAGCGACAAACAGCGGAGTTTCAGCCTTTGAAAGAGTTCAAGCCTTTGAGGAAGTGATGCATCGAGTCGGGATTACTGTAGTGAAAAAGGTGAAATGAGTTTCGAAACATAAAGTGACTCCAGATTAGGCAATGTTCGAAGAGAGCGGTGATGCAAATGAAATGATTCGATCGGGTCTTTTGAATGAACTTGCAAACACAGCGAGAGGTTCTTAACAAAACAACAGTACTGACTATGAGATGCCCTAAGATTTCAGTGGTTATCTGTCTTTTCTCATCAACGCGGGAACTTTCCAAGGAATTCATGCAAGCCACCTACACGTTAGGTAACAAGAACGTCTCAACTAGAAAATGAGACTCGGGATAAATTTAGGAATGAATAATGCTGAATGGGCCTACATCCTGCCATGGATCCAATCTGGACCAAAAGATACTTCTCCCTGGATTGGAGCTGATGGCGAAATGCTACAACGTATTAAGGATCATTATGCCAATGCTATAATTGTGAGTTTTTAGCTTATCTAAAAGTTAACAGAATTGACTTACAAAAAATGAAAGATTTATTTACGATTGCGATAATCTGACTAGTCTTTGGCTTTTTCGCCAGCTTAGTTGCCAGTGCCACTTGCGCCGGCTCTAAAAATAAAATTACAGAGTTTTAAAACTAGAGCACAAGAATTTCATAAAGCGACTTTTTTGATTTGACCTTATCCCTTTCTTTTTGAGCTTTCTTTCTTGCTAAAGGATTATCGTCTTTCACATCGTCGAGGTTCGTCTAGATAAAAAATGATTGAACTTGTGAAAATGTAACCTTTTGCTCTTACTCTCCTGGTGGTTGTGATAAGTTCCATTTGACAGCCAGGGTTTCTAAATGTAAAAGATATGAAGATGCTTAGAGATTAGTGGTAAAACTACGCAAGCATTTCACTAAGTCATTCTCATCTTTTCACACAAAATTGAAATGAAAATCATCCAGAAACTTACGGTGTTGAGAATCCTTCTTATGAGGCGATCAGATGCATTCTGAAAAAAAAACACAATTGTAGATATCAGGAAAGTTAGCTAATATGCTAGTTTATTGCGATATGAAGTTAACGTTGTGTTCTTCGTGTTCGTGTACGCAAAGCTAAAATGTTAAAAAACGAAAAACTTACTTTCTGTTTTTGTTTTGTGTGTTCCCATCCATCGCTACATCCGACAATGATACAGCTAAAACTAAAATTTTAAAGATAAACAAAAACCCACTTGAAAGCAAGCACAGACAGCAGAATAGGCAATTGTGTGGACATGATAAAACAATGTCAGGTGGACGACGTGAACGGATTCGATGACAAAATCGTTGAGAATTTCATTCAACGCATGAAAAAACATAATCTGAAGCGGGAAGATCTCGATGTGGTGCGTTCTTAAAGAAAAATGAATCCCAGATCAAAAGAATTCCAGTCTAATATCTATGGATATATTCATCTCTATGATTCGGTGAAACTCTATGCATTAGCGGTGAGAATGGCTTTAAACGAGGTACTGAAATCCAGTTAACTCGAAATGAAAACGTTAAGACTGGTAACCCAGCATATGTGACAAATGGACAATACATTTGGAGCAAGATGCGAAAGTTGAGCTTTGAAGGTTACAAAAGACTTCATTCAAGCACAATAAACAAATCTCGTTTTCAGGAGTCGTTTCATTGGGCGAAAATTCAGCAAAAGAATCCTCAATTGGAACCGTTCTCATGGATGACCTTGCTGATCGAGCTCCCATATTTGCTGCTTTCTATATATCACCAAACCGGTTTGATTTCTTTTTGCTTTACCAACTGTCTAAATTGAGTTACAGGGAGAAAGTCATGAAGATAGTTAATATGGAAAGCAAGCTCATCGCAAATTGTGATGGTCTCAAAAATCGAAGCGGCTGCTTGATTTTGGTAATGTTTTTTTCAAAAAAAAAGCCATAAAAACTCGAATTAGAAACTCACTGACGTAATCAATGGTTTCTGGCCATCGGAGAACGGACAAATGCCCCTTGATGAGCCTTTATGTGGATACCGAGGCCAGCGGTAACTAAAGTAAAATCACTGTGCATCAAGCATTTTAGCTGCTCTTACTACCTGGAAATTTCCATTGGGGTCATTCTGGTGGTTGTGTTGGCAGTTTCGTGCGCGTTCTTTTGTCTCTATAAATATTGGTAATTCGAGTTTTGCAGCTGTTGTAGATACGGTCTAGGGAGCAACACCAACTAAACAAAATGCCATGGCGTGTTTTCTACGATGATCTGAATTTTGTAGAAGAAGAGCAAGTGAAAAGCATGGTAAAATAATAGAAATAATAGAAATCGTGCGCTAAAATTTTCAGATGTCAATCACTTCTCAAAACACAAAGATCTCCAATATGTCTGCCGGTCACAAGAAACATGTGCTTATTGGGTAAAGAAAAAAAAATCGAAAATTAAAATTTTTTTTTAGGGTCAATACAATGGCGACCTATCATCGGTAAGCGAAGAGGATCAGAACAATCTAGGTAAATTGAAATCCGAAAACTCTAGATATGCCCAAAGACGCCCAATCAAATTTGCTCGAGAAGATCTACAGCTGCTTACACAAGTATTTAGAACCCATAAGAGCCTTAAAACTTGCTAGCTCTTAGATGAAGCAATGTGTACATGACAACATTAACCCGTTTCTTGGGGTCTCCTTCAATGAAAAAGAGGAAATGCTAGTTCTGTGGAAGTTTTGTTCTCGTGGAACAATTCAAGTAAGCTCACAAAGCTAAACGCTCAACTCCACTTTATAGGACATTGTTTATAACAAAACTATTGTTCTCGATGAAAAATTCCACGCTGCATTCGTCAGAGATATCACCTTGGTTTGTCATTCAGAAATCATGTTCTAGAAAAAAAATGTTAGGGATTGGAATATCTACATGCTAGTGCAATCGGATATCATGGATCTTTGACCCCTTGGTGCTGTTTGATTGACAGGAATTGGATGGTGAAACTGTCCGACTTTGGAATCTCAAATCCACTAGACAGGCACATCATATTAAACTTTGAATCAACAAAAAAAATGCCTTTTCAGATGGGAAAAACAAGGAAGTATCAGTATTCAAGCTATTGCTGATGAGAATGACAAGAGTCAAGCTGCCCAAACTACCAGTAATTTCATGCTGTTAAATAACCAACAGCTAGCAACGTTTAGGTATTTTGTACCAAGCTCCTGAAAAGCTGAAAAACAAAGAAGTGAATCAACGACGAAACGCTGATCAGAACTGGGTTCGACAGAATTTGGTAAGCCAAAAGAGTGGGCTGTGTTGCTAACAATGTCACAACTTTCAGGGTCGCCGACAGGCCGGAGACATCTACGCATTTGGCATGGTTATGTACGAAATTCTATTCAGGTCACTTCCATACCGAAACAACACGGATGTAAATGGTGAAGAATCAAAATTTAGCCAGATAAAAACTGCGAATTTAAGCCCTTTGTCAAGCACTTCAAGAAGGTGGTCGCGTGCCCACGCCCCAAATCCAGGACGAGCTCGGGTGTCATCCTGATTTGAATGCCCTTTTGAAGTAGTTCATATTGTGAATTAATCTATCAAATTTATCAATCAAATTTACAGGGATTGTTGGTCTGAAAATCCGGAGATTCGTCCAAGTATTCGCCGAGTCCGACTTAACACCGAAGTGGTTCTTAAAACTAAAGGCTCATTGGTCGATCAAATGATGAGACTTATGGAACAAGTAAAAAAAATCAGCTGACACGCTTAAAAGAATATTTTTACAGTACGCAAATAACCTGGAGAAAATTGTAAAAGAACGTACTGGTATGTTAGAAGAAGCCAATATTCGAGCGGATAAACTACTTACACAACTCCTTCCCAAGTGAGGTCAGATTTGAGACTATCACACCTTTTTTTCAGATACGTGTCTAATGAACTGAAAATGGGACGCTCTGTGCCGCCAAAATTATTCAGCTCTGCCACCGTTCTTTTCTCGGACATTGTAGGTAAGTTGCAAACAATAGGAAAATGGCTGACATTACAAAAGCCCAACACTTAGGTTTTACCACAATTTGTTCATCATCGACCCCATTGGAAGTTGTGAACATGCTGAATGGTCTTTACACGGGATTCGACGAATGTATCACGAAAAACGATGGATACAAGGTTAAATATATCTTGAATGCCAACTCAAATCCTTTAGGTGGAGACAATCGGAGACGCCTACATGGTTGTTTCTGGAATTCCAGAAGAGAATGGCACAAGCCATATCATGCATATTGCAAATATAGCTCTTGACATGAGACAAGTGGGTGAAAACGGGAAAAAGCAACTAATTATTCCACTTACAGTACCTGACTACTTTTGAGGTTCCCCATCGTCGTAATCAACGTATAAAGGTGCGTCGAATAGTGACTCGAAAAGTTTCGAAACCCTTTTAGTGTCGCTGGGGATTCCACACAGGCCCTGTAGCTGCTGGAGTAGTCGGACAGACCGCACCCAGATACTGTCTCTTTGGGGATACGGTGAGGAAAAAAACAAAACTTTGAAAGTTGCTTTAGGTAAACACCGCTTCACGAATGGAATCTACTGGCATGCCGGGAATGATCCAATGTTCCAAGGTAAAATAAAACAGAATCTTCCCAAATCAATCTATTCAGGAGGCGAACACTTCCTTAACTTCAAACTACGATTCATTTCACACTACAGAGCGCGGGGAAGTCGAGATTAAAGTATTTGGAAAACAAAGACCAAAAGAACTTTGTTTATCACAATTTCAGGGAAAGGGCACATGCACCACATACTGGCTTGAGGGACGAATCGAAACCATCTCGCAGCCGCTAAATCTCTCAAACATTGGGCTCTAAGCAAAAATTTAAAGGATGTCTAATTTCAACTTTATTCACCTTTTCTGAATCAGCGTTATTTTCTATTGGATAAGTGTCATGCCAATCCTTAACAACGCTTTTCGACTCAACTTGTCTAATTGAAATAAACGTGCTTCGTCGATGTTACTGTTTAGAGCATTTGCTTTTGTTTTTATTTCATAATAAATTAAAATGACGACTATGTGCAATATTTACAACTAAAAAAACTTATTTCATCTCGCTTTCTTCACAGCATCCTTAACATCCTTTGCTTTTTCAACGGCAACACTAGCAACAGTTCCGGCGGTCGTTGCTCCAAGCACACTTCCAACGACTCCTCCAACTAGAGTCCCGTAGCCAGGTCCAGCCACCGATCCTACCGCGGCACCAATTTTTCCACCTAAAATTGCCCATCGTCATCAAAAAGCTCTACTTGATAAAAATTATTTTTAAAAAAATCTTTCAACATCGCAGAAAAAGAAATTTTTAAAAATCTCAATCGTACCTGTGTTTGCGCCTGCAACACTCGCGATAGTTCTTGCGGCGGCTTTTGCTTTGTTAATGTGGGTTCCCTCTTCAGCATCTCTCTAATAATGAAAAGATAAGTCTTTAAATCAAAATAGAACCAACCACGGTGGCCGTTCCGACTTCAGCTCCCGCTGAGGCGATTTGACTAATCACACTGGCCACTTTGCTCGTTGTTTTCAAACTCTCTGCCACCTTTTCGGCTACCTGAAAGATTAAGGATTGATAAGGATTAAGAATGCTTGCCTTTTTGGCACGGTTTTTATCGGCGATGACATTTAGCTGCTCACAAATGTAAAAAACGAAGTACCTGCGGTGATGGATTAATAGCGATTTTTGTCATCTCGAATCGTCAGAATTTGCCTAAAAATAAAAACAATCAGAGGGCAGAAAAAAGTCAAAAAAACCATCACTACACAAAAAACCAGTACACTTAACCTGCACAAAATTTTAAAAGTCCAAAAGCCCGTTGTTAGTTATTGTTTATATTTCTTTTCTCAAATAAAGCTATTCATTTACTAGAGTAAATATTTTTAAAACTGGTCCGAAATGTAAGGGTTTAAAAGGGTTCCTTCTCGAGGCTTCGCACATCCAACATTTTTTCGCATCAATTCATTTGCAAACCCTTGTTCCGCTTTGATTTTTATCTACGTAGTTTGGTAGAAATTACTAGGCATCTAGCTGAAATTTTTTAAGGTCCCTTTCAAAGGTTCGATTTTAAAATACTCTGCCTAGCATGTGTATGTTTTGGATGAACGCGTTTTGTAAAAAAACATTGTTTTTGCCTTGGAGCTTTTAATCTCTTCGTTATTACATCTACTGTTGTATACTTTGTATATTTACAGAATGGACGACAAAGAAATCGACGAAATGTTCGAGAAGGCTTTTCAGGTAATTTTTTGCGGATCAGTAGTGATATTGCTTTCATAGGAGTCGCTTGAGCTTTGGAAGAAGGCTCTCCCAACTGCTGCTTCATATGATTCCGACGAATTGCTTAAGCCAACTGGTAATATTTTTGAGAAGATTACAAAGGCACTTTATGGAATAGATTATATCTGTAGTGAGAAAATTTGAAACTTTTTTAGAGGAAGAGCTTCGTGAATGCGGCTTGTGGTTATCTCCGGAGAAAGGCGAGTCGGCATCCAAAGCAACTAAAATGAATCAAGTATGTTTTTCTTTAATTTAGCTAATTTTTTAAAGTTTTATGTTTCTGATGGAAATAAGCAGAAAGGGCGCTTTTTCGGCCAAAAGGTTTGGTCCGATGACGAAGATGACGACATTGAAGGAGGAGAAACATATTCGAAGTTGACTCAAGCTAAAAAGGTTACTACCAGCTTTATGCTGTATATTCAAATCTGTGCCTCAGGGTCAGGTATCGGCTGATAGCAATGTTCTCAGAGTCGATTCATCTACCAAACAAATTTCCATCAATGAGCAAGTTGAAGGATCGGAGGCCGAGACAAGCTCAAGGTACACGTTCAGAAAGAGGCGCACGAGAAGCAAGGGTTTTTTTTTTTTGCTGTAAACGCTTCTAACAAATTTTGATTTTTAGTTTATTGGAATTATCCATTTTGCGCCAAAAAGCCTGTGAAAGGTGGTTCTTTTACCTTTTTGTAAATAATAAAATCGGTGTCTACAAATGTCAGTTCTAATCACAACTTTATCTTCTAGGTATGAATGAACTATTGCCATCAGCGAGCATCGGATTAGATACTGGAGAGGACATATTTAAGCATTTAAAAGAATTAAAAGAGCAAGCTAAACAAAGGTGGGCAAGGTTACGTATTTTTACATGTTTTGGATTTTTAGGGACAAGGTAAAAACTCGTCCTGTAAAGAAAGCTTCAAAAAAGGCCACAACTAAGAAACTTGGACCTCCGAAGCAAACTCCAGAAAAGGCCGCGCGAAAGAAACGTGGTCCTCCTGCGAAAAAGTCTCAAGCAAAAGCTGCGACCAAGAAAGACAAGGTTTTGATTTTACTTGCTACTGATAATAAAGTAAACTGTATGAGAAAACTGGAAATGCTAATATTGACCATTTTAGATCAAGAAGAAACCAGGTGCGAAACAAGCCAAGCTGATTCTGTGATTTAGTATCTTTTAACATTGGTGCTTGTTGTCTCATTGTCTATACTAACATTGTTACTGAATTGTTGTTTGTTGTTGAAGTGATAAAGGTTTGGCAAACGTAGAATCAGTCTTGCAAAATTTGCTAGTTATGGCTCCGGCTTAGATTCCATTCCAAACAACGGTAGTGTAGTTCAAAATCAAGTTTTGCGTGTTCCGATAGACTTATTTAGGCGGTAATCGTTGTCCTACCGATAGTTTAGCAACTATTGGGTTTTACAAATTGTTTCGTGAAACATCCGCAACTAAAGCTGGATTAGCGCAGTTAAGTGAGTTCCTTGCAACGATTTATTACCAGTGATCAATCAAAATTACAGTTTTATTGAACCAGGTAACAATTTATTCAACAGTAATTAAAATATTTAAAAGAAGAAACCAAGGATCTTTCCTCCCAAATGTTTTTTTCTCGCCTCTTCATGGTCCATGATGCCTCCGGAAGTGGTCAAAACGACGTAGCCGAATTGTCGGGAAGGGAGGAGATCGTTGGTGTACCTAAAACCAACAAGTTATTTCAAAAACAGCGGATCTTTCGAGCACCATTTCAAGAAGCACTTTTTGTTTATGCGATTCTTTCAAATAGTTTCAAAAATTCAAGAACTACGATATTTTGTCTTTACAGTACAAAATGTAAAGTTCCTCACGTGTCAAGATCCTTCAATTGGACATCGAATCGGGGAGAAATGACTGCGCATTTGTTGATTCGCCCGTTTAAGTTGACAACAATTTTTCCCGCGCGGTGATCATCGACGATTTCGAATTCTCCAATATATCCGTGCTTCATCATGACTGTGAGGAATCGTACGATAACCTAAAAGTTCAAAATTAGGTTGACACAAACAATTGGCCGTATTTATTAATACCCCATAAATAAGTGAATATACACTTAGTCCGACACACCGAATGACCATCAAGAAGCGAGTAATCATTTAGCTGGTTGCACAGTACAGTTTAGATTAAAACAAACATCGGGTTAGTTATAAATCAATTCGTAACTTTCCTAATTAGCTTCTGGTTTACGTCTTACTTATTTTTATCAATACTTTGTGGTTAACATAACATAAAAAACATACTTTTGAGGCGGGTCGAATGAGGACTTGACGTTTTCCTCGCTTTTCAGCATTATTCATGCTTCGAAGAGCATCGGCCAATACGTTCATTCGCACCATGATGCCAAGTTATTACTAAAACAACATTTTAAACCAGTAACAAATAAGAACAAGAAAGCGATACCAATTTTCAAGAAAGTTCCACAAAACCAATCAAAGAAAGGGTCGAGTGTAAAAAAACGAGTGATTTTTCGACGTTTACTGCAGCCGGTTTGAACTTCTTAAACAGTTCTTAGCCTAGGCTTTGTTAATTAGTAGTATCATTATACAAAAATTAGGGATGGGTGCCAAATTTGCAAAAAAAGAGAAAATCTAAAAATTTAGGCCCCACTTCTCCTTTCCCCTTTTACGCGACAGCACTTAAACGCCATTTGGAGCGGCGCGTAGTTTCACATTTGCGACATCTGTCATTTTTCATTTTTTCACAAAAATTTTTTATTCATTTGATTTTTGGCTTACTTACCCTTTTCACGTATAGCAGTTCAGAAACTTGTTCTTTTTAGACAATCCGGACTTGGTGGTAGACAATGGGAATTGATATCAACCATAAGAATGACCGCAAGGTTCGCCGCACGGCTCCAAAGAGCGAGGATCCCTATCTCCGTGTACTTGTGAAGGTGTGTTGGCTTTGTTGCGAAGTATTTTATGTGATGTTTAGGTCTATCGCTATCTCGCCAACCGCACAGGAAAGAAGTTCAACAGCATTGTTCTCAAGAGGCTTTTTATGGCTCGCAGACACCGTGCTCCAATTTCGATTGCCCGTATCGCTCGTTTCCTCAAGCGCAAAGGGAACGACAACAAAATCGTCGTTACCTGCAGCACCGTCACCGATGATGTTCGTCTCAACGAGGTTCCCAAGTTCACTGTAAGTTTAATTGTTTTCTGTTTGCTTGAATTGTAGCATTTTGTTTACTAAGTAGTTGTGTGGACTGTTTCAATCAGTCATTTGTTGGGTAATTGGGTAGATCAAGCCAGATGGTGGTAGCTGCATAACTTTAAACCAAGCAGAGTCGCTGCTTTGGGGTGCGGGAGTGAAGCGTCAGGCAATCTTAAAGAGCCGGATTGTGAACGCTCTTAATTCATAGGTTACCATTTGAAAACACGAGACTGCTGTTGAAATCAGCTATCTATAAGCAAGAATATTCAATTATATAATCTTTTATTTTAGCTTGCCGCTCTCCGTGTTACCGAAGGAGCCCGTGCTCGTATCCTGAAGGCTGGAGGAGAGATCATTACCTTGGACCAACTTGCCCAGCGTTCTCCTCATGGGGAAAACACACTTCTCATTCAAGTATACATTTTGAATTATGATTCTTTAAACGAAAAAGACTTCAATTCTCCTTTTTTCACTCTGATTTCTCATGGGATCAGAGTTTATTCCGGGAGAGAAAAAGAATTGTATTTGTTTGCCGATACTCTTGCATATGAGACTATCGTTCATTAAATACAAACAACACGAATGCAATTACCGAAAAGTTGTTTATTTGTGAAAATTATGGCTAAATATAATTTTTCCATTTTTAGGGACCCCGAAAGGCTCGTGAAGCTGAGAAACACTTTGGAAAGGCGCCTGGAGTTCCACACAGTCATGCTAAACCTTTGGTGCGCGCCAAGGGCCGAAAGTTCGAGCGTGCTAGAGGCAGAAGGGCATCAAGAGGATACAAAGCCTAAATTGTTATTCATCTGTTTTGTTGTTTTATTCAAGTGAACTGCCCCATAAAGTTGTTCATGAATCTGGTTACATAAAAGTTTAAGAAAGTGCACTGTCCAAAAAAGTGTTTTAATTTACGTATGCAATTGGGATGTATTTTTAAGGAAAGCGTTTCTAAAATTGCGGAGTTGCTTTATGACTTGAAACATTTTAACACTGATTGAAACCCATAGCTTAAATTCGGCGGATTATACGGATAGTTGTATAGTTTATTTTTGACTGACCACTCGGTAATTTATTGTATACCATAAAATAGTGGCACTTTAACAAAACTTGACTTCTATAGGAAGGAGATTCAGCTGGAAACAGAAAAACTCGTTAAGCAATTTTAATTTTTCGTCATCATTTCTCGTTGGAGGTATGCATCGTCGTGGTCGAATGCTCAACCTTTTTCAATTCAGAAATCTCACCCCGGAGGGCCCTGTCGCAATGGGAATATTCCTAATGGGTGGGATTGTCCAAGTGTATGAACAAGATATCACAAAATAATCCAGAGAAGAGGATCATGTGCGATATATGTTGCTTGCTGATGGTAAAGTGTTGTGATATTTGCAAACTTTGCCTTAAAGCATGGCTCGACTGACCCGTAACCAAACGAATAGATGTTACAGTAGCTCGAGAATTTCTAGAAAGCCAATTTCTATCGTAGTAAATAGCTATAAATCATGTCGTAGAAATCTTGGTGGATTACGGTAACCCGGGAATACTGTAGAGCGGAGGCACATACGTTAACAAGTTATGTTATTTCAGAAGGGCTACGACTCGGCCACAGAGGTGCCCGATTCCCAGGGATTTCCGAGTGATATGTCCTTGGACAAAGATGTTACTCACTCAATACACGATTACAAGTAAATTCTGTTGATTGTAGATTTAGTGGACTAATTCTATGGTTAGGCTCTGATCTGATATAGTCTAATGCAATAATTGGTTTTCAAAATCAACTCCAACACTTCACATTTCAGTCGTATCAAGCTGCCCTAAAAGAATGCATACCGATCAAATGGAATCTCTGGCCATTGTGGACACGCCAACTGAAATGGAAACAATCGAGAAATGTTTGAAAATAAAAAATATTTCTAGATTTTTTACTCTAGTGATCTAAGATCAATCATTAGCCAACGGAAAATCGCAATTTTGGATCGGTTTAAATGCAATCAATTGTACGACAAGTGGTTGTCCCGTAACTGGACCTGTGGTAAGTATTATAGAAATGATAAATTCACAATAGAGAAATATTTAGGAAGAAGATTTCACATGGTCAAATGGAGAATATTTGGATGAGAACAAGAATTTCACGTATTGGAGAGATGGTTGGTTAGGGGAAATCTTTGATTCATGAACCTGGAGTAGATTCTCTCAGATAAAAAAAACTAAAGGCAAAAGGTTTTTGAAAGTTTCCACGCTTTAGCTCTAGCTTTAGCTCTAGCTTTAGCTCTAGCTTTAGCTCTAGCTTTAGCTCTAGCTTTAGCTCTAGCTTTAGCTCTAGCTTTAGCTCTAATCAAAAGAGTACAATTAACGAAAATTTCAGGTTTCCCTAGATTGTTCAAAGATGAATCTTGTGTTGCCTACTCGCAAAATGATGGCACTTGGGTAAGTGGAAAAACAATTTTTTTTCAATGCTAGATTTACGTAAATTCAAAAGTTTTTCAACATTTTAATAGCGATTTCCATAAAAACTCGAAATCTTTAGGTTAACATGGTTTGTGATTACAAATTGATGTCAATTTGTTGGCGAGACGCAAAAGTGCCCGTGTCGACAACGCCGGCGAAAAAGAGATGATCGCTTTTTTTGTGCAGAAAATGTATTTTGAACGTTTGAAAGTATTCAATTTATGAAAAACGTTACACATGAACAAATAATCGTTTCCCAGTTGGTTCATTTGTACTCATTGATCGAGTTGATCGACTTGTTGAGGCCTCGATTTGAATGTTTAGCACGTCTAAAGTAGGATCAGAGGTTGTTACTTTGAAAAGAGATTGTTCTTCAATCGCTTCGATTTCAGAGTTTTCTCGTTTCGGGTGGCGCACTTTTTTTTTGTTTTCTCATCAACTTCTTCTGTATCCTCGAGATTCTTTGCCGCTAGACAAAATTCTCCAAAAAAAAAAAGAATTCAGAACGTAAGGAATTGATTTTTAAAGGTCAGTATGAATGTTTTTACTTAAATCATTTGATAAACTGAAAGAATGTTTTATCGACATAAAAAGATCACAGATTTTCGGACAAAAAAAAACCAGTTTTGGAAACAAGATTTGCTAACGCCACTTGCAAGATATGTTTTTCTTAAATTGTTCATTCATATGTCATCGATGAGATGAGCATTTGTGGGTGAGTGAATTTGACGACAAAACGGACATCCGCCTTTCTCGACGACAGCTAATTCCCATTCATCCGCCTCAAACATCTGCAATTTGAGGCGATAAACTATTTGATTGAAAAAAAAGACTATACAAGGGATAACTGAATAGAGTGTTTTGCCGTGAATAAGTCGTTTTTAAAAGGTGAACGATTTGAAAAACTATTTGATGAGGAATTACCGTAAATACTGTAATAGTACCCCACGCCCCCCCTCGTACAGTCGCGTAGTCGCAAAAGTTTTTTAATATTTCATTTTTTTCAAAGCGCTCGTACTTTCAAAAGATGCGTCTTTAGTATCAAAAAATAGCTGAAATTCAGGGCTATTTTTTGATACCAAAGATAATGACGGTGCGGAGTGTTGCGTAGTCTAGCTTTGAACGCGTTTTTCTCGACACTGGTTTAAGCTACAATGCGCGCTTAGGTATCAAAAAATAGCCCTGAATTTCAGCTATTTTTTGATACCTAAGCGCGCATTGTAGCATAAATCAGTGTCGAGAAAAACTCATTCAAAGCTAGACTACGCAACACTCCGCACTGTCATTATGGGGGTCGGGTACTATTACAGTATTTACGGTAGACATTGAATGGGCATCAAAAATAAGATGATTCTTTTGAATTACCTTCCAACAACTTGGGCATTGTGAGATCGAGATTGTTGGCATTACATTGAAGAAGTAACGAGCCGGGAGGGGATCTCTCTGCTCGCAAATCACAACCTGCATCCCATATTTTGCACAAATAATAAAATTAACGTTAAATGGATGATCTACAGTGAAATGATTGTAGACGTAGACACTAAAGGCTACGGTAGAGATTTATCGCTTATATCGAGAGAAATTAATTGAAATTTCATTGCTTACATGTCCTTTGTCCAATCGTCCCAATTGCTCTCTATTCAGAATCACATTTGATCCCTTTTTCTGAAAATTTGAATGAAATCTTGATTTTGTTTTCGTTTCCAACCGTTCCATGAATCGGATTGTATGGCTGTTCTCCGATTGGCGGCTCAGCGAGAATCATTTCTTTGGCTTCATCGCGAGTGATTCCTTCTTCAATCGAGAACTCGACTAACGGTAGATTTTCTAGTGATTTCAGAAATTAGATTGTTTTCTTTGTTTTTTTAAAAACTACCAAAAGTGGCAGAACTGTAGACGAAAGTCGCCGAGCAATGGGCACACTTTTGACCGCCTGTGAGTGGATTGGTGAGACCGCATCTGAGAGATAAAAATACATTTGAACTAATAAAGATATTAGATTATTGGATATGTAATAGATAAATGTTTTTATATTTTAAAACTAAAATTGTATATTGTTTACTTTTTAGATGTGATGCTTTGAGAAAAGGAAAATTTGAAAAAAATATTTTTATATTTTTGGCAAGTTTTTTTTTTCAAAAATATGTTTAAATCTTAAGAAATGAATGTGATTCTTTCTATATTTTATATAAAATATGATTTCATTTATGGGTTTATATAAGATATGATTTCATTTATAATAGTTTTATCCCTATTGATCGAGATGATCTGCTACCCGTTTGCTATTGATCGAGATGATCTGCTACCCGATCTGCTACCCGTTTGTTATAGGTGTCAGCTCCGAGCCAAACTGATATTTTAGTTACTATTGTTATTATTGAATGATTTGTCTATTCTTATGCAAATGTGTCCTCCCCTGTGCTTATCCCTTTTATTGCCGAGAAGGGGCGGTCCTTGGGATTGCCTAGGAGGACAGTGAGGAGCCTAGAAGGACAGTGAGGAACCTAGAAGGACAGTGAGGAGCCTAGGAGGACAGTGAGGAGCCTAGAAGGACAGTGAGGAGCCTAGGAGGACAGTGAGGAGCCTAGAAGGACAGTGAGGAGCCTAGGAGGACAGTGAGGAGCCTAGGAGGACAGTGAGGAGCCTAGGAGGACAGTGAGGAGCCTAGGAGGACAGTGAGGGCCTAGGAGGACAGTGAGGGAGCCTAGGAGGACAGTGAGGAGCCTAGGAGGACAGTGAGGAGCCAGGAGGACAGTGAGGGCCTAGGAGGACAGTGAGGAGCCTAGGAGGACAGTGGGGCCAGGAGGACAGTGAGGAGCCTAGGAGGACAGTGAGGAGCCTAGGAGGACAGTGAGGAGCCTAGGAGGACAGTGAGGAGCCTAGGAGGACAGTGAGGAGCCTAGGAGGACAGTGAGGAGCCTAGGAGGACAGTGAGGAGCCTAGGAGGACAGTGGGGAGCCTAGGAGGACAGTGAGGAGCCTAGGAGGACAAGTGAGACTCTCATTTGGACTCCCCCCTTCCCCTTACACTTATTTGTAATCTATTCGTCTTATTATACTACTGTAAATAAAGATACATATCTTCCGGGTCTATGCAACTGCAGTACAGGTCGGTCATTTCACAGGGACTCCCCTCTAATACGTTGGAGGAGTTGAGTTGGGTTGTCGGGGTGTTAGAGATGGCGGGATATCAAAAGGGATATCAAATCCACTCTCTTTAACTTAACCCAAATTCTAGTCCACATCCGTTTATACCTAGGAACGAATATAGGTTAAAAAAAGGGATAAAACTATTATAAATGAAATTATATCTTATATAAACCATAAATGAAATCATATTTTATATAAAATATAGAAATTTACCTATAACAAACGGGTAGCAGATCATCTCGATCAGTAAACGGCTTTGCTCGAACTTTCACCGTCGCCACTTCTACCAGCTTTTCGTATCTAAATTTACTTTGAAATTAAATGCGCTAAAAGCTCTTCTCTTTTCTTTTTTCTCTTTTTTTATCAACCTTGGCGGAATTCTGAGTTGAGTGAGTCTATCCAAAGCGCTTCTCGCCAACTTGAAGGCTCCCAATTCTTTCCCTAGTTTCGCGATTGTATAGAAAATCATTCTGAAATCTATTTTTGTGCAAATTTTAAAATTTTTCTTTTTACACTCTTGAGACTTTCTTTTGTGGAGGTTGTTGAGAAAGAAAACGAGCCGCGTTTAAGAGAGTGTTCACGGGGAGACGGGTGAATGGCTGGAAATGACGAATGGGATGGAATGGAAATGTCTTTTCTAACAGGTGCCCTCTCTAGAGCTACTGTAATTCTGGTTTTGTGGGAAATTGGATTGTTTCATTTTATTCTTGATCGAAGCTTTCTAGCGATCATAGCTTTCTAGCGATCATAGCTTTCTAGCGATAAGTCGATCAAGGTTCTATTGGTTTAATCATTCAAGACAACAGGGATACAGTAGCTTTTTCTAAGCGCATTATTTAGCAAATAATTTAGCTAAATACAACACACTTCTAAGATATAATCTAATTTATCAAAAAAAAAACCTGTGAGCAAAAGTGATGAATCCACTCAAAAACCCAATAAACATCAGCTTCGGCGAGGGCTTTTCTGAAAGAAATTTGCACATACCGTAAATACTGTAATAGTACCCCCCTCGTACAGTCGCGTAGTCGCAAAAGTTTTTTAGTATTTCATTTTTTTCAAAGCACCGGTACTTTCAAAAGATGCGTATTTGGTATCAAAAAATAGCCCTGAAATTCAGGCTATTTTTTGATACCTAAGCGCGCATTGTAGCATAAACCAGTGTCGAGAAAAACGCGTCCAAAGCTAGACTACGCAACGCTCCGCACCGTCATTATGGGGATGGGGTACTATTACTGTATTTACGGTAGGAACTCTGCCTTGTAATCGTTACTTTAAAAAATAATTCTTATATTATTTTCTTATTCTCACAAAGCTTTTGGTAAAAGATTTTGATTTGTGGTGGCTCTCTCCAAATATTGATATCCCAGCATCCAACAATAGTAGCCGGCATCCGAGAAACTGAATATAATAATAAAATTTTCAAATTAATATCGATTTCTTAATTGAACGTAATATTAAATTCTCTATATTTTCTATATTTTCTATATTTTCCATATCTTTATTCTTTTTCTTTCTTTCATTTACCGATCTTCATTGATGGCATTTTGTGTGAGTTGCTCGAGTACTCGGAGAGCTTCTGTATCGCTGCCCGCTTTATGGAAAGCTGAAGGAAGCTTTAGATTTAGAAAAAAACAATCAAATATCATTATAAAGAAATATTTTTTTTTGATATAAATTTGCTAAAAAAACCTTGTTGTGCTTCTTCAAAACGATCTTGTTCAGCTAAAAACCTCGCATATGGTAGATAAACCTGTTCGATGAAACGAGGATATCTCTCGGCTAAAGCAAATGCCTAAAATTTTTCTAATATATACGAATTATCTATAATTATTAAATTATCAATCAATTAAATAACAAATAATTATCTTAATCTATTTTACGAATCGTTTTACTTGAAACTTTCTCTCACTTACATCAGTCCAATGCTTGGCTGAGACGTGCATCTCGACGAGTGACGCCACGTCATTCATTCCCTGAATTCCGTCATTCATTTTAAAGTTTTAAATTGTTTTTTTTAGTAACTACCGTAAATACTGTAGTAGTATTTACGTCGTACAGTCGCGTAGCCGCAAAAGCTTTTTAGTATTTCATTTTTTTCAAAGCACCCGTACTTTCAAAAAATGCGTCTTTGGTATCAAAAAATAGCCCTGAATTTCAGCTATTTTTTGATACCTAAGCGCGCATTGTAGCATAAATCAGTGTCGAGAAAAACTCATTCAAAGCTAGACTACGCAACACTCCGCACCGTCATTATGGGGGTGGGGTACTATACAGTATTTACGGCATGGATTATGTGCTTGGGTTTAAGGAAAAATTCCCTGAATTCCGTCATTCATTTTAAAGTTTTAAATTCTTTTTTTTTAATAACTACCGTAAATACTGTAATAGTACCCCCTCGTACAGTCGCGAGCGCAAAAGTTTTAGATTTCATTTTTTTCAAAGCACCCGTACTTTCAAAAATGCGTCTTTGATATCAAAAATAGCCCTGAATTCAGCTATTTTTGATACCTAAGTGCGCATTGTAGCATAAAGGAGTGTCGAGAAAAACGCATCCAACGCTAGTCTAGCAACACTCCGCACCGTCATTATGGGGGTGGGGTACTATTACAGTATTTACGGTATATACTTTTATAAGCTATAAGCTTAAAAATTCTTAAATTCTACATGAAATATTTTGCTGGCCACTCCGAAATCGTTCTTCGCAATAAAATACGCGGCCAATCTTCGCAGATTGTCATGATCCGTTCGCTCGATTTTTCGCACAACGTTTAAGGCTCTAAATTTATTATACAAATGTAAACACGAAGAAAGAAATGATGTTATTCTATTGTTTTTACTAGCAAGACCTTTCTGTTTTATTCTTTACTTAAAGCAAAAGATATTCAGCTTTCAGGGATACTGTAATACCTCAAAGAGCAATTGAAATAAGAGTTGTTAGTCTGAATTTTTAAAAGTCCAATTGTATTGAAATCCTATGAGCTAACAGATATTAGCTTTTCGTTTTTTACTCTTTATTCTTCTTACAAATCATGCCAATCGTGTTCTTGAATCAAAAGAATCGCCTTCTCAAAATCCCCCGACGCGATAAACATCTCGGCAGCGATCTACAAAAAAATTGCTAGTAAACTCTATAGAGTTAGTGAATAATTCGATAGATTCTATAGATATTTAGAATCTATAGAATTATCTATTCTATAGATAGCTTCACTTAGAAATCGTTCACTTCGCTCACTCTCAAACCTTTGGCTCATTGCTGTCCCTTGCCCAATCGGCTCTTTTCCTCATCAACATTTTCTGGGTTTCTCCCGATGAGGTGGCCATCACTTCCTACAAATTTGACATCTTTCTACAATTATTTTCTTCCTATTAGCTTTTTGCACTTCTTTGTGCGCATGCGCTTTTTGCACTTCTTTGTGCGCATGCGCTTTTTGCACTTCTTGTACTTTTGCACTGACCTGTGCATCTTCAAACATTCTCATATCCGTGTAAAGTTCGAGGGCTTTTTGTTCATAGCCATTGCTTCTGAATCGGATTTATTGATTAACTATTATATCTAATCTTGTCTTTTATTCAATATAAACTTCAATATAAGCTTTAAGCTATTAGCTTCAATATAAGCTTTTTAAATATAGCTTCTCACTTGTACAATTGGGCACACTCGTTGAACTTTCCTTGATGAGCCAAAAGGAGAGCTCTCACTTGAAGATCTGAATCACCGCGACGTTGCATTGCCTGGGAAATGAAATTTTTTAAAAGCATAACTATACTTACTATTAGTACAACTCTTACAGTATCTTTTTATTATTTAAATACATTTCTATATCTTAAAAACCAACGATAACTTGAGCAACAAGGGACAATTGGCGGAGATCTCGATTCTTCGAGAAAGCTTTAGCTGCAAGATGGAGCTGTAGAGAGGACAAGGACTAAAATCACCTATTATTTACAAGATTTCTTTTATCAATGCTTTACCTCTCTTCCCAGCATATCCCAATCATCTCTCGTCACTCCGAGACAGCCAAGCTCGTAAGCGGTGCTGAAAATTTGTATTTGATTTACAGTTTGTTAATTTGCACTCAATTTACATCTTAAAACGCACAATCTGCATTTAATTTTTCAAATAAAATAAAACGCGAACGAAGAAAATATCATTAATTTCATTCAATGGCATCGGTGGATCGTCGACTCTGCGCTCTCTGCAACTCCTCTATCGGCGATGAGGTATTTTTGTTATTTTTTTGTTGACTTTTTATATTTCCTTCTTAATTGCGTTATTTAACATTGTTTAGCACAAAGTTAACGAGTTTAGCACGAATAGCTTGTCAGTTTAGCACGAATAGCTTTGTGTTTGTTTAAGCTTTGGTGCAATATTAGTTGGAAAAGCCTAGTTTCTTTAGTTTCTTCTTTGCTTTTACCGTTTTGAGTGACTATAAGTAAAAAAATTAGCTTTTCATGACCAAATCATTAGGGAATAGATTAGAACAAATTTAGTAACGTTGTTTTCTTTTTAGTACGGTTAATATCATTGTTTTTTAAGTAAGTTAATGATACTTTGTCAGTTTAGCACCAATAACTTTGTGTTTGTTTAAGTTTTGGTGCAATATTTGTTGGACAAGCCTAGTTTCTTTAGTTTCTTCTTTGCTTTTACCGTTTTGAGTGACTATAAGTAAAAAAAAATCAGCTTTTCATGGCCAAATCATTAGGGAATAGATTAGAACAAATTTGGTAACGTTGTTTTCTTTTTAGTACGATTAATATCATTGTTTTTTTCAGGCAGTAGTGGCGATGAACCGTCTTTGGCATCCCGATCATTTCTGTTGCCATCAATGCAAACGTCCCATCAAGCAGACTTTCCAGGTTCGTATTTTGAGATGACATTTTGCATTTTGTTTAGGCCGCCGAGAACAACGCCTACTGTGTTCAATGCTTTGCTCAGAAGTACAACCCCAAGTGCGCAGGTAAATCTTTTGTTCTGCTGTGCTGTTAATGTGCTATTGAGGATGCTTTGCTATACTTGTTTTGTTTAGGTTGCATGACGACGTTGATCGACACTTGTCTTCTTGCTTTGGATCGTCACTGGCATCCCGCTTGCTTCACGTGCACCGCTTGCAGTCGTCCATTGCCCAACGGAGAGTATTACTTGGTGGGTTTTTTTTATTTAGTTGTAGATTAAATGAATGTTTAAGGATCAGCAATGTTTAAATGTGCTCCTCTTTGCAATTCATTTTATTTTAGGTGGACGAGAAGCCGTACGACTTGGATTGTCACTGGGCGAAGCGTCTCGAGAAACGCGAATACATGGAACGTGAAGGCAACAATCAACTTCAGCAAGCACCCGCCACTCAGCAGCGTCAACGATATTGATAGGGACCATCTGCACACAAAAACCGTTCATCAATCTCACTTACATGACACTTTCATTGCGCTTTTTCATTTCCTTTTTTTGTGTGCGTATTTTGGTGGATTTGTGCGAAATAAATTATTGGGGTTAATGCGGCGGGAAAGGTTTTTACCCCTTAAAATTTAAGTCACAAACTTGAAATCTTTGCGTTCCATGTATTGGAGTAAATGATTGGAAAAAGAGACTTCAACAGCAGACATTGCATACATGTGAAGGCAGAACACTTTGTTACCCGAGAAACCGACAACAAAGCCCTAAACGTGTTGTTTGGTGAAAAATTCGTTTATTTTTAACTTGCCATCATTCTTTGCGTGCTTCCTGGTAAAGTTCCAGCCCGAAGCGTCAAGATACCATTGCCTGAAGTTGTTTTATAGAATCGAACATCATATAGAACATGATTTCCCTATTGTTTACCTGAATAACATAGTAGATGCTCATATTGTGTATTGAAAGCAATGCTATTACAGTTGGGTTCCTAGAGTTTTAAGAAACTTTTGATAAGAGGCTGATTTTAAAACTTGAAATATAAGATCTTTGTTCTTCGCGTTGAACACCATTGCCACACCATTTTCATCAACAATAGCAAGCTGTTTTCTAGAGTAAAACGTTAGATATCAGGTTTTCTTTTGAAGATCATTTACCTATTTAACGAGATGTCAATGCATCGAACAGGCGCCGATAGTTTGAGCATTTCGACGGGAAATGGATTGTCGACGAAAAGTTTATTGACCTGAATACATGTTTTGATAAGACTGAGAGTTTTGATAGGCTTTTGTTTGATGGGCTTTTGTTATTTGTCATTTGATAGATTGTCATTTGATAGATCGTCATTTGATAGACTGTCATTTGATAGACTGTCATTTGATAGATTGTCATTTTAATCATCATTTTAATCATCATTTTAATCCTCAACACCAAACCTGTCCATTTTTCAGCCCAACAAGGATTGTCTCTCGACCCGGTGGACCACCAATTACCTAAATTCAGTTTTTTGTGCATTGTTACTAGTTATTCAAGTAACTTTAATATATCGTATATGCGCATCCAATATCCATTCCCTTTGCCTCAATCCTTTATGATCAAAACATTCGAGACGACGATCCGAACACAATAGAATATGACGAGCACAGACAACCTAGACAACAATCAGATTATATTGGGTTGGTGAATTGAAAGCTGCCGGCTATTGTCATATGTGACAGTTTGAGCACTTTCTTCAAAAGAAACCCATTTTGGTGTCAATGGGAAAGTTGTAGAGAATCAAAAATCAAGCTTATAGCCAAATTTTCAAAAAAGATACAAAAAGTGGTTTCGCTCAAAATGCCAAATTTGTCAAATTTTCACAAAACTTGGCATTTCTAAGGAAACCAGTTTTTGAATCTTTTTGGAAATTTGGCTATAAGCCTAATTTTCGATTCTCTACAACTTTTCTATTGACACCAAAATGGGTTTCTTTTGAAGAAAGTGCTCAAACTGGGACATCTGCCAGTAACCGGCAATTTTCAATTCACAACCAATACTTGTCTCACACACAAACCAAAATCCTACTACGAAAGAGGAATCCGCAAATTGCCTGTAAAATGGGCAAAAGTCGTCAATAATAATGGAAATTATTTGGAATCAATTCATGGTTTTATATTCAATAAATTTTAGTCCAAAGTCCGGCAGTTTTCAATTCACCAATCCAATATTATCTGATATCGAAAAAAATAACCAACCAATAAAGAACACTCGAAAGCTTTGCTAATCTTGTCGACCAATTTGTACTCTAACGGTTCACCGCCACGATCACCGGACACTTGTTTATAGATGTTGACACGATCGGAAAGTTGAATCTGTAAATGAATGCAATATGCAATATGCAATATGACAATATGAACGAAACTTACAGCTAGCTTATGATTGTAAATAGCGACTTTCTTCACCAGATCAAAGCATTTTATTCTAGCGAGAGTGTGCCGAGAAAGGTGCTGAACAACGACGTCGGTCATGTTTTCCCGGTAAGCGTATCTAGATTTGTTTTTTCTTTTCTTCTATTCTTTTATTCACCTCTCATTGTGCAATCCATGCACTGTGCTGAACATTAATTGATAACAAGCGAGAGTCCCGTCAACGCAACCCGCTAAATAATGCTTTTTTTTGTTAAAGTAATCCCAACTTTCGCCTACCAACGATTGTGTTCGAGTTTGGTTTCACGGTCACCGACCAAACCTAAACAGAATTTGGATTGAAGAGAGCTATCCCAAGATATCCAATACTTGATTGTCTTTTATCCTACTTTACTAATACTGCTTTTTAAAGTATTTTTTAAAGTATTTAAAGTGTTTAATAGACCAAACCCATGTGTCCATTTGAGAAACGATTCCGAGATTTATTCCTGAAATTTCATTTAATTTCATTTCATTTCATTTCATTTAATTTAATTTAATTTAATTTCATTTAATTTCATTTAATTTCATTTAATTTCATTTAATTTAATTTAATTTCATTTCATTTCATTTCATTTCATTTCATTTCATTTCATTTCATTTAATTTCATTTAATTTAATTTCATTTAATCTAATTTAATTTCATTTAATTTCATTTAATTTAATCTTATTTTATTTTATTTTATTCATTTAATTTTTCCCAATCATATCTACCCATTCGCGTATAGAGAAGCACGTGCTTATTTGAGCCACCAACAACGAGGAATTGTCCCCCATTGAAATACTCGGCACACGTCGGATCATAGGAAAGCTCACGCTCGCGAGTGTTCACCTAAAGAACAAATATGGCTTAGAAAATATGGCTCATAAATATGATAGCAAACCTTATTTCCCTCTAAATCATAGAATGAGAGTGATCGAGCCCAATCCGTTACACAAAGGATTTCCCCAGTTGGTCTGAAAAGAAAACGTTTTCTTTGATTTGTTATTAAAACTTACTGATCGCTGAACCGATTTCCCGAATCGTCGACCCTAAATCGAAAATTTTCAATTTTCGTGTTTTTCGTGACCATATTTTTCCTAATATTAGTAATAGTATTAGTAATAGTATTAGTATTAGTATTAGTAATAGTATTAGTAATAGTATCAGTAATAGTATTAGTAATAGTATTAAGTATTCCTAGTATTAGTATTAGTAATAGTATTAGTAATAGTATTAGTAATAGTATTAGTAATAGTATTAGTAATAGTATTAGTAATAGTATTAGTAATAGTATTAGTAATAGTATTAGTAATAGTATTAAGTATTCCTAGTATTAGTAATAGTATTAATAATAGTATTAATAATAGTATTAATAATATTTTCTAATATTTTTCCTAATAGTAGAGCGCTAAGCCGAGTTGATAACAATTTTACAATTGTCAAATCTCTCACAGAAGCTCAACACTCTTATACCCTACAAGATCTCATCGTTAGCTACATTTTTCGACCTCACATCGATAGGTTCTGATAAGCGGCTTTCGAGATTTCGAGATTTCAAGATTTCGAGTAATTTAGGCGCGCTCCTATTAGAGAAAACGACATCTTTACATTTTCGGCGGGCTAAACGCAATCGCCCAAATCGGCTCGCCACCCGGTCGCTCGATTTTCACGTGTTGCTCTTGTTGAGTCTAAAAATTGAACTGTAAACTGAGCTATAAGCTGAACTATAAGCTATAACATTTATTTATCTTTATTTACCGTTTCATTGCTCAAAACATTGTGCGTTTTTTTCAAAAACACATTTCCCTCAAAGGTGGCGATGGCGAAGAGGCTGAAAGAGGTGATGATTGAGGTCATTGAAAAAACTTTTTTTTCCCCCACTTTACACTGACGCAAACTCTAATATCTTTTAGAGTCTTTTAGCGTTTAGTTTAGTTCATCTAATCGCTGTTTTTGAAGTTAAAAATGAACACTCAAAAGCATTCTCCTTGCAACCTTCCATCGCAACTCCACGCTGCGGCTGTTGCTCTGCCGGCCACTCGCTGCTTGGCTACATTTTTCTCAACCGATGACCAGATTCCTGTAAAATAGTGTCTATACTCAAGCTATTCAAGAAGCTTAAAAGTTCCGATAATCCGGTTCACGTTGACTTTAAACGATTGACGTTTACGATACAACCTTGGTCTTGAAGCTGACTATAGAATCTAGAAAATAAAGTACAATCGAACTTTGATCTAACGAACTTTGATATAACGAACTTTGTTATAAAAACTTTGATATAAAGAACTTTGTTTATATCTAGTGTCACTTGTAGCTAGAGTTATTGTATAATTGCTGAGTACTTCAAGTTTTCTGTTCTACAATACTTCTTTCATACATGTGATCTAATAAAGAAGATCTAATAAAGATCTAATAAAGATCGTGATCTAATAAAGAAGTGTTCCGCCAGCCGTTTCCAATCTCTCTCTCTCTCTCTTCAATCGAATTTCTAGTAGACGATTATCAAAATACATTATTAAACATTCCTTTTACGTATTCGAAAATTGTTTATATATTTATATATTTATTCCAACTGCTATAGATTGAATTTCTCACCAAAATCCGAGAGAGCGCACGAGAGGAGAAGTTGAGTGATCGGAGAGAAGCAGAGACATTGAATCGCCTCCACATGACTGAAATATGCACACTAAATTCATTAAAGATCTCAAAAAAAAGGATTCATTTTTCTTCAATCGTACACTTCCGCACTCATCATTATGCAATTCTTTTTTTGAAAACGAAGAGAAAAGAGAATTCGTCAGTATTTTGTGGGGAGTGTGAAATCTGGGATCCATCTGATCCCCCTCCTCTTATAGAAATCCCCCGCATTTGGGTACGGTAGAGACGAAAACGAAAAGAAATCTGATTAAGAATCATTTCATTCAAATCTCTTTTTTTTTTTTTTTTAAATTAAATCAGCCTTTTGGCTATTTTTTTTTGAAGATAAGATTTCGAAAAACAAATAAAACTTTAAGCTAATTTAATACATCAACTCCATCATAGATCAAAATCCTCGTATCAGCAGCCACAAGCAACTCACTCCCATCCGGTTTAAAGGCCAAGTCGTAAATGTTTTTTTTATTTTTTGAGGTGAAAGAGAGGTCTTTTTTTATCACCTCTTCTTTCGTCATGTGCCAGAAAGCGCGCGTTTATGGGGCCGCGCAGAGAGCAATTGTTGACCTCTTTAAGTGGAGAAATAAGTGATGTAATAAATAAAATAACTGATGTAGTTTTGTTCAAATATTGCAAAAGAAAATGATGAATTCTTCAAGGAAGGTGCCCTTTATTTCACCTCGAATTTTTATTAACATTTTTTTGTTTGACCTAATTTAACAATCAGATTTACTCAAATCTAAACTGTAAAGATTGAATTTGGCTTTTGATTTGCTTTTGGATTGAATTCTTTTGAATTCACTTGTATTTAAGTGTTCCCTCGTGTTGCTCAGTCCAGAGAATCACCGATTTGTCGGCACTTCCCGACGCGAAACGCTCTCCATCATGTGACCAAGTGACACAATAAACGAGATCTTTATGACCTGAAAATATATCAAATCAAATATATTAGTTGTAAATAAAGATTTGAAAAGATTTGAAAAAATTTGAATTCCAAAAAATGAAAACAAAATTTTGTTCAATCGGTAAGCAAAAAATTAGCAAAAAATGTTTGTGAGCCAAATCGAATTTCGTTTTTTTTTTTTTTTCATTTTTAAACGCCAATACTGACACTCAGCTTGAGTTTTTCCATTCTAAAAATCACCTTTAAGCGACTGCAACAATGTGCCATCAACTCCATCATAGATTAAAATCCTCGTATCAGCAGCCACAAGCAACTCACTCCCATCCGGTTTAAAAGCCAAATCGTAAATGCAACACCTCAAATTTTTATTAACATTTTTTTTGCTTGATCATTTCTTTGCTTGCTGCATTTCAATTTTTTGAATCCCTTTTGCTAATCTTGAAATGATGACTTCAATTTGATAGAAAATCAAGAAAAAATTCTGAAACCAAAACTGGGGCCACATATGGACCCAGAGATTATCAAATTAGCGCAAAGGACACCTCTTCTATGCATTTTTATTTATGAAATGGGGAGCTTTGAGAAAAGAGATTCGAAAGGGGGAGGAAGGGGTGGTCTCTTTTGATGAAGGGGTAGTCCCTCCAGATATAAACCCTTCAACGTGAAGGGAAAGGCGACTCAATGCCCCAAACGGCACCCCTGGCCGCCCTCTTCGCTGCCCTCCTCATCGCTATGGTACGGTAGATTTGGTTTTTCTTAAATATCTTTTCCAATCCTCAATTTAACATTGTTTTAGAATTTAAATTTACATAAGATTTCTTTTCTTTAAGCTAATCTAATCCTTTTTAAAAAAAAGCTTTTCTCAAATTTTGATTGATAGCCATTTCCCCACTAAAGACACTAAATGGTAGCGCATAATTACGGTAAATCTTGTAGTTACTTGCTTACTGTTACTCCGATTCTGTAGATTCATAAAGTTATGTTCTATACAGTAAACTCTTAAAGGATCCTATGGATCCTAGCATCCTATGGATCCTAGCATCCTATGGATCCTAGCATCCTATGGATCCTAGCATCCTATGGATCCTAGCATCCTATGGATCCTAGCATCCTATGGATCCTAGCATCCTATGGATCCTAGCATCCTATGGATCCTAGCATCCTATGGATCCTAGCATCCTATGGATCCTAGCATCCTATGGATCCTAGCATCCTATGGATCCTAGCATCCTATGGATCCTAGCATCCTATGGATCCTAGCATCCTATGGTTCCTAGCATCCTATGGTTCCTAGCATCCTATGGTTCCTAGCATCCTATGGTTCCTAGCATCCTATGGATCCTCTTAAAGCATTCTAGCTATAAAATAGTGTCAAAAAATACTCGATCATAGCTTTATAAAAAATTTTCCTAAAACGCTTCCTCCAATCACATTCAGTTAGTCACATAAAACTCTTAATATCATCAAATAATCTGTGAATAATTCCTTAGTTAATTCCTTAGTTAATTCGTTCAAAGATTAACACACTTTTCTCATGGCTGTACTCGCAGTGGATTGGGTTGCATTGGGGATTGGTCCAGTATAGATTCTATAGGTCATGAAAGGACTTGGTATATGTTGAAAAGAAAAGAAAAGAGATCTCCGATTACTCTCTCGTAAAATTCACATCATCCATGCTCTTCATTTTTTTTCCTTTCGATGATCTCTGTTTCGCTTTTGTTTTCCCCTCAAGTTTACGTGTAAAATGAACGAATTGACTTGTGAAACTTTACCATATTGTTTACAGTTTTCAATCGAGTTTAATAGCTAGTTCAAGTCTATAATATAGGTTTACTGAAGTTTATCGATTACTGGTCTTACTATAGGTACTGTAGACTGAGATCTTATTGTAGACTGTAGACGCAGATCATCTTGAATGTCTTGAATGTAGGTACTGTAGATTACTGGTCTTACTGTAGGTACTGTAGACTGAGATCTTATTGTAGGCTGTAGACTCAGATCATCTTAAATATCTTGAATATCTTGAATATCTTGAATGACTCTACTTTCAGTTCTCAATATTTTCTAAAGAATGTAGAAGTGAATTTTTCTTTTTGAACTGTTTTTTTTGGCTTTGAAAAGTTTTTTTTCGTTAAAATGGAAAAGCTCAGCGTTCAGCAAGACTTTTTAAACCAAATTTTGGTCTGTTTCAGTACACTTACTTAGACTTCTACTCTAGTTGGCTAAATAAATCCTATTTTGGCATACTAACCTACAGACAAACTATTTGGACCTTAACTATAAATTTATGTAACTCTTAACTCTACCTCTAGACCCAAACTTGAGTCCTCATGAACTTTCAAACTTAAACATCTCTAGCCAGACTTTCCACATCCATTTTATCAAAGTCCATCTTCAATAGAAAACAAGGAGAAACTCATCTTCATAAGCATCATATGAAAAAGTTTTTCCGGTAAAAAGGATCACGTCAATGAGGAAAGTCTGGTTAGATGAGGTCACCAGGAAACGAAAGAAGAAAAAAAACTAATCAAACAAATGGAATTGAAATATTCCATTTCATTTGTTCTCAATTCAATCATATCCCTTCATTTCCTTTTTTCAGGTGAGGGGGGACTGCTGTCCGCGAGAGGACCGATCCGATTTCTGCACGATTTTCACAATGCTCTCTCCAACCGAACAAAATGAAGTCGTCCAGTATTTGGGTATTCTTTTGTTGTGAGAAAAGTGATTAGATGAAAAGTTTGAGAAATATTTGATAAGATGAGAGATTTAAAATTCGAGTAGTCTGATGAAAAGAAATGGGGAACGGGAAAGGAAAAGGGGAAAGGGAAAGGAAGGGGAAAGGGAAAGGGAAACGGGAAGGGGAAAGGGAAAGAGAAAGGGGAAACGGGAAAGTTCAATGTTGTGAAGTAGAAAAATTGAAAAAATGGAAGCTACTAGAAATTCTTTAGACTTTGAAACATTAAGTATTCTTGGGTTTTGTTGGAATTTGAAAGCTTAAAGCTTTTTGGTGATCAGGAATTCTCTAGCAGAGCCAAATCCTAAACCCTGACATTCTTATCGGTAACAAAGTTGAAATCACAAAAGTTTCATAAAAAAATCCATTAGTTTTAAAAAAATTTTACAAAAAAAAGGGTACAATTAGAGTACAACTTGTTTATTCTATTTTCGGAGTGAGTGAGTGGGTTTCTTTTTTAAATTTTGCCTCTTTTGATTTCACATTTTGCATAAAGAGGGAAAATAAGTGAAGAAAGTTGAAGAAAGTCACTCATTTCCGGTCTTCTAAAATCCACAAAATAGACAAATTGTACTTCGATAAAGAGGAAAAACTTTGGAATGGAATTTGAGGATAAATTCCGGTAGATTCTAAACTAGGATAATCGTATGGTGAACTTTAACCAAGTAGTTGGTTATTAGATTAAATTCTAAATCTAAAATCTAATAGCTAAAGTTGTAAATTGAAGATATCCCCTATATCTTCTAATAAATTGCTCATAGCCTTTCTCTATTAGAGCGTGTTCGTTGCGAGTAAGTAAAAAGTCGGGGGGTGGGACAAATGCGACCTTTTTTTGCGCACCTGGACATTTGCGCACCTTTTTTTTGCTGGAAAAGGCCTTAGGAAAGGTCGTAGAGCTTCAAAAATGTTTTCATAGAAGGGAATCGTATGCGTAGATTCCGAATTTCGACAAATCAGACCTCGCTGACACGTCAAATTTGGGCTAAAAGGCAACTTAACAACAAAAACTACGCAACTTAACGCTTTTCCGCAGTTTTTGCCTTTTAGCCCAAATTTGACGTGTCAGCGAGGTCTGATTTGTCGAAATTCGGAATCTACGCATACGATTCCCTTGTATGGAAATATTTTCGAAGCTCTACGGCCTTGCCTAAGGCCTTTTCCAGCAAAAAAAAGGTGCGCAAATGTCCAGGTGCGCAAAAAAAAAGGTCGCATTTGTCCCACCCCCAAAACTCGAGTAAAATTTGCAAAATTTTGATTTTTACTCGATTAATCAACATTTTTGGTCGACTAACTACGAGTAATCCTCTTTACACGTCGAGTAAATTGAATATCTTTACATTTGAAGGGAATTTGTCGCCAAATCGGTTAAATAGCTGAATATCTTTTTATTTCGAGGAAATTTGCCACAAATTCAGCTAAACGACTGAATATCTTTAAAGGAGAGTATATAGGTTGGTGCTCGTGATTTTTCCGGGCCAATTTTTTGGACGGTGGGACAAATGCTACCTTTTTTTGCGCAAGGCATCTTTTTTTCGCTGGAAAAGGTCTTAGGAAAGGCCGTAGAGCTTCAAAAATGTTTTCATATAAGGGAAACGTATGCGTAGATTTCCTAAGGCCTTTTCCAGCGAAAAAAAAGGTGCGCAAATGTCCAGTTGCGCAAAAAAAAAGCTCGCATTTGTCCCACCCCCATTTTTGGCAATAATTTTCGCTAATTTTTCTCAAGTGTGCGTTTTAAAAAACGCATTATTCGCGAGGAACAAACTCTATTCCCTATTCAACACTACTCCCACTCTCCAGACACCTTATTTCAATGGTTAAAGCAAAGAAAATGAGAAAATGGGCCGATAAGAAGTGTTTTCTCAATTAAATAGAAAAAAAACATCTACTAATAGATGGAATTTTTAGGAGATAACTGTCAAGGCGACGCGGACGCAGCTCTCCGACTCATCGAGAAAAGGAAACCGAATTTCATGCGATACGGACGATCGCGTGAGTCGAAAAGAAAGGAAATCGAATCTAGATATATTATGCAATCAAATATTCAATTTATGTAAAAATAGCAGTCTGAAGTCTGACAATGCAGTCTGACAATGCAAGTCTGACATTGTTTGGCTCTCAGTCCAGTCAAGCTCGCTTGTTTTATCCAGTCAAATCTCGTTCCTTTCAGCGACTCTCGAGCTCGGCAAAAAGGGATCCGACCCGAATTTCTTGAGATTCGGCAAACGATCTAAGCCCAACTATTTGCGATTCGGTGAGTTTGGATATTCAGCTAATCGCTTTTTTTCCTTCAATCATCAAATTTCCAGGTCGAAGTGACCCGAATTTCTTGCGATTTGGCAAAAAGGCCGCCGGGGCTGACCCACACTTTTTGCGCTTTGGCAAACGATCTGCTGAGCCCAATTTCTTGAGGTGAGCAAAAGCAATAGTTGCAGATAAGATTAGAAATAGTATGGCTTAATGAAGGGTATTATCGTAGCCAGATTGCTGGAGGGGAATTCCTACAGTAAGTAATTTGTAGCTAGGATTCCGAACTTTCATTTATTTGCTTTCATTTGCTTTTATTTGTTGACTTGTCTAAAACTCGGTTTTCATTTTCTAACAAAGAAAAAAAAGTCAAAAGATCGACGAAAGAACTGTAGGCTTACTGTAGCTAGGATTCCGAACTTTCCCTAAACCCCAGCACATTTGCAGATTCGGTCGCTCGAGTGAGGAATTCGATCGCGAGCTGCGAAAGCCAAATTTCCTTCGATTTGGCCGAAAATGAGCAAAGAAAATCAAGCAAAACAAAAAAAAACACATAGATATTTCTTTATCTATGAAAATTGAACATTTCAACTCTCTCTTTTTTTTGTCAACGAATCGGTGAATTCAATTATCTCATCAATTATCTGATCAATCATCTCATCAATCCTCACAAAAGGTGTGCGCCACAGAAATTTTCCCCCAAAATGTGTGTATTTTCAAAAAAACAAATCTCGATCGGGCAAGCCGGGATTCACACACTCCAAAAACTTTTGTCTTATTATTTTTTTACTTTATTTTACCACATTTCTTATAAATAGAGGGCCTGAATAAAGTGTTTATGGGTTCGAATAAGGGAAATCGATAAAAGAAAATTGGATAAAAGAAGTTCAACAGATCAAATTTGTGTTTCGAAAATTGAAAGGTACACCGTAAAGCTTACAGAGTTGCCGTAAAGCTTACAGAGTTGTCGTAAAGCTTACAGAGTAAAAAGGTACACCGTAAAGCTAAAAAAGCTTAAAAAGCTTACAGAGTTGCCGGCTTTTTAGCATTAGACCAAATCCCCAATCACCAACCCGACTTCTGTTGCATCGTCTTCGGTGATTTTATCGATCCAGTTCAACACAGGACGCATCTTGAAAAGAGTACAAGTTTAAATATAACAAATCTTTAGTAAAAGCTTTGAAATTTTTAGAGAGAGTCAATTGAAAAGAGTCAATTCTACAAGAAAGAACCATTTCAACGGCTAATATTTATGGATATTACCATAGCAACCGAATATTACCATGTAGCGCGAAATTTGAATCGAATTTTAAAAGAAAACAAACCGATAAAGGCTTTGATTTTCATTTTGATTCATTTTCTGGAGAGAAGAGGTGAATTCAATAATATTAATGTTCAATGTTAATATCAAAAATCTTTTTACCTTTTAGAAATGAACAAATTGAGCACCAACATGACAAACAGCAAGGATATGGCTGGAACATCGGTTGGGATAAGGAATTTTTATGATTTTACCTCGAATAGTGAGAATGAAATGTTAACTATATAACTCGAAATGTTTATTGCCTTTAGTTGATGCCAACACCGCACACGGTGACTCCCATCAGCCGTTTACACGAGGAAAACAAAACAAGCAACACTGGCACGACAATCCGTGATGAGGTTTGATTATTCAACCGTCTTAAAATCTGTTCTCTAGTCAAGTACTAATAAGATGAGCGACGATGTCCCATTGAAAGAAAGTCGATTGTATCTGCTCCGTGTTGAGGTTGTTTTTTTTTTACAAATTACTATGTTTACTAGCACTATTTTCTAGGGTGCTCCTTTGTGCGCATTGTTTTATGTGCTGGGCATCGCTTTTCTCGCCGTTTTTCTCTCGTTGATGCTTATCGGTGCGGCATCCTCGTTTCAAACGTCCAACATTGGCGTGGTAAGGTTATTATCTATTGTATATAAAAGCTTCTTTTTTAGGCCGCCAATAGCTTCACTTGGAATCAACTCAAAGGATATGTTGAGCAAATGAATAAAGATGAGTGCACTTTCTAACTGAAACACTGGATTTTCTTGATTTAATAAACTTTTGATATTTTTGCAGCTTCTTAAACTAAACAGCGAAACTTTGATTAGATTATTTATTATTGCAAACACATGAGATTTTATTTATTATTGCCATTAAAAATATTACCTTCATGTGTTACGAAACTGGCGGCAAATTTTTTATCATTGCAAATACATGATAGCCAAATTCAATCACATCATACTACGTAAAAAGTTTAATAAAATATCGTCAAAGACTAAAATACACAGAATAAATATTAATAGTACTAAATCGTACTAACTTAGATGGTTCAACGTCAACAAATACAAACCGTAGCCAGCTCAAAGGTGTGTACTTAAGGTTTATTTGATCCAAGTACAAACAGCAAATCCGAAGAACCCTCGCTTAACAAATGAATATGAGGAGCAAATCTAAAGTTGCTAATTTGCATATACCTAGTCCAGAGTACTAAATCATCTTAAAAGGGTAAACAAACCTTGCCAATAGTCTTGTAGCCATATCTGAGGGAGCAAAAATGTACAAAATTCCTTCATTTATCGTGACAACACCTAAAAACTTTTTGAATGTACCTAATGGCTCTCACTACCTGCAGCATCTTTATCGACAAGATAGTTAACAAATGGCTTTACGGCGCTTGAATCCTTTCCGGTCTAAACTTAGTTTTTAACAATTTTATTGTCAAAACCGCTTACTCCAATCATCACGGCCAATTGCTTGAGGGGTGATGCCAGAAGTTTTTCTTGTAGTGCTCCTTGTGTAGCAAGTGCAAGCCTAAAAAATTGGTTTATTGGTTCATGAATAAACTGAAACCTTTGCGTTACAGGTAGCTTCACAGCGTTTCCGTCAGCGTCCCGTAAAATCGTTTGAAGCAACTTTTCTTCGCCGGCTACTCGATGAAGACGAACTGGGTATTCGGATCGTTTTAAAAGCAACTAAACATATTTAAAGTTATAGCGTCCATCCACTAGGTTTACATACCCGTCCTTGCCAAGTAAACGCATAATGCTCGTCGAGTTGCTCGATAGTGCGAATGGGTTTTCCGACAGGTGGTGGACTTTCAAGTCGTCTCTAAAATTCAAAAAGAATTAAATGTGCGAAATAACGAGCAATACCTTTGATGTCGGACTACCGTCTCGGTCACCAACCCTTTTGCGCGTCACAACAGCAGAAGCATCCCTAAAAATTACGATTATTTCGAAACAAAAGGCGTATAACTTGGCAAAATCGATTTGAATTGGATGATCATCGAAGTCAAAAGTGCGCATCGCTCGACATGCATCACTGGCTGCATTTGCGTCCGTGTATGTGATGAATCCATGATCATTTCCTTCCTAAATTTCTATAAATAAAAAATAAGCGAGTCTTACATCGTATTCAAGTTTCTCAATCGGGCCATATCGATCGAACTCTTTGCTCAAATCGTCCGTTGTCACCCATGGTCCAAGACCACCCACCCACAACCGACGGGAAACCTAAAAATTTTTTAACACAACAAACACTTTAAACAATAATGCAAAACATGACAAAACATGAAAACATAACTTTATGCATTATGCAAAACATAAAGTAAGTAGATGTATAAAATAAATTTTTCAGTAAATTTATTTTTACTCACCTGGCTTTTTCCATATCCAATTTTACATTTTGAGCATCCAGCTCTGATTGCCCGATCGTGTTCTCCGTGTTTTGCGTCAACGGCTGCAATGATTGTCTAAAATAAACAATTTTTAAGAAACAACAAAAAAGAAAGTATTGAATAAAAGTACAACTGAGATGAAAATTACCCCGAATTGAACAAAAGCATAGCTCGCATTTGTATTTTCTGGTCGTTTGATATCAACTTCTTCCACATGACCATATCTTTCAAAAACCTAAACATAATTATATATTGGCGTAAAAACATTTCTAACCTTTCGAATTTCGCTTTCGTGAATATCGGCTGGCATATTTCCAACGAAAAGTGACCGCGTAGCTTTCTCGTCATCTTCCTAATGTATCATTCACATTTGCTTAATAATAAAATATTACTGTTAGCCGCCAAGTCTGTTGCGCGTTGTTGCGTTTAGGTGAAAGACGGCGACCACCTCTTGTGTCCTATAACAAAAAAATGTTACTTTCCTAGAAAAAAACTTAGATTTACCTGCATATTCTGACGATTATAACGATCAGGGATATACTTTCCTTCTTGATCGCGCATAATGCCGGCTGGATCGACAAGAACCTAAAGAGTTAAGTTTTCATTTTACTTTAAGGATTGTTACCTTTCGCCCTAGTGCTCTCTGAAGTCTCGAGAGCAAAGTGTGTCGAATTTTGCGAGCTGCATCTTTTCGTTCAAAGTTCACGTAAGCTAATCGATCCTCATCACCGGGGTTTCTGACCACTTTTATCTAAAAGACAAACTGGTATTTGTTAAATCAAAAACAAAAACCTCAAATGGCACAAATCTTCTAAATTCGTCAGCCAAGATGTTTTTGATGTCATCGCGTTCAAGCTTCTTATCCATTTGCGATATTCGAAGGTTGAGATATTCATCTGGAGATTGACTTCCGAAGCGCTCTCGATAGAAGGCGGAGAGGGCGCTGCCTGTCTCATCGTATCTAAAGCAGAAAATATTTTGACATTATTTTGACAAATAGTGAAAAGAGTGCCGTAAGTCTAGTCATCACGTTTACTTAAGTTCAGTTTATTTTAACAAAAAAAATGGTACCTCGAACGGGCTCTTCCACGGTCCGCCTCTTCGTAGCGACTCATCTAAAAAAGATACTTTGTCATTAAAATTAAAAGGTTTAAAATTCGAAAAACTAGGATCGAATTTACTCCCATTTCCAGTGCAAACGTACCCATTATTCCAGAGAAATTTAGTTTGGCTAGTTGAAATGAATATTAGCAAACAATTTAGTTTTAATACCATTTTTAAATGCGTTTTAGCTAGACCCATGTGTTAGATTTTGAACTAAAAATAAGAAAATATTGAAAAGGAATAGATTGATGACAGCTCAGGGAATACAGTTCAATTTCTCATCAAAAAGTCGTTTCCAAATATGCAAAAGATAATATGTGGCTAGGGCTAAATAAATCTACAATGTAAGGGAGCGCCTAAAAAACTCGGTTGCTCGAATTCCTTGTGCAAAAATAAAAACAACCGCTTGCTAGTTTTCCTTTAATTTTTCTTTTTTTCAATAGGGCGCTTTCAAATAAGAATATTCAGCAAAGCAGGCTGAATAACTTTTAAAAATGACGCGCTAAAATATCGAATATAAATAAGGCAGAGCAATTGTAATTTGCAGAAAAATCCGAATCCGAAAAATCCGATTACCACCTGCTGCAAAGAATTGCGATGGATCGATAACTTTTTCTTTGTGCCTCTTTTCCCTTTCTCCCTTTTTGCTTACCATACAATTATGGGTGGAGTCTGCTGCTTATCAAGGTTGCGCTATAGAAAGCCATCCTTTGAATACGTCATGAAATTCTCTCAAATGGAAACAGCGTTTTGAGGCTATAAAGATTATCTCGTACTTCTACTTCTGCTAATTCTGCGTAATTTTTAAAAGTCCTAATTTAAAAATTCTACGTTTTGATTTTGATTATAATAAGCTCAAGAAAAAGATCTTACCCTTGTTGTGCCTGCAACATTGAGCCACCATGGAATTTCTTGAGTTAGTTTGCCTGTTTTTTTATTTTGTTTAATTTTTTAATATTCACAATTTTTAGGAACTGCCAGCGTTGATTGATGGTTGATGTGACAAATCTAACATTAAGGGAATGGATTCCCGAGATTGAACATGCGATCAAGAAGAGCCGTTTCGTGTCAATAGACTATGAATTTCTTGGAATTCCGTCAAGTGAAACGTTCTCCCTCTTTGATTCACTGGAGCAACGCTACGCGAAGTATGCGGAGGCCGTTCGGAAATTCCCACCATGTCAACTCGGAATCGCATGTTTTTCGGATGCGGAAGCTGGCACATCGTATCAAGTGGAGGTCTTCTCGTTTCCGGTGTTCAAACGAATGACCCGGAAGGTATTCAGCTTTGAAATCCCTGCAATGAAGTTTCTGTCAAAGCACAAATTTGATTTCAACAAGTTGATTGCTGATGGCATCTCGTATTCCAACAAGGCAGAGATACTTCGAATTCAGAAGGAAATCGAGCAAGAAGAAATCGATTACGATATTTTTGCGGACGGACTCGAACACAAGCTCAACATGTTAAAGTTGAGAGTTCTGAAAGAATCGAGGGATTATTCAGAGCAATTTTTCGATGAAGCATCCCAATTCAGGAGACGTCCAACAATTTCGGAAAGCTTTGGGAGACCTTTGAGGTTGCTGCGGCCGGTGTTGATCGAGCTCGTTGCCAACAAAGCGTTGTCAGATTTTTCTGGAGGTGATTTAAGTCATGACAATCAGCCATTATGGGATCGAGAGCTGAGTCCAGTTGAAGCTGCCATTGTCGTTTACGAACTCACGATTCAACACCCTAACTGTGAATTTCTGTTTGATCAAACGAGAACAATCCTTTATTGTGCAGAATTGCCATTGATGTGCTGTGCAACGAAGGATAATGGTCACCGAGTGGGTGTTCTCCTGAAGAATGTCATTTTCGAGATCTCTGGACTTTCACAAATCATTCAGATGATCTCAGAAAGAAAAATACAGTTGGTCACGCACAACTCCTTCCTTGATCTTCTTTACACGTATCATTGCTTCGAAAATGAGCTTCCAAATACATATGCTGAGTGGAAGGAGGGCATACATCGTATGTTTCCATCAATTATTGACACAAAGGTCTTGGCGGGAACAGTTCAAGATCAATTGAAGAAGCATGGAGTTACGGATCTTTCACTGCAAACACTTGGAAACTACTTCGATTCTCCATCTTGTGGTGAAATTTTTCCTTTCAATATTCCACCAATCACCGGTGGACCACATTCTCAAGCAATTTTCACGGAGGGTGAACACTATCACAATGCGGCATTCGATGCTTTGATCACCGGAGAAATCTTCATTAAACTTGCGTATCTGTATGCGTATACAAGGAGTGCCGGTCAGGCAACCTTTTCAAAAAGTTGGCCTCTTGGAAAGTTGGTGTTCGCCTGTCGTTCAGAGATTGCGAATCGGATTCCAATCTCAATGGTGAATTCATTGTATTCCAACTTGACCGATCAGGATCAAAAGGAGATTAAACCAGATTTTTTGATTATTACTCCAAAGAAAAAAGTGCTTGACCATTTTCAGCACGGATTGAGAGATGGTTTTAGGAGGCTTTATTCGTTCATCATTGGCCCAACTAAAATCAAAAGCGAGGAATTCAACACTTTTCGAAAGGAGATTCGTCGGCGTTTTGGCTCCCATCGAGTTGACGTTCGACTGACCAACAATAAAGCCCAGTTTGAAATTGCAACCAACACACTGCACACTTATACAAAAGTTTCTACCTGGGTCATTACTCTCGACACATTCGAACTTCCTTCGATCAATGATGTAAAGGGCTACAAAGAAAAGTTGTTTTGGACTCAGACGTTTTCCGATGTTAAAAAACGACGTAAACCAGATGAGAACAAAGGATCTAATGCTTTCTCTTTTTTTCTGTTTTCCGCCGGCGGATTACTTGTCTTTTATGGTGTCAAGCGGTTATTGTTATAATTGTTTGATTGATTAAGTGCTTTTGTTTTTGCGGTCGTTTCGACGTTGTACATTTTTATAAATACAATTTAAGATGAATCAAAGTTATCAACCACGGGTTTCGCAAGCCTTCTATGACGAATTGGTGCGACGGCATGAAATCCGAACATCGAATCGTTCTAAAATACGCGAATCTGTTTATTTTGATGAAGCAAAGCTAAGGTAAAATGTATAAATTTTTACTGGCTAATTTTTTAAATTCTAGATCGTTGGACTCCGCGTTGAAGAAAACGACCACGTTCATGAAAAAGCTCAAAAACATCGGAGCAGGCGGCGGGCCCGGTTTGATAGAAGAATTGGAAAAGCTTAATCTAAGCAAATTTACTGAAGAAATGGCACAGGTTAAATATAAAAATCTGTTTGATTTAAATTTTTTTAGGCGATTTCGGAAGTTCGTTGCAAATTGGCCGATATCCCGTTTATTGTTGACCTGGCAGTTGCTGTCGCTTGCAAATACTCTACCTTTTCCGATCTTCTTCTGAGTGAGCTACGCAAAGGAATCCCCCAAAAGAAATCCGACAAAGTGATCAACCCTGGAAAATTGAGGGTTGATATGAGGTTGTTACTTGGTTCGAATTATAAAATTGCTTTGAATTTAGGTTGCTATTTGAACTTATCCTTAATGGAGTTTTTGCCAAAGAAGGTCTGCAAGTCTTTGGGAATGCGCTGGCCTATCTAGTTCAAACCGATAAGACGGAACATATTAATATGGGGCTGGTCAGTTGGCAAAATAAATACTATAATGAGTGCCGCATTTAGTTGGCAGGGTTGTCGAATCAAATTGGATGGGAGATGGCACGTGTTGTTTCTAATAACAGCAAAGGACCTATCTCTACAGGTGTAATTGCCTTACTATAAGTTTCTTTTATGTCGCTGTTTTTCTTTAGATCAACTTCCGCTTTCCGATTCCATCAGTAATGAGCAAGCGTTAGCCATAAAGAAATTGCTTCTCGATTATCATCAAAGCATGAAAGAAAGGGCAGAAAAGACTTGCAATGAAATGAATGCTGCACAAAAGATAGTCTTACGACAAGAAAAACATAGAGGTAGCAATTAGTTTAGGAAACCTATTTAGTTTTTTGTTTAGGTGATGCGACACAAGAAGATAAAAACACACTCGACACATGCAGACAATCATATGACACTATCAAGAAACAATTGATGGAAATGAGCGATTCTTTGGGAATAACAATGCCGACATTTGTGGAAGTGCCGAGCGATGATGAGGATGATGTGGAAGCTGTTCAATTGGTAGCGTGAAAATAACAGATTCTCTTTTATTATCTTTGATTACCTTTTAGCTCACTAAAGCTCTCGAGGAAGGAAGTGTAACTCTGTGGGAAGACGAAGAGGAAAGATACTTTTACGAAAAACTTATCGACATCCGGCGTTTGGTTCCAACAAGCTTATTCAAAGTTAGACTTTATAATTTTTTATATTAATTTTGTTCTAGGAATCACAAGAAATGACTTATGTTGACGATCAAATGGAAAAGCAGATTGAAGACATTGATATGGAAGACTTGGAGTGTGAGCACGGAGAAGAAATGTATCTAAAACTTTCAAAATATTTGAAAACCTAATAATTTAAGAATTGACGAACAACAAGAGGAACGAACAACAACAACACCCGAGATGGAACTTTTTGCTGAACTCAATGATATTGAGGTGATCGTCTAGATTAATGGCTAATTAAGTCCTTTAGGTGGAAAGCTCCGCAACTGCAATCGCAATGAGAAATCAGATGCAGGTTTGTGTTGAGAAGCAAGCTACTTCATTTTAATTCTAGCAATACCTTGATGAGCTGGCAACATGTGTGAATCGCGATGTTGTTGATACAATTGCACTACGTTTTGTGCAAGAACTGAATACAAAGGTTTTGGTTGTTTACGGCCTTTAAACCATTTGTTTGAGATCAACCGCCGCCGTTTGGTGCGTTTTCTTTTTGGCTCGACTTCGATACGCCTTGACGTTGTTCCATTTTGTGCTCGATTGTTAGCAATACTTGGGTTGGTTGATTTAAGTTTCTTTGTTTTTTACTAACAGTTAAATTTCAGTCCAGTTATGCCAGACGTTCCTGCGGAACTTGCAAGACTTTTGATTGATCGGTTCAGGTAACAAATTTGTTTGATACACTTGTAAGGCTTATTGTCAGGGAGATCACACGCGGAAAGGCTAGAGACTTGTTCTTGGATGCTAAACTTCGAATCGTCAGTTTTATTGCGGAACTTGTAAAATTTGCCCTAATTGGACGCGCAGAAGCACTAAGTTGTTTGCGACAACTTGTGTACGATTTCCGGTCCGTAACATTACTTTTGTGCGTAATATTAATGTTTTTAGAGGTCATTCTGTTGATCTGACCTGTTCGATGCTTGAATCATGCGGCAAATATTTATACAGGTTTAGTGTTCGATAGCAAGAGATCTGGTTTGAAGGCATTTTTCAGAAACACAGACAGTCATCCAAAAATGAAGCAACTGATTGATGTGATTTTGCGGAAAAAGGAACTCAACAAGGATATGAGACAAAAGGTAATGGCGATAAGTTCTTCAAGAATCATCGAGATTCAGATGCTGATCGAAAATGCTTATTATACCGTTTGCCCTAGCGAGACCGAGGCGCCAATTACTCCACCACGTCCCCCAATTTATGATTTTGTTAGCCAACTGGTGTGACTTTTTCAGATTTTACTTTTATTCAAATCCTAGATACGCAACATGAACGACTCGACTCTTGATGTGAATTTAAAGCTGTTGAGAAGAATTGACTGGAGTGATAGCGAATTATGCGGTTTAAAACAATAGTTTCTTTTTAAATGAATTTAGATTGGGCAATTTGGGGTTTCTCTTCACCTTGGCTCATTCCCTTTGGAAATTTGTGTCACATTTCATCGTCGCTCTATGGACTTTCATCAGTGCGGTATCATGAATGGACATCAGTGGAAGTAGTCGACAACGTTTTGGAAATAATCAGGTCTTTATAAATTACAAAGTTTGACTTGAAAATTTTAGAATGGCCCTTGAAGCGAACAATGATGAATTGAACCAAAAAGCTATCGCCTGCATGGCCTACATCGGAGAGCTCTATAATTACAATGTTGTAAATACTTCACTTATATTCAAGGTACAGCAACAAAGCAGAATAAATTTTAAAAATAAAAATTAACAAAGTTTTAGGTTCTTTATCAAATTGTTTCATTCCCCGAACATCCTACACAGTGGGCAGACTTCACTAGAATCAGGTTTGTGATTTGATTACCCAATGACAAATTTTTGTTGTTTAGAATGGTCTCTCAACTGCTTCGAACTATTGGCGAATTCTTCACAAAGGGCTCGGGAAAGATCAAAATGGACAATTTTATAACCTACTGGCTAAGGTTCTAGTTAACAGCTGGATTTTAATTGTTTTTCGTAGATATTATTGGATAAAGCGAGAGCAATGGGTTATGAATACAGGCACAGATCAAGCCACGGACGATATCGTGAGGTATGTTTTTTGGACTGGGTCAAAACATTGGGCTTTTAGATTTCCACCTGAAATCGAGGGAGAAATTATCGAAACATTGAAGGATATGGCCACATCAATCAACATCCCGAAAACATTGGATGATGCGGAAAAGAAAGTGCAGGAACTAGAAGCTACATTTAAAGAGAAAGTTAGTTAGATAAGCAGCTAAAGTTTTTAAACTAATTTTTTCCAGATCGAAAAAATGTTAACTGGGGAGTTTGAAGACGTCTTGGAGGACGACGGACCACATCCACAGCAACGAGAACTCCATCAAATCATGGAAGAAGACGAGGAAGAAAGGTGATATAGAGTTTAAAGCAAACTCTTCGTTTGTATAGCCTACCGAAAGCTCCAATTTTTATTATTCACCACTTCTATAAATGGCTCGTTTGGTTCTGGGCAGTAAAACTTTACACGAAGGTTTTTAAATTCCATAACGGACATAAAGCCAATTCACTTTAGGAAAGTGTTTTTGAAAGTTTTTGCGGTCTATTTGATGCTATACTACTGAGTTCTAAAGGGGTTTACACTACCACAAATGTTCTCATCATTTGGTTCGAGTTCGCGCAAACAGCAGCCCAGTGTCGATTGAAATGGAATAAGGGCGCGATAGACGGGGCCTCAAGGGAGACACCCAACCGACTTTTCTCCCTATTCTTGGGACATAGATATGTTCGACTTTAGCCTCCGCTTTTCCCACATTCCTAAAATGCCTTTGGCAAGTTGCATCAAATTACACCTAATTTTGGGTTGTGTGAAATACGGTGCTGTAAAATAAAATATTTATTAGCAAATAATTTTAAAAGACAGACTTATCAAAGACAGAATTTTAAAGCCTTTGAGACTTATCACAAAGGTATCACATAGTTGGAAGGAATGTAATTAAAGTAATGTTAAAATGTGATAATTTTTGACACCCGTTCGAATAAGATATGGCACGAATTTCTGGCGAAAGATTGTTAGTAGGGCGGCAGTATCTGGAAAAATTAAATACACTGGCATAAATAAAATATTTGTGCAAATTCTGAGATTGATTCAACGTAAGAATGATTTTCAAATTTCGTTGTTATTGGTTTCAATATGGGATCATTAGTAGCCCCTTTCTGGAGAAAAGACCTCTGATTGATGTCAAGAGCTTAACCAGCAAAATATGGGAGCCCCAAGACAACCATCTATAATCTTTTTGATATAGTGTTTTAGAAAAAATGAGCCTCGTTTTCATGATGAAATGGAAGATGGTTTGGATGTAGAAGAGATGGAGGATAAGCAAGAAATTGTTAATCTTCATGCCACTCCTCAAGTTTGTGAATCGTGTTTTCTAGTTCTTGACTTTCTATTTTAGAAACAGCAACCCGAAGATTTGGATTTTTGTCGTGATTTGGATCAACTGCTTACTGAGAGTTTGAAAATGGTTAGTATTAGATATTTATTGCTTTATTTTCTGTTTAGGGTAGTACTGGCACAGCTAACCAAGATGGCCTTATTGTGCCTGCTCAAGCTAGACAAAAACTAGTACGACGTGTTGGATTTAGTAAGTTTTTGACCTTGTGGAAAGCCCGAGGGAGAGATTTATGCAAATTGAAAAAATGTTGTCAGTATAATCGTGGGGGAAGGTCCATCGGATTGCATAGTTTTTGTTAAAACAATGGCAATTTCTATCTTCTACAAATGGAACACAGATTAGTAACCCTGAACTGATTGAGCTTAAATTACGCTGAAGAATTTTCCACTCTATCAAAACGAAAGAGTTCGTTTGGTTTTTCCTTTGAAGCTAAAGGACCACTTTCCTAATACCTAGTTTGAGGGTGAAAAATAATGCTGCTTTAAAAAGCAGGCATCAATTCTTTTTGGACTCTGTGCTGTCCTTTCAAAAGACGTAAGCGCTCCTTTTCAACTCGAATCTTTTTCTTGCTCCGGGTGGCGGCCACTCTACGGGTTTTTCCCGCGAGTTTCCCCCAGTTGCTTCTTCTTGTTGCGGTAGTAGAAGAGAAGAGAAGAGGAGAGGAGGCACCCGCTAACCTTATAATCGAGAAGCGAGTTACGCGTGTTTGAGTTGGGGAATTCTCATGCTTATTCTTTCTTTCTCCTCGGGGTGTTGTTATCTTCTCAAGAAACAGAGTCTCAAGAAACTTGTCATACCAGTAATACATCCAAAGATTGAAAGAAAATAGAGTGTCAAAGTTTTTTTCTACATACGACCACATACGGCCTTGAAAAAAGAATGGTTGAACTTTTAAAAAGATAGAGGCGCTTTTCAATGTTAGCCTCTGTTTGAAAAACGTTTGCAACTGACATTTAGCTGAAAGGGAGTGTTCGCTCTAGAAATAACTGAAATACGTTAAGGTTCCCTCTAACAAATTTTAGTGGCTATTTATTGGGCGTTTTCTCTTCTCTTTGTGCCACCATTTTCATTTAGAGCACATAGAGACCACCGAAGGTGCAAAGATAAAAAGAGTTGTTTCCGTCAAAATATGATGGATGAGGGTTCTGATTAGTGACAGAATTAAGAAAGCCAAGGGAAGGCTGAAAATTTGTGGTTTTCAACAACTGATTCAACACAGCGCTTTTAGGTGATGGGCAAAATATTCCCAGAAAGGAGGACAATGATAAAATGCGTGTTGCTTTGATGACTAAAGGCAAAAGCAACAAGACGGTACTCAAGAATATCGACCTGCACGAGGAAACTTTGGAACAACGATGGAAAGCGAATACGGACAAGGAGAAAGAGTATGCTTGTTTTTGTTGCTAGTGATTTTCCTTGTTTTAGAGAACGTGAGCAAATGAAGAAACTAACCTTGCATCACACGAAACGAATGGCAAGCGAAGAAGCAAATGAGGATAAAGCTTTCGATGTTAAAAACCATGCTTTCCCTTCTTTGAGATAGGAATTTGCATGGAGGCGTTCTAAAAAGTCAGTCATTTTAAAAATTCATATAATCTTTATGTATTTAAGTTTGGTGCACCCTGGCCTAGTAAAGGAGATAATTCGATTGATGGAGGCCAAACGCACTCAACAACCATTCTTTTACGATCTTTTCTGGTTTATGATCAAGTTTTTTATGAAATAAACTTACTTTAGTTCATTTTATGACGAAAAGAAGCATAATAATAAAAAGAGTGGAAAATGCGGAAGACTTTATAGAAGAATTACAAAGATCCCTGCCACAGACGCACACCCTTTGAAGCCGCCGTTGCTCTTGAACATAGTCTGAAGTTTTTTTTGTTATTGGATGAGGATAAAATATCATACTTCCTATTTGAACTAATTTTGTCAGTGTGCGAACGTTATGGCATGAAAGTTGGGGGAAATTCGTTCTTCGATCGCATCCCGATCCAATCCAATACTCGCCATGCCCAATATGCTGTGTTATGGTCACACAAACATCTTGATCTCGATCACATTGTATCGGTTCTAGCGGACAGATCGGTTTATTTAATCTTAAGATTTCTCTGTACTTTGTCTCTCGTTTAAACTCTACCTAGTTGTTATTCGAAAACGCTCGAGCATTGTGGAATCGGGTGTGTTTTGACAAATCAAACATCTCAACGCCATTGTAGGCGTGAAAAACCATGTCAATAAAAGGGCAATACCGAGGAATTTTTTTCTAAATTCAATAATTGGAGCCTATTTGCTGCAAAAAGCAGAAAGCTAATTTCACCGAAAAGAGCGAGGGTCGTGGTCGAGAACTTACCGGAATCGAACGTGGATTGACGCCTTTCTCCGCCACAATCTCATTAAAAGGGGTAAAAATTGGAGTGAAAAGGATTCATGATTTGCGGAATGGCTTTTTCCTCTTCTTCTCGTTTTCCCTGAAGATTCTTCATTTGAATTAGTGAATGGAAGTGATGATTCGTGAAGGGAATTGATGCCATCTCGATTAGAAGGTGAAGAAAAAGACGATGATGAGGGGAAAAGCATCGACTATGCGCTGTGGTGATGAATTTTGCATTCAGACACGAGGCAAATCCAACGAGGAGGGAAGAAAAAGCAGGTGCGAGAGGACACCTCCAAAAATATAGAGAGCCGTTTTCTTGAAATGAGTTGGGAAAGGGGAGGAGACAGCTGGGGCGGGGTTGTGCTGGAAAACGAAGAGTGGAAAAAGAAGTGAGTGACGAGCACAGGCTAGAGGAATCCATGAAGGGGCGTGTCTTAGGTCTATCAAAACGTTCACTTTACTTCTTTGCTTCTTTTTTTGACAAGTATTGCCTTCTTGGGTTTGGAAGAAATTCTCGACACTCTCGCTGTATTGCAGTCAAAAATTTGAGGAAAATTTGGAAACTCTCCTCTTGAGCAAAAAACAAAAACAAACTTTCTTTTGAATTACATTTTTTGATGTAATTCAAAATTCGGTCTGATTGGAAGCTGAGTTCGAGTCAAAACTAGCAAAATTTGTTCGCGAATTTTGCAAAATAGGTATCCTATGTTTGTTAAATCTTTAACATAAGAAAAAACAACGTTAGTATAGATAATGAGACAATAAACAACAGTATAGAGAATGAGACAATAAAAAACAATGTTAAATGTTAAAGGATTAAAGGATTAAATGATACTAAAGCACAAAGTCAAAGTCAGTTAGTCAGTTTTAGACTTGCATAGAGCTCTTTAAAAATCGTAAAACCCAGGTTTGGGATATCAACAGTCGTATTCAGCGCATCGAATTACTGCGAAATAAGCCTCAGTTAAGTTAAGTTAAAGGATTTGACTGAGAATCAACTAAGTTTTTACCATTATCGATAACCTTATCGAGAAAACTTATCGAGATCTCGATAGTCAAGTCTAGCCAACTTGGTTCCTTTTGTACCTGACTTCTTCTTAATCTAATAGGTTGATGCATAAGTCTTTTCGTTTTTTTCGTACTTCTGTTAAAAAGTAACAAATTCACCAATTAATCTATAGTTTGCTCTATAAAAAAAGTGTTTTTTTGTTCAATTTGCATCTTTTTAAATGAATTTCGGTTCACTTTCAAGCAAATTCGAGAGTGAAAAACGCCTTTTTCGTAAAAATCTATAAAAAACTCTACGGAAAAATTGGCTGAATGAATTTCTCTGAAATTTTGGCGAAATATCAAACTTTTTTTCTCTATCTTTTATCTATTGACACGAAGATAGGTTTTCTTTAGCTAAGGTGTCTAAACCGCATCATCGAGTTAGCCCTTTTTGACTACCCGACTTCATACTCTCAAGAAAATCCAGGCATTAAATATTTTTAAACCCGTTTTAATGTTATTTTAAAAGATACTTTATTCAACATGAATAAGTGGATACAACACAACGGAGGACCTTTTTACCCCAAAAATAGTGGCGGTCTATTTTGCAGAAAAATAATTGGTTTTTCTAATGAAATCAACCGTAGTTTAATTGGTGCATTTGTTGGCTTGAAACGGCAGACGAAAAGGAACAAAAAGACTTATGCATCAACCTAATAAAACGATAAATATTAACAGACCCAGTTTTTCTCATACAATTTACTTTATTTATCATTTATCTATAGCTGTACTCTCCCAGTATACAGGGTACTTCTTTTAAATGGTAAATTTTTGCATTTTTCATGGATTTTGCAAGTTTTTTTCTTAGTTTTTCGTAGTATTAACGTGTTATAACGCAGCGCGTGTTCTAGTAGCACATTGTCAGGCGGGGTGCACTTAGGCAGGTCCGGGAGGGGGACATTGCTGCAAGATCTCTAAAAATGGCTCGAGCGCGACCCCAACTACTTCCCAGAGAGCTTGCAGCACCTATTCCAAACCGGTGCCTTCTCAAGGCATTAACTACTATGCGGCATTAAAATAAACGAAAAACTATAGAAAACAGTAAGAAAAGCATGAAATCTGAAGAAAAAATAGGTCCACCCCCGATAAGGGACAAGTACCAAAATTTACATTTAACGGCCAAGTAAAACCGTTGCAAAGGGCTAAAATTTAATTTCATTCTTCGCATTCACTCGACTGCTCGACAATGGTTGGTTTTTAAACTTGTAATTTTTATTTTTTAACCATTAATGTTATCATGGATTTTTCTTTCGTTCAGCTTAAATCTTAAAGCTGAAAAGTTAAATTACTATTGTGTGAAATTATTGTTACGTGGGTTTTAATATTTCGTAGATTTAGCGTAAAAACTAATAGACGAGCATGCCCATCTATTAGAATTTTTACGGCAGCTTACATTGTTCACTCTAATTTAGTAGCCTTGTTGTTTACCTTTATCTAAAGCATAACTTTATAACATTTCTCTTTGTTTAGGGCTGTGTGGCCGCAGATCTGGACGAATGTTTCACGGCTTCGGCCTTTGACCCGACCGATTATGCTGATCAACTTAACAAGGTACGTGAATCCTTTCGTTCTTAAGTCCTTAAGTTCTTGAGTCCTTCTTAAGTGTATGAGCTAGCTTTAGTCTTTAGTCAGCGATTCATTTCCTTGTTTAATCTCTTCTTTTAGATCACTTGCTTGTCGGCTTTCTCTCCAAATGGAATGGCCTCTCTGCTGAATGAAATCTCGATGGATCGACTTGCTCACGCGTTCGTTTTGCTTTGTTTGTAAAACTTGTTATAAGTTGATTTGCTCATTTGTGCCAGGGGAATTAATCGTGTTTTTTTAAAAGTGTATTGTTTGTTAGCGGAAGTGTATTGTTTTAACTATGATACTTTTGGTGCTCAATAGTTTAACTTACATGACAACTTTGATTAGCTTGCTAATTTGATAATTTTAGGGTCGCTTCTACACCAGTGACTGGAATGACCGCACCGGGTTTGAACAAAGTGACGGCACCAGCACCACAAGCAGCAGCAAGCGAGCCGAAATCTTTCTACGAGTTTGAGAAGAACGAGCCTCGCCGTTTTGCTCCGCGCGACGTTCATTCTGAATACTGTTTTTCCGAGCTACAGGCGTGAGTTTTTAACAATTTGACCATTAATGCTTAAAATTTGTTTAGAACGATCAATGACGGCGAGAAAGCTGAAGAAAGTATCGAGGTCGAAGTGGAACTTCCATTGTGCGACAGCAGTGCCGAGCTTATGCGCTCAGTTCAGGTTCTGTTTGTTATTTTGACTTTATTATACTCTTTAGTTACTGTTAATTGTTTAAAGAAGAAGATTTAAAAGATTTATTTAAAAAGAAGCTTTATGAAAGTTAATTTGCAGATAAGATAACGGATTCTATTTAAATTGTAGGTTTATCGCTATATTTCACGTTTAGGAGCAACGCTCTCGCGTCTACGAGATGATGTTGGAGTGGCAGAAGCAAGAGGACAGCTCGTACAATTCAAGCGTCACCGGACTTGGCGCTGCTCCTCGCAGCTTTATCGGCCGTCCTCAACACTTCTGAATCTTCACATCCATGTCTTCATTGCGTCGTCAAACAATTATGAATTCCATTTTTCGTTTTTCTCTTTCACGTTTAAGCGTGCTCGCAAAATAAATACATGGGTGTCTGCACAAAAGGATGAATAAATTCTTTGTCATAGATAAAAATACACATTAGAAAAAGATGATTGTGGTCTTGTGGTCTTAAAGTTCAAGGGGTTAGAGGAATGACCAGCTCAAACTGGTCTACGATGGAATGAAATGGAGTGTAACTTTTTGCTTTTAACAATTTGATAGGATAATTGATAAATTGATATGAGAAATTCCCTTTGTCTAACGGTTTAACGCAAATTTCCCTAATATCCCTGCTCAATCATGTCCCTAATAATCCTCAAGATGCTCAAAAACACGTCGAGTTGCCATTGGCTCATTGACCTGTCTTTGAAAGAATGCAACCATTATTGATTGCGAAAGGCTTAGGCTTAGGTTTCTCGGATTGTTTTGTGTTTTTTTTTCTAAACTAGCTGGCTTTTTTCATTTTTTTAAACGATGCTGGTTTGTCTGTGAAAAGATAGTCAAATTAGCAATAGATTACGAAGTTTTGTCTGATTATAAGATGCTATGTCTGAAATTTCTTTTGTTCAGAGTATTTTCAAAAGTAAAAATACGTTTCCCAAGAAGCTACCCTAATTTAGTGTCTTTTTGAGGATAGCAACTAAGCCAAAGTCTTAGTTGTTATCATCAACTACCACACTTGAAAGTAGCTGAGTAGGAATTCCAAGCGAGCAAATGGCACATCAATGTTAGTGTCTTTTTGATGATAGCAACTAAGCCAAAGTCTTAGTTGTTACATCAACACTTGAAAGTAGCTGAGTAGGAATTCCAAGCGAGCAAATGCCACAGAGCAATGTTAGTTACCATTACGATAATTGAAAAGCGTTTTTTAGAAAATACTCCACTACAGAAAAACAGTTTTTGTACTCTCGATTTGCGGATTATGTTTCTCTTCAACGAAAAGCCATTGAAACTTTTTTTTTGCATTGATGCATTTCGAATGGACTCTGATTTCTCTAGAAGTTGACCCCTTCTAAAAAGAGAAGAAATAAAGGAACTAAGGAGAAACAGAGGGAGAAGGGGGGAGGTCTCCCCCATTCCCCAGAGTCACCCCATTTCTCCCGTGTGCGTGTGTGTGTGTGGACCCTCCCTGTTCACTCTCCGTTCTCCTCTCTTTTACTAATCTCTTCCCAACCGCATCCTTTCCTTTCGCATCGTTTTTGAACATTCCCTTTTTTTTCTTTTTTTCCCGATTTCCCCCATGGGATTCCCCTTTAAAGATTCATCTCAATAGTCTCAAGCGGGACTCTTTCCCTCTTTTTCATTCATTTGGCTGTTCTCTTTTCTTTTTTTTTTTTGCAAGCCCCTCCTCCCTCTGCTCATTTCGATGTACTTTCATACATTGACCTGGTCAGCTGAATTGTCAGAAAGCTTTTGAGTTTCGATTTGTTTTTTTAAAACTTTAGAAGTTTTCTGGGAAGATTCCGGAATTCTCGCTAAGCCATCGATTTCTTGAATACTTTGGTTTACTCGTAAAAGTAGATGGTTTTTTTCGAATCTCGCTCGCTAAGCCATCGATTTTTTGAATACTTTGGTTTACTCGTAAAAGTAGATGGCTTTTTTTGAATTCTTGAAAACCCATTTGGTTGTTTTATTTTAAAAAGCTAATTTCTGACTTTATAAAAGCTATCTTTTAGGGATAAAGCTTGTTAGAAAAAAAGAATTTACATTGTTCTTTGTTTTCTATGTTTTCTATGTTTCTATGTTTCTATGTTTTCTTCTATTTCTATTGCTGTATTACTTGAACTAAAATATTTCCATTTAGGGTAACCCATTCGTGGAAGTGAAGGCCAAATCTTTTCCTTTGAAGAATGGTCGTTCGAGAAGTCGATCATAAACCCTTTCACATCAAAGTTCGTTTCATTTTCTTTCTATATCCCCATTCTTTTCTTGAGTCACTGTCCTCCGTACTGTATTTGTTATCAGGGAAACTATGCCCCCTTCTTTTCCCTCTCACACACTTTTAACCATTATTCCCTGCAAAAAACGCTCACGAATTTTAATGCCAAAAAGGTGTCTACGATAAATATTCTAATAGAAGCCCCTATAGGAGCGTCGCGTAGTTTACACTCAAACAAACGCTCATATCCTGACACCAGTACTTTTGTTTCTACGCACTTAGGTAGCAAATTAAAGTAGAGAGGACGGGTGATTTTTTGAGATATAACACATATTTTTAGCATTAACCAGGGCTTAGAAAAATGATTAAAAAGTGGCAAAAAAAAAAACCGATTTTTCATCATTTTGTTCTAAACGAAACGGTAAAAATCTAGGAGCTGTGGAAATAAAAAAAAAAGATTTCTTCAGATCTCATTTTAAATGAAACCGCTACGGTAATAAACATAGACTTTTACTGAATTTATCAAATTTGCATACAAAACAAAAGCTATTCAGTCAACATTAAATTAACTTAAGTTGACGTTACTGTAACAGGCTCTGGTTTGAGTAAGCGAAAAGATTAGTGTTAACACTGAGCAAGATCTAAAATCCTGTTCAATTGTATGAACTCAAAAGAAATTCAGGTTGACGGCAAATGGGTTTTCGTGGATGAGGAAGTGCTGAGAGCTCATCCCGGAGCGTCCGCCATCACAGCATACCGTAACTCGGAGGTGAGACGGGGAAAGATTTAGGAAAACCTTTTTTTGCCGCTTTTTGAAAGATTGTCCCTTTGGGAAAATGGGGGGAAATCGGTGAGAGAAAAAAAGGAATGAATGAATTGACAGGAAAGGGGAACACGTGCATTGCATGGGAATCGTTTTTGTCTCTTGTTCTCATTGATCTGTATTTCGATTCAGTCAAAATTTGAGTGTTTGTGCAAAAAGCATCGATTTTTTGTGTCAGCAATTCTGTTTATTGAAAGCGATTCTTTCGATTGAGTTTAAACGGATCAAAAACTAGTCAAAAACTAATCAAAAACTAATCAAAAACTAGTCAAAAACGGCTCAAAAAGCTTTCAAACCGACCCTGCATTCGTCTAGGCTTACTGGAAATACAATTAGAAGCTAAATGAAGTGAAAAATCGATCATAAAGTTGATTCAATTCAAATCCTAACCTCATTTTAGGCATCAACCATCTTCCACACATTCCATGGTGGCTCGAAATGGGCTTACAAGTGGCTGGCCGAGTTGAAAGAGAAAACCGATCAAAATGTTGACATAAAGATCAAAAAAGTAAGCGATTTTGAAATCTGTACATCGAAAAGAAACATACCTATACCAAAAATCACTTTCTGCACTTTAGCAAACGAATTTTGATTTGCTAAAATATAAAATTCCTTTCTTTGTCTGTTTTTCAAGATTTCCCAATGTTAATTGAGCAATTTACAATTAGAAATCTTGAGATATTCAGTTTTTGATATTTATAATTCGCTATTTATTTCCAGGAACAACAAATCCCAGGCCATGATGACATTAACATGTCCGAATTTCACATGTCTAAAGAAAAAGGCGAAGAGCTGACACGAAAATTCGATCATCTTCGACTCGAAGTCCGCAAACGGGGATACATGGATTCGGATAAGATATTTTACGTTAGAAAGGTGCGTTTTCTGAAATGAATTTTTGAATTATTGAAATTTTAGACTCTTGAGACGATTTTCACGATCTTAGCCGCTTTCTACCTTCAATACCACGAGCATTACATTGTGTCAGCGATTTTGATGGGAATCGCCTGGCAACAACTTGGATGGCTTATTCATGAGGTAATATCAAATCATTCATTTGCTTTCATTAAGAACTATTTTAGGCGACTCATCATCAAGTGTTCAAGAATCGATGGCATAATGATTTGTACAGGTTTGTCGGGGAGATTTTGTAATAATGATAGCTTTTCTCATCTCTAGTTATTTGGTGGGCGATTTCCTGCAGGGTTTCTCGGCTTCGGGATGGAAAGAGCAACACAATGTGCATCATGCGGCAACAAATGTAAGCAAAGATTATTGTAGATATTTGTAGATTACTGTAGTTCAGAGTTTTCACGTTTTAGAAAACTAGATTTTTTCAAAATCTCTTCAAAAATTTCAAAACATTACCTCTCTATGAGTATTTATTTTCAGGTTGTCGGACGAGATGGAGATCTTGATTTGATGCCATTCTTTGCTACGGTTGCGAGACATTTAAAGGTAGGGATTTTGATAGAAACGCTAGATGAGATCGGTTAGACATGATTGTCGATCTCGTACTGTACATAGTACTGTGTCTGTTGTGCACCGATCGATAAATGATCCTCATTTCCATGATTCAGGTGGCCGACTCGTGGCTTCTCTCAATTCTTCCCTATCAACACATGTACTGGACATTGGCCCTTCCCTTCCTTCGTCTCTCGTGGTTGATCCAATCGGTTTCTTTCGTCTCCTCGATGCATGCCTCATTCTATACAGCGTATCGAGAGAGAGCAATTTATGAACAGGTTTCAAAGCTCAAAATTTCGTACACAAAGCTACTATTCCTTTCTTCTTCCTCCTGTCTTTCCCTTTTTCTCTTTGGCAAGTTAAGGCACTAGTTAACTGAGTCGTTAGATCAATTGCCTAGAAAGCCTGGTCGAGGGTTCAATCCCCTCTCTGGAAATCTACTTTCCTTGCCAATTCCTTCACTTCTTTATTACTACATGTACTGGAATACTCAGCTAAGCCAGCAAGGCTGTAGTGTGACAAATACAATAGCTGAAACTTTCGATGAAAATATAATCGTCCTTTCAGGTGTCCCTTTTCTTGCACTGGGTTTGGGTGTTCGCTCAGCTGTATTTCCTTCCCGATAACCACACTCGGCTCGTTTTCTTCCTTGTCTCACAGGTAAATATTTCGAAGATACAGTAGTCTCATTATGAAAGTCAGACGCTAAAACTGAATATCCGTTTCACTCGAAGATACTCAGTCTTGTCGACTTTTAAAACTTTGGCATACAGCCTGACAATTTAACTCCGAGTAAAAGATCTGGCTACACTACTTTCAAGAATAATAAGCTCTTGTAACCAATTGAGTTTCAGCTCCTCGGCGGTTTCCTTTTGGCTCACGTTGTCACGTACAATCACTACTCGGTCGATAAATATGCTTGTAAGAAATGAGATCATTTCAACGTCAATACCTTTCTTTTAGATGATTCGTCGATTCTCGAGGTGTATCCATGCCTTCAATTGTACACAACGAGAAATATGAAACCGTCGATGTTTATCGATTGGTTGTGGGGCGGTTTGAATTATCAAATCGAGCATCACCTTTTCCCCATGATGCCCAGACACAATTTGTCAAAGGTTTGGGAAAAAGCTTAAAAACAAAACAAAAAAACAATTTTATGCACTTAATCTAGCCATATCATGGTGACAGACTGACTGATCTAAGCCTGAAACTCGTGTAGCTCAAAAAAACGTAGCCAAGGTTGTTACAGAGGCCAGGCAAGTCTAGAGCCAGGTTACAGATTGATATAGTGATCTAAATCCAGCCAGCCAGCCAGTCTAGAGCTAGGTTAGAAGCCAAGTCTAGTACTTCATCAATTAGGTAATCTTTTGACAGATCGATATTCATATAAATATCTAACAAGTAATATTTTAATTAATCAATACAATACCGATTTAGGTGATGCCATTGGTGAAAGAATGGTGTCGAGAGAATGAATTGCCCTATATGGTTGATGATTATTTCACCGGATGGAAAGCCGTCATTCAACAGGTTACAGATTGATATAGTTATCTAAATCTAATTACAGATGGATACAGTCATCTAAATCTAATTACAGATTGATATAGTTATCTAAATCTAATTACAGATTGATATAGTTATCTAAATCTAATTACAGATTGATATAGTCATCTAAATATCTAAATAATTGCTATCAAAATCTTATTCTTTTCTTATTCTGTTCTTATTCTTTTCTAGTTCGCCTCGGTGGCCTCGGTGGCAGACAAAATGAACAAGAAAGTGACTCCACTTTTCACGAAACCCCGATCGAATGGATGAATTTTTGTAAACCATTTTTTTTAATAAACTATTTTTTTAATCACTATTTTTTTAAGATAACATTTCATTGATTTCCACAAGAAATTTCCAAAATTCATTACATTTAGATAGCTAGAAAGAGAAGAAGAAAACTCATTGAAAACTCATCGATCTAGTCATTTGATCATCGAATAAGCAAGCAAACAGTATATTTGATTGACTTTTACTGAAAACACGCTTACAATAGAGATCACAGCTGGAGGCTAGGCCGAAATTTCAATCAAATTTCAATCAAAAGCACACCAAAATCCCCATATTTACATGGAAACTGAAAATTTGAAACACTTTTTGCAAATCGATTCCCTAATGAACGAGGCTTTAATGATTGGCGGATTGTTGCTGAGAAGAACCAATAAAATACTCGGTTTGATGGAAATTCGGATCTTAAGAATACTGTAAATCTTAAGAATAGAAGAATTAGTGGCTTCTATTCTTGCTGGAATAGAAGCCACTGAACTGAATATCTTTTCGTTGAAAGTCAAGAGTTCGTAGTCTTGAATAGTGTAATGCCCAGGATACTGCACTGAGACAAAAGACTTTAGATCTTTTTAAGAGCTTAAAGCCTTCTTCCAATGCTTATCTCTGTTTTAAGAAGATAATCTAACAATATTTATCATATCTGGCCTTCCACATCTTTAGCTTTTCTCTCAATTCTCATCGTTTTCCTCACCGTCTGGAATTTCTTGAGTACCCGAGAAAATGTGAGTTTAAAGTGTACGAAAATGTTTATTTGTTTGTTTGCTTGTTTATTTGTTTGTTTATTTGTTTGTTTGTTTGTTTTGTTAATTTTATGAATTTTAGTTGCCTAAGGCTGTTTTTAAGCTATTGGGTTGTCCAGTTATGAATGCGCGTTTTTACTATTTTGTAAATTTCCCAAGATATCGAGCAGATGTATACGAGTGTTATATATCATTCGAAAGCTGAAGATCTCCTCTACATTTTGGAATAAAAAAGTTTTTGAATTCATTCAACTTTTTGGGAAATTGACTGCACAAAGGGAGAGGTCGTTTTCGAAAAAACCCATTCCAGCTTAGCTATTCCTCAAGTTTTATGGTGTAAAATAACCGCCCAGAAAAGAAAAGAAAAGTAAAGATGCTCTGAAATTGGTATATTTAAAGAAATGTTGTATTGATATATCTATTGGCCAAACATCAAACGGTTAACTCAATTTGAGCGGAGCCAAAACTTGATCCAAAGGCACCCTTCCATTTTTTGGCCACCTCTTCTTCTGTGCAGTCAATTTGCCCAAAAGCTGAACAAATTCAAAAAGTTTTTATATCAAAATGTAGAGGAGATATTCAGCTTTCGAATAATACTCATATATATATCTTTTCTTGATTTCGGCATCTTGAGATTTACATTTACAAAATTTACAATCTAGTAAAAAACGCGCATTCATAACTGGACAACCCAATATTTCAAAAGTCTAGTTCCTTCGTCAATTCATCGCGATTCGTCTCCCCGATCAAGTGCTCACTTTCAGCTTCACCATTCTACCAAAAGTATGTAAGACAATGATATTGTTAAAAAGATTTTATTAGCGAATATACTGTAACTATTTGCGTCAATTGGTGATCGTTCAATCGTCTCCGAGTGGATTCGAAAGTCGGAAAGCGATTCGACAAACATGGGCCTCTAGAGAGGAAACGAGCGGGATTTTGGTGAGAAATCGAAAGAATTTCTTTAGATCTGAATTCTATTTAGATCTAACAAATAGATCGATTCTTAAACTAGAGATATTTATCTTTCTTCTCATTTAACTAACAATAAAAACTCATTAACAACAAATAAGGAAAGTTTAGAATGGACATGTGAAAGTGATGTTTTTGCTTGGAGCCACTGAGGATCGATCAATTCAGAAAAAGATTGTTGACGAATCGTTAGCATTGAATGATATCATTCAATATTCAGGAATTGATAGCTATCGATCACTTGTTTATAAAGTAAATAGAGAATTTATTATTGCAATTTATTGAAATAATGAAATAATGAAATGATTCAGAGCCTTGTCATGTTGAAATATCACGAGATGCATTGTCCAGCTGAGGTTTTGGTGAAGGCGAGTTTTTAAAAAAGAGATAATACATTTGTTGACCATTTAAAGAGTGTGAAATAGGAAACGATGTCGAAAAGGGAAATCTTTTGAATTCAGGCTGATGATGACGTGTTGATGCATTTAGATCGCTTGCAGAAAAGACTCGATTTCTCAGAAATGGTTTGTAACTTTTGAAGTTGACTTAATAATAGAAAAATGAAACTTTTATTCTATTTGAAGGATTAGATAATTTAAAGAAAAATCCTCATCTTTTCATCTATTTCATTTCATTTCCATTTCCATTTCTAGTTCGGCTCACCATTCATCGCTGGCTTGGTGGCATTCGAGGGATCGACGAAAATCATTCGAACGAAAGGACACAAATGGTAAGATTGCAGGCAATAGTAGTTGACAATGATAAGAGATTCAATAAAATGATATAGATTCTAATAAAAGAAACCGAAAGTTGAGTCAGCTTCTACATTTTGAGTTATAGAGGTTTTGAGAGGATTCACCCTTTCAAGTAAGTAGTCTAACTTTAAACAAAGTTTTCTCTATGTTTTTACATTAAGATTTATTAAATAAATTGTGGATTTCTATAACGGAATTTCATAAGGAACATTTTAAAGATTTCAAAGATTTCAAAGATTTTAAAGATTTTAAAGATTTCAAAGATTTCAAAGATTTCAAAGAGTTCAACAAATGAATGAAAGATTAGTTGAGGTACGTGTCAGAGGAATCTTTGCCGGGAAGAGTCTATCCAACGTACGCGAAAGGATTAGCGTACATTATATCGAGAGAAGCGATTCCGATTCTACTCAATAATACGCAGCTTTATAAAACAATTGAGGTGGGGTAAAGATTGACCGAAAAATGACATTATTCTAGATTCGTGGATCAGAAATAAATCTTGCATTTGACCCTAATAAATTATTTCTCAAAATATCCAACTAGAAAAACCTGCCTAATCGCCTAACAGCAGGTCTTTCTAGCTGAATATTTCGAGATCTGTCGTCGAGATGCATCTGTCGCCGTGTCGCAGTCGGCAGCACGCTTGTATACGGCCCAGACGACCCGGGTTCGACTCCCAACTGTGTCGTCACTTTTGCTCTTTAAAAAACGAAATATGAGATGCAAAGCTAAGAGAATTTGCCTAAGCCTAAGCCTAACAAAAAAAAAACAAATCATTCTCAACTCCAGTGTTTCCTAAAATTAAAATAGTAAAGCTTGACGACTTTTAAGAAATCACTGTAGTAAAAATGATTGGTGGGGATAGGTTATTAATTTCCGCAATTGCAACAGGGTCGTTTGCGCAACTCGCCATAGCTTTCTTCTAAGTCGACCAATCTTTATGATTTTGGTTTCATTTTGTTGCACTTATTGAGATCTACAAAATGAAACCAATATCATAAAGATTGGTTGACTTAGAAGAAAGTTATGGCGAGTTGCGAAAACGACCCTGCTGCGCAAAAAAAAAATGCGGAAATTAGCCTAGCTCGATTGGCGAGCTTTTGAAGAGAATCAATAAAATACTCGGTTTAGTCAAATCATGAATTTGAAGGTACTGTAAAGTTAGCATGATACAATGGATAAGAAATGGATAAGAAATGCAAAGATTCAGTCTTGTACTAGGTGTACCCAGCTTCCTCATCGACTAAAGTCAGTTCCAAATAGAAACACGAAAGGTTTCCAGTGTTTTTTAAGTCCATTTTTCGAATTTTCTACCTTATCTGTGCTAACTTTTGACCAAATCCAGCTATAGATGTCTAGGTTTGGTTTAAAAAAAAAACTAGAGGCAAGATAGCTTTTAAAAGTTGACACATTTTAGGTCGATGAACCTAAAAATTTCTATAACATTTTCAGATCGAAGACGCCTACATAACGGGCATTTTAGCCACAAATACGACAATCAAATTCCTGAAAATGCATGGCGGATTATTGTATAATGTAAATATCTATTAAAAAATATATATGCCGTTTACGAAATTCAGCCGCTAACGAATGATTCGTTAACGGTTAGCTGATTACGAATCATTCGTTAGCGGCTAGCCGATTACGAATCATTCGTTAACGGCTAGCGAATGATTCGTTAGCAGCTAGCGAATGATTCGTTAACAGCGAATGATTCGTTAACAGCTAGCCAATGATTCGTAAACAGCTAGCGAATGATTCGTTAACAGCGAATGATTCGTTAACAGCTAGCCGATGATTCGTTAACAGCTAGCGAATGATTCATTAACAGCTAGCCGATGATTCGTTAACAGCTAGCGAATGATTCGTTAACAGCTAGCCGATGATTCGTTAACAGCCAATTACGAATCATTCGTTAGCGGCTGAATTTCGTAAACGGCTACGACATATATATTATACTTTTTTTTAGTCAAGAGTTCCCCCAAAAGGAGACTGCTTCGATGGACAACCGATCACTTTTTGTGTGCACGCATTTAAGGTTTTAAAAGATCTAAACAAAATGCCTTACTCAAATTTAGGGTGAAACGCGATTGAAAAAGGGATGGAGTGAGCTGAAGAATCAGACTTGTTAAAAAGCGAAAGAGTGAAATGAATTCCTGTTTGATCGTGGCTTTCCTGAATAAATTGGAAATGATGTTATCAGCATTTGAAGGCTACGTTTTCTAAAATATCCCCACTTTTGAAGCCTACCGTAATTTTGACTTTACTTCTAGATCTTTCGTGAACATAACCAGGCTTTTAAGCGGAAAATAAAGGAAAATTTAATAACATCTTTTGATTTTGGGGTAGGCTAATTTCCGCAATTTTTTTTGCTCAACAGGGTCATTTGCGCACTGGGTCGTTTGCGCAACTCACCATAACTTTCTTCTAAGTCAACCAATCTTTATGATTTTGATTTCCTTTTGTAGATCTCAATAAGTGCAACAAAATGAAACCAAAATCATAAAGCAAGTGTACACAAACTTGCTTACCGAAGTCGTGAAAACCACACACATTCAAACATTGATAGATTGGATAAATAGAGACAGGATCACGGTAGTTCTCGAAAGTTGACGCGTTTTAGAATACGCACAATCACCTTTTTAGCAACAGCATTAAGGGACTCATTAAAATACTGTTGCTCTTCTCTTTTTTTCTCCACCTTTTCCACAAAATTCTCCCGTCCTCCATTCTGCTCTGTTTGTGGATCGCTTTCCGTTGCCCTAAACAAATAGTCCCTTTTTTTTTCTTTCTTTCTCCCATCAACACCAAAATGTCTTCGAAAACTTTAAACTAATATTATTGCTCATTTATCTTATTAGCTGTTCTTAAACTAACATTTTTATGGCTTTTTATGGCCTGGCAAAGCAAAGCAAAGCTATTAGCATAGCTTTGCCTTATTTCCGTCTTTCTTTTTTCCTTTCTTCTTCCTTGTCTTTCTTTCTTTCTCTTGGGAAGTTAGATAGATAGATAGATAGATAGATAGATAGATAGATAGTAGTTAGATAAGTTAGATACCGAATAGCTCAGTGGTTAGAGCAATTGCCCGGAAAGCAGAGGGTCAAGGGTTCAATCCCCTTTCTGGAAATCCTCTTGCCAATTCCTTCACTTCTTTATTGCTTAATTAGTCAAGCTTTACTTGGCTACTTTTGACTTTCAGGGACAGCCTTCTTTTCTGCTGCATGCTGCATTCTTTTCTTGATAGATAGATATTTCGATTTTGATTTACTTGCTTGATAAGTTTGAATCTCAATCAGAGCTTCAGCTACATAGAGCTTTAGTTAGACTCAGGCTGTATTGTTGAAAGTGTGAACAAGCTGTATTGTTCAAGTTGAAAGTTAAAGTGTCAAAAGAACAGTTTGCCTTTTTATGTAACTTGTTCAATTTTGTAAAACTGTCCATTGTCCATTGTCAAAACTTCCCTCACTTTTCTCTCGTTCATTCATTTCTTTCCTTTTTTGAGAGCTTTTCCTTTCTCGATGGGACGGGGGAGAATTTTCGGCGGAATCGAGAGAGACAAAAGAATTTTTGACGCATTTTTTTCGAAAAAAAAGGAGAGAGATGATGGAAATTGGGAAAAGAAAGAAAACAAGTGACTTCACTTTTCATTTTTGGTGGATAACCCTGTAACTTTTTCGGTTATCGATTTATAGGTGAGCTTTTCGTTATCAGCTACAGTTTTCTTTCAAATTTTCAATTGGTATTGTGTTATTTTTTTTTTCGGAATCAGTCAATAGTTTCAGAGTTGTTCTATTATTGTAAATTTGCTTAAACATAATTTTTTAATTAGGTAAAAGTCTGGTGTTGATTCGATAACCATTTGTCGACAAATTCGATAACCAATAGGATGCAAATGTTGAACAAGGTAGAGAGGAACTATTAGGTTGATGCATAAGTGTTTTTGTTCCTTTTCGTCTGCCGTTTCAAGCCAACAAATGCACCAATTAAACTACGGTTGATTTCATTAGAAAAACCAATTATTTTTCTGCAAAATAACATTAAAACGGGTTTAAAAATATTTAATGCCTGGATTTTCTTGAGAGTATGAAGTCGGGTAGTCAAAAAGGGCTAACTCGATGATGCGGTTTAGACACCTTAGCTAAAGAAAACCTATCTTCGTGTCAATAGATAAAAGATAGAGAAAACAAAACGTTTGATATTTCGCCAAAATTTCAGAGAAATTCGTTCAGCCAATTTTTCCGTAGAGTTTTTTATAGATTTTTACGAAAAAGGCGTTTTTCACTCTCGAATTTGCTTGAAAGTGAACCGAAATTCATTTAAAAAGATGCAAATTGAACAAAAAAACACTTTTTTTATAGAGCAAACTATAGATTAATTGGTGAATTTGTTACTTTTTAACAGAAGTACGAAAAAAACGAAAAGACTTATGCATCAACCTAATATAAAGGAGCTATAAAGGAGCTTTAAAGAAATTATACTTTAAAGGAGCTAGAACGAGCTTTAAATGAGCTTTAAAGGAACCTTAAAGTAGCTCAAGAGGAACTATAAAGGAGCATTAAAGGAGCTGAAAGGAGCTTTAGACGAGCTTAAAAGGAGCCTTAAAGGAACTAAATAGGAACTATAAAAAAGCTTGAAAAGAGTTTTAGAAAAGCGAAAATTCGATAATCGTTCCTTTTTTTCATTTCCAACTGTTGCAACAAATTTGGAAGTTTTAGAAGAGTAATGGGGAAATTTCGGGGAAGAGGTTGATGAAAAGGGAAAGAGGATAGGACAGAAATCCGATCCTGGAAGACTCTCAGGTCTTCCATTCAAAAGAAAAGAGGAAATCGACGGGAGAAAGGGAAGTCTTCCTTCCAGAATACCCAATCAACTGCTTTCATCTACAATAATCTACAATTCATCTACATCTATCTATTGGATTGGTGAATTGAAAACTGCTGGCTATTGTCATGTGTGACAGTTTGAGCACTTTCTTCAAAAGAAACCCATTTTGGTGTCAATGAAAAAGTTGTAGAGAATCAAAAATCAAGCTTATATCCAAATTTTCAGAACAATTCAAAAACTGGTTTTCAAGAAATGCCAAATTTACGAATTTTTGACAAAACTTGCATTTTAAGCGAAACTACTAAGTGTATCTTTTTGGAAATTTGGCTATAAGCCTAATTTTTGATTCTCTACAACTTTTCCATTGACACCAAAATGGGTTTCTTTTGAAGAAAGTGCTCAAACTGGGACATCTCCTCCATTTTTGAGTCTCACACTTGTCTCACACACAAACCAAAATCCTACCACGAAAGAGGAATCCGCAAATTGCCTGTAAAATGGGCAGAAGTCGTCAATAATAATGGAAATTATTTGGAATCAATTCATGGTTTTATGTTGAATAAATTTTAGTTCAAAGTCCGGCAGTTTTCAATTCTCCAACTCAATAATAATAATAAGAGATTCACAGTTGTAACTTGATCAAATCAAAGATCAAATAACTTGTACCATTTTTATCATCAATCTTTTTTGAATTGAATCTTTTTGCCGGAATACTTTCCTACAAACGGCTTGTCTTTTACGGTGTTTTCTTGCTGTACTGCTTAGCTGTACTGCTCAGCGGTGCTTAGCGCTCAAGCGAATCCTTTCTGGCACAATAACCTTGCTTTCTCTCCCGATTTTAAATAGATTTTTATTTAGTTTTTACATAGAAACGAATAAATCTGTGAGTTTCACCAAAAAGTGAGATTTCTCCTTTTCTATTTTCAATCCAAGGTCAGGTACCACTCTTGCTCATCCTTCAAAAGCATTCACTTGGTATGAGAATCTGAAATTGTTTTATATATTGTTTTATATATTGTTTTATATATTGTTTTATATATTGTTTTATATATTGTTTTATATATTGTTCTCCCCTTTCTATATTGTTAAAGAAACACGGTGATGATCATCAAATAACAGATATTTTTCTGAATTCATTTTCGCACTTTCAACGAGAGAATCACTTTCTTTTTTAAACAAATCCAAAGAATATAAACTGATGATCAAATGATGATGATGATATAAATAGTTCTTTTCAATTCAATCACTAAACAAAGTTCTCTTTAATCTCATTTCATTCCCTTTCATTTATCTCTCTTCACAAAATTGAGCGTCGCTTGTTTTTCGTGTGCATGATTGGCTGTGGATTGAGGGGGGAGGAAAGGGAAAAGAGAAACAAAAGAGAGACAAAAGAGAAACAAAAGAGAGACTCTCGATCAAAACCTGTCATTCCACACACAAATACACACAACTTTGTTGCCATACAAAAAACTATTTGTCAGTATCGATTGTTAGACACAGATTTCTAAACTTTTGTACAATAGATCTTGATGTTGCTTCAGATTTCTCAAGCTTTCTTACTTTTTAAATCAAGTGATCATCATTACTTTCATTTTTGGATCAAGTGCTAATTCTAATTCAGTCACATCAAATCCAGAATATTTATTGTAATTCAATTTTTCTTACTTATGAGAAGATGAATTGACTTCTCTTTATGAGAATTCAGACTTTATCTAAAGTGAACTGCTTAAAAAAAACCAGTTAACTCTTAAAATGAACTTTAAAATGAACTTTAAAATAAACTGATTCCTGAAAGCTTTTAATCTTTAAGCTTTAAGCTTTTCTTCTCTTTCTTATTGCAAACATTTTTGTATCTGGTCAATATTGGGATGAAGGGGGAAATGTCAGAGATTAATTGATGAGATTGGCAGCTGCTCTCGTTTGATATTTGTTGTGTGTCCGTTTGGGAATCGTGCTATCAGACTGATCGGGACAGGGAAAAGAATTTGAGGAAAGGGTAAGAGAAGGGAAGAGGCGATCAATTGTGGGGTGGAAGGGAAAGGGACTGTCCTATCCACCATTGGTTCTTTCAACCAAATATTTCATGTTTTATTAAGCCAAAACTGAGTTATAAAATTAGAAAACTTTCGTTGCTTTTGCTTTGAGCGAAATGACAGCTTGGCTTTGGGTCACAAAGCTTGGGTGCCATTTACTGACTTTACTGACTGATTTTATTGACATTTACTGACTTTTTGTTCTTTGTCTTTGTATTCTGTATTAGATATTAGATAATAAATTTCAGATATCGTATTCTCTCTAATAGTAGTGCACCCTAAGCGTTGCCTAAATTGCTTGAAATCTCGAAAATCGCTTATCAGAACCTATCGATGTGAGATCGGAAAATGTAGCTGACGATGAGATCTTGTGGGGGATTTGAGTGTTGAGCTTCTGTGAAAACTTAGAAACCGTAAATAGTCATCAACTCGGCTTGGTAGGATGCTCATATCTCAACACCAGTACGTTTGATTCTAAGTGCTTAGGTAGGGGAGTAGGAATTAAAGTAGTGGGAATTAAAGTAGAAAGATAGGGGAATTTTTTGAGCTATAACATAAATCTTTAGCATTAACCAGCGCTTAAAAAAAATGATTGAAAGTCGGCTGTTTTTCCCATTTTTCAATCATTTTTTTTTAAGCGCTGGTTAATGTTAAAAACATGTGTTATATCTCAAAAAAAATCACCCGTCCTCTCTACTTTAATTTGCTACCTAAGCGCGTAGAAACAAAAGTACTGGTGTCAAGATATGAGCGTTTGTTTGAGTGTAAACTACGCGACGCTCCCATAGGAATCCGTTCTATTAGAGTTTTGACGATACTAAATTGGGTACTATACCTCTATTTTTATGTATCCTATCCAGAGATATTAGAGAGAATATGGTATTTTATGTAGTTTAAGTTTACTAGATTGCTTTGTTAATGCTTTGTTAGTGTAGCTTTGTTAGTGTAGCTTTGTTAGTGTAGCTTTGTTAGTGTAGCTTTGTTAGTGTAGCTTTGTTAGTGTACCTTTGTAAGTGTACCTTTGTTAGTGTAGCTTTGTTAGTGTAGCTTTGTTAGTGTAGCTTTGTTAGTGTACCTTTGTAAGTGTACCTTTGTTAGTGTAGCTTTGTTACTGTTCTCTTTCGTCTTCTAATTTGATCCATTTTGATTTTGACAACTTGCCCGGTCTTCAAATAAGTGCTATATTTTTTTTGTGTTGATTCAAAGATCCAACTATTAACTTTTTTGTTTATTGGTTCTCTAATAGATCAATGCCTATTTGGCCTATTCATTTGGCCATGGAGGTGCCATGTTTGCTCACATAGACAAACATTCACAACCAATACACCACTTCATTCACATCGATTTTTCCTTCTATCTTTTTCGTCATTCTTGATTTGATAATTGTTTTAGTTTATTTTGGTTTTAATTTTGTTTACTTTTTCAAAACTCATTTAACTCAAAACTCAAAACTTTTGTACGAAATTCACGTTTAAGAATCATATCACTTTTTCTGATCTGAATCATATCAATTTTAATTCCCAAATGCTACTTTACTCTCCATTGTCAATAGAAATTTCTTCATTTTCTTCAATTTTCTTCATTTTTTTCAATTTTTTTCTTCTTTTTCTCCACGATAATTCATTGGAAATCAATCTTCAGCTAAACTTTCAGCTATCGAAATCAAAATTTCTTTTGCTTCAGTAAGAAATATTACAAAAAGATTGTAATCTCTGTATTCTTTAATTTTGAATTTAAATTTTGAATTTAAATTCTTGAATTTATGAATGAATTTAGATTTATTAGCAAGCATAGCTTTGTTGATAGTTGATAGCAAGCATATCTTTGTTGATTTGTTGATAGCAAGCATATCTTTGTTGATTTGTTGATAGCAAGCATATCTTTGTTGATAGCTGATAGCAAGCATATCTTTGTTGATTTGTTGATAGCAAGCATATCTTTGTTGATAGCTGATAGCAAGCATATCTTTGTTGATTTGTTGATATCAAGCATATCTTTGTTGATTTGTTGATAGCAAGCATATCTTTGTTGATAGCTGATAGCAAGCATATCTTTGTTGATTTGTTGATATCAAGCATATCTTTGTTGATTTATTGATAGCAAGCATATCTTTGTTGATAGCTGATAGCAAGCATATCTTTGTTGATAGCTGATAGCAAGCATATCTTTGTTGATTTGTTGATAGTAAGCTCACTTTTCGCATTCTCCCAGTTTCCCAGTTTCCCAGAGATTTGCAAAAACTCTCAAAGAGTAACAAGTAGGTGAAGATTTGCCCAAAAACTCGTTTCCTTTGTGTGAAAGTCGAAAGAAAAGGGATTCTTTTGCAAATTCGACGATTTTTCACTCAAAAACGACAGAACGAAATGTTTTTCTCAAAAAGAAATGGATAAGGTTGGTTTGTGGAAGATTTTTTTTCGTAAAAGTTTAAAGGATTCAATTTAAAAGTCTAATTCTTTGTTCTAATTCTAACATTTTTCAAATAATTTTTTTGAATCGAAAATTTGCTGAAGAATTTTAATGTCTTTTCTCTAGAACTTAATTCTTATGTTGTTTTGATGAATTGCTTATTGAAAATCATTTCGAAAGGCTGGACAAATCTCGATCTTGTAACAGGAATTCTTCTTGATTTAGAGCCCAGAATCCTGTAACTAGTCTAATAGTCTCTTGTCTAACTACAGTACCGAATAAAAGAGCTATACAGTACTTCATAGAGTATAAAAGAGCTATACAGTACTTCATAGAGTATAAAAGAGCTATACAGTACTTCATACAGTATAAAAGAGCTATACAGTACTCCCATACAATATAAAAGAGCTATACAGTACTCCATACAGTATAAAAGTCCTATACAGTACTCCATACAGTATAATAGAGCTCTACAGTACCCTGAATGAAAGTATCCAACCTAAAGATAGAATCCAATCAAAGAAATAGACGTTGAGTCTTTTTGTCTGAATACTTTTCATGCGTAAGAATATCTGTAACAATTGTTAGTTTAGCGAGTACTGTAGAACTACAATAAGACGTGGGTAGTGTAATATTCCTAATAACTTTCTTTCTTCAATATTCCTAATCAGTGGCTGTCAGTTAATACAGAATTAATCTATCCTATCCAAGAAACGAATGAATAAGCTTGCCATTTTTGAATTCTCAAGCTCTAGTATCGAATTTGAACATTCCTGCCATTTACATGTACAAAAACTCTTCTTTATTCCAATCGATTCCTTATAAAAAAGAAAAAAAAATAAAATCCTTTTTCAAACATTCCCACCTTTGAGAAAGCACTTTTTTTTATATCTGTTATGAAAAAAAAAACATGTCAAAGTGTTATGGCCTACTTTTTTTTCTCTTTCACTTCCACTTGTAATCTTTTCTTCTTTTCAAATCTTTCTTTATAAAAAGCTTTAGATGATTTTACGGGATCTCTTATTATTGATTTTGATGAGGATCGGCTTTTGTGAATATTGTGGAAACAATAAAATTCCATATGGGATTGAGGTTTGTTGGGAGTTAATCCAGTCAACCAAGAGGTATCTATTGGGTTGGGGAGAATGAGTCGGCGCCGAAAATCAAAGAAATTTCTAAAACTTCTCGCAGACTTTGTCAAATGAAAAGCGTTTGATATCAGTAGAAAGGTTAACTAATTCTCTACAAAATAATATTTAAAAGAGAACTCAAACAGCGCCTCAGCTCAACAGAAGACCATTTTTTCACAAAATCGATAAACTGTCATCTAGAGTAAACGGTTGGAGGGATCTTCCTGAAAATTTGGTAACTTATGTAATTGAGTGTGCTCTATCTTTTTTATATAAACACCAAAGGAGGTTTATGTGGAAGAAACTGTTCAAGCAAGAGTCGGACTTTTGTCATTTGATTAGCTGTGTTTGGGAATCCAAAAATCCCAAAAAAGAAAGCTTTGTGGAATCTCTCAAAAGCGATTTGTAAAGAAATAGTGGACCATTTGAGAAACAAAACGGTATTAAAGAAGGTTTTAAGGGTGCAAAAAGTTTCTTTAAATTTCGGCGCCGACTCATTCTCCCCAACCCAATACAATCTTGAACAACGTTTCTACTATAGAATTTCGTACAGTTCTCCTAGGGAAATGGCTTTACAAACTGTATGTACTTAACTGAATGAATGCACAATATTATTTAAGCTTTAAATTAAGATTTGCATAACTTTAGGTGCATCGAGATGGTCGAGTGCTTTTGTTGTGCTCGAAGCCGGATTGTTTTGATAAGAAATATGCGGTTAGTTAACTGAAGCGAACCGAAAAGAGTTTTTCTTTGGCTTTAAAGGTTAAAGGAAGGTTTTCTCAAAGTTAATTTCCTCAGAAGCTAAATCAGGCTTGACTCTGATTCAGCCAGAAGTTTGGTTTAACTTATCTAGCCTGGTAAGTCAGTTCTGCAGCCGCTTGACGATAGGCCAGGACCTGATTTCTAGCCAGACTTGGTTTTCAAGCTCTAGTATTGAATTTGAACATTCCTGTCTTGTTTTAAGAAAAATCTAGGACTGATTCAACTTTTAAACCCTGCAAGGATCTAATAAAACATATATTATTGACCCTTAAATTCTGGGTTAGACAAATAGCTCAATATTTTTCATAGCTATTAGGTTGGTAAGAAAGTTCGTAGAAAAATGATTTGCACGATGATTTCTCAAAAGGCAAGCCATAAATTCTTCCGAGATTTCTTGAAAAACTTGACTTTATTTCAAAAAGTTTGCAACAAAAAAAATCAGAGTGGGCTTCAGGTAAAAAATAAGAGATTTCTTCAGCTGAAGTGACCAGCCTTTAGACAAGTTTTTAATGGGTTAATGAATAGGCAATCGGTCCCATTCAAAACCTAAAATCAAGTACTTGCTTTTAAGCTGAATTTAAGCTAGAAAATAATCATTTTTCAAAAAACTCTCAAATTTTAAGGGAAAACTGCACTCTGCAGCTTTCTGTGAATCTTCTTTTCTTTATAAAAATACTTGAGTTTAGGAATGTGATGAGAGACCGCTGAGAACAGATGGATGTCCTTCGAACTCGACTTGGGTCGGAGGATTGCAAAGGACATCCGATTTGAAGTAATGGAAAAAATTCGAGGAAAAGAAATATCGAGAGTTTAGAGTACTTTACACGCAATGTTGTGAGTATGAGTATCTAGCCGATTACAGTGAAATACAATATAAAAAGGTTTGTTCCCAAGAACTTCTAAACAATTTCAACAATTTTGAGGTTGTTGTGAGGCGAGGAGAGTTCTTTGAAGGTGAAGAGAAACAAGAATCGAATGGAGACGTCTCTGCTTTTGATCTCATCACGAATATCCATCTTGGACACGATGAGAAGGGGTTGGTGAATGGAAATGGGAAAAGAATCGAGTCCATTTGGTCTAGCCGCACAAAGAACTTGCCACTCACTTTACACAGCGATTTTTCCTTTGTTCTGTAGATGGTAGAAAGAAGATATTCAATTGTAAATGTTCTGTAGAAAGAAGATATTCAGCTGTAGATTTGTGGGGGTTTTTGGGTCGGCGAATCGACTAGAACACTCTAATGCGTAATGCGAACAATCTAATGAGTAATGCGTTTTTTAAAATGCAAATTTGGGAAAAAATTACCGTACTTTTAGCAAAAATCGCAAAAAAATTATTGCAAAAAAATGACGCAAAAATGACGAGCCCCGCATTATATACGACACTTTTTAAAGATACTCAGCTGTTTAACTGACTTGGTGGGAAATTCCCTTCGAATGTAAAAAATGAGGGGGTGGGACAAATGCGACCTTTTTTTGCGCACCTGGACATTTGCGCACCTTTTTTTTGCTGGAAAAGGCCTTAGGAAAGGTCGTAGAGCTTCAAAAATGTTTTCATAGAAGGGAATCGTATGCGTAGATACAGAATTTTGACAAATCAGACCTCGCTGACACGTCAAATTTGTCGAAATTCGGAATCTACGCATACGATTCCCTTATATGGAAATATTTTCGAAGCTCTACGGTCTTCCCTAAGGCCTTTTCCAGCAAAAAAAAGGTGCGCAAATGTTCAGGTGCGCAAAAAAAAGGTCGCATTTGTCCCATCCCAAAAATTATTTTTTTTTTGAAAAACCTGCGCAAAAAATTGGTTTTATATTTTTTCGCGCAAGCGCACTTTTTAGAAAACGCAGTACTCGACAATTACTCGAGCTATTACTCGAGTAAAAAATTACTCATACAAATTTACTCGAGTAACTACCTTACTCGTGAGGAACACACTTAGAATCGACTGGTAATGTTCATTTTGGTGCATCTTCTGGCTATGAACTCAAAGCTCTAAACCTTAGATTGTTAAAAATCGTTTACTAACAAACCCTTTTAAATCACTAATTCAAAAAAATTACAGCGAATTCTACGCGATTCAAGTTCATCGATATTTCTGTGGAAAGGCTCCCGATCCAGACCCGGCCTGGTCTCCCAAAGATCCGTGGCCACATTTTAACTTGAAGCACAAGAAACATTGAATTTCATTGATCTAGTCTCATTTTCTATTGTGAGCTATCTTTTTATATAGCTTCCTCATTTTGGCCTCAAAATTCCTCCTTTTCTCAATTAGCCGCGTATTATTTACGTCTCAATGGTTACCCGGAGATGAGTCAAATTTATTTTTTTGAGTAATTCCAAGAATTCATTCAGTTAAGTACTTACATACAGTTTGTAAAGTATATGTACTTACATACAGTTTGTAAAGGCATTTCCCTAGGAGAACTGCACGAAATTCTATAATAGAAACGTTGTTCAAGATTGTAGATACCACTATTCCAGTAGAAGAGCATTCTCACAGACTTATTCCATTTACTGTAATCATCAAGAGTTACCGTAATTCCTAGATTCGTCTTGCTGTGATTCAGTTGAGCAAACCTAGTACTAACAGTCAATCTAGTACCAGGTCCTTTATCGTATTCTAATAGATCTACAGATACTACACTTGGATCTAGATTAGATTAGTACTAGGATAACAGTACTAGAATAACAGTACTAGAATAACAAGTACTAGATTCATTGATTTAGTAATAGTAAGAACTCATATGTATCAGATTCATTAGACAAATACCAAGTCAATCTTGCCAATGAAGCGAGTTTAGTACTGGATCCAATGATAACAGGCTGTACTGGATTCATTTAAACATGATACTAGATTCATTTAAAGATGCCTTCAATTGGAACAGTTACGGTCATTGATATGATATTCTTTCCATCATCTCCATTCTCAATTTCACTGCTTAATGCCTTCTCCTCCATTTGTGTCTTTTCCCCTTTTCTCCTCTTACGGGTCATCCAATTACACTTATCAATCAATGATTGCCACACAAAAAAAACCTCAAAAGAGGCCAGTTCCACTTCTCCCATTTTTTTTCTTTCTCTTTCTTTTCTTTTCACTTTATTCTTCAATAAATATTGCTCAGATGGTTTCGCTTACTTTAATATTTTTCCACTTATTCAATGTGTGATTTTGAGCGGGTTATGAAAATAAATAAATTTTCTGATTTTCTGATTTTCTGACATCATTTTGGGAAAAGAAAGACAAAACTGAGGCTTAAGTGCCTATATGGAACGGAAATAGAGCTTTTAGAGGAAAAGAATTCAAAAATAGACTCTCTGAGAGGTATACGGGAAAAGGAATCCATTTTTTGAAGCCTATTTTTCTGATTTTTTTGATTTTTTAAAAATTTTTCTTTATTTTAAGTTGTAGATTTTTGAAATTACATTTGTTCAGCTTTGAACAAACCACTTGTATTTACAAGCAGCACTTTTTGTTTTACGCTAGCTTTGCCTTGGAAAAGAGCAACTTTTGAATAATTTCACTCTATCAAAATCAACTTTTGAAGGACAAATCCCATTGTTGATCCAATCTTTATTGAAAGGAAAGGTTATCAGGTTTTTCTTTTAAATCAAAATCTCCAGAAAAAACCCCGAGAAGCCTGACAAAAATAATAACACGGAAACGATACGACGGGGAAAATCTATGTACACGTGTGCTAAATCAAAAGAATGCAATGGGTGTCTATAGGGTGAAATATCAAAGGAGATTGAGAGATGAATGTGAAGGGAAAGGGGTGAGAGACATTCAGAGAGAACCACACATTGTGATCACCCCTTCCCCTTTCTAATGGAATGGAGCCCGTCGGTTTTTTTTTCATGCTTTTTTTTGCTGTTTCCTTGTCGTGTGATATTAAAAAGGACGAGTATTATTTGGTTTTTTTTCGTGAAAAAATCATTTTCACGTCTCGTTTCGCAGCATTTTTTGCATCGATTTGGGAAAATTGAAAATTTTTTTTAGTATTTTACTCTTATTGCAGTTTTGTTGTAAAGAAATCCTGTAACTTTAGACACTTGACTACTGTTACTGTACAAATTCGTCTAGTGATCACAGTGTGATCTAGTGATCATTTTTCACAAGCTTGCGTTGTGAAAGTGCTTGTGAAAAACCGTTCTACTATCCATAGTTCTCTTTTTGACAATACCGGGTTTGATATCTGTTTTATCAATCACTTCAATGTCTTTTCTTCTTCAAGTGAATCTCGGGTCTTACACCCAGCTCTATCTCTCCCATTTTATTTGTTTGGCTCTCAATCGAATCTCGGACATCAGCTCTGATATCTAACTGTGTCTTGGATAAACTTTACTTTAAAGTTTATTTTGTTTTTGCTGGTAGTGTTGGAGTTTTCTGAATCCTTGAAAAGTTTGTCATTATATCTTTTGTGACGAAGTGTTTCGTAGTTAATGGGGAAAGTAATGATGGATAAAATTACAATTCTTTACAAAGGATAATGACAAACTTGGCAAAAGTTTTGAATTTGTATCGCGTTTTATATTCATCGTGTTTTTGACAATATCCAGTTTAATAATAATTCATAGTACTTTATTGTAGCATTAGCTTCCTGTCACACATGCCAATTTCCTTATTTCAGACATGGAGACGATAAATTGTACAGTGAAAGAAAACTCCACTCAAAAACAATGTGATAGACATCCATCTGGAGATCGACTGAAAGTGAGCTTTTTTTTGTAAAATAATTTATTTTCTTGTTTATTTTCTTGTTTAGGAAGTGTATTCTCAATTCTCATCGGATTCAACGTCGACGAAAAATGCAGAGCCGGCACTGGCGACAACACGTTTTCTCTGCTCGAAATACATGGGCGGAATTTGGGCACGGGCAGCCGCCACCGATTATTCTGTGAAACCAATCACGTGGGTTTATTATAATTTCTTTTTCATTTAACCTTATTTTTATATTTTAGTGGTGGAATGTCAAACCTCCTTTTTCTTGTCGAGTTGCAAGGAGAGGAAGCGAAAAATGCGAATGAACCGACGAAGACTTTGCTGAGAATACACTGCCAAGTAAGAATTACGAGCGATTTTCATTTTCTTGTTTAAGGGAGATTTGAATCAACAATTGACCGAATCTGTCGTCTTCACGCTGTTGTCGGAAAGAGGACTTGGTCCACGGCTATTGGGTATTTTCCCTGGTGGACGGTGAATTTCATTTTTTAATTTAAAATTTAATTGTTTAGGTTTGAACAGTTTATCGAATCGCGAGCGCTTACCTGTTCCGAAATATCGCAACCCAGGTTAGAGCTATTAAAGTTGTTTTAAAGTTTTTTTTTTCGAGTTAGAATGTAACTTCATTTTAGATTTGCTCGAATATTGGCTCCGATGGTTGGCCGTGTACATACACTCGATGTTCCGATCACAAAAGAGCCACAGGTTTTATTTTTATTTCATTTTTTACAGAATATTTTAGACATTGCTTGTCATCAAAAATTGGATCGCCGAGTTAGAAGAATTGATTGGCGAGCGAGATATTAAAATTACCACAAAACAAGCAAAAGTTGATGTCAATAGGGTTTTATTAACAAAATAATGATAATAATAGTCAAAGTTTAGGTACCTTCTACAATAAGGGCCAACGATTTGTACAAAGAGGTCGAATTTTATCAGAAATTCCTTGATGTCGCCAACAGCCCAATTGTCTTCAGCCACAACGATCTACAAGTCATTGAAGCCAATTTGGGTTTAATTATTTCATTTTTAGGAAGGTAATTTTCTCCTCGCAAATGGATACAGAGTTGAAGAGGATGGAGTGAAAGCCGAAGGGAAAGTAGAAAACAACACCGATCCTATGGTTCTAATCGACTTCGAATATGCTTCTTACAACTATAGGTACTTCAAGATTTAATTTCATACATTCGTTTTAATACCCTAAAATTTTTGTTTAGGGGTTTTGATTTTGGAAATCATCTTTGCGAGTACGCTTTTGATTATTCGTCTTCCGAAGCTCCTTTCTATGAGGTTCGGTGTTGATTCTTTAATTCTTTAAACGAAATATTTAGATTTTTTCGGATCGTTTCAATGATGTAGAAGGACGTCGAACATTTGCTACCGCTTACGTTGACAAAATTTACGAGGTTTTATTGCAATTCCGAGATATAATACGTTTTTAGTTGAAATCATCGGCCGAAATGCCACATTTCCCTTCGGATTTGGTCACGGGTGATCGTGAAAAGGACATCGAAAAAGTTGTAGAAGTAAGTCAAAATTAATCGCTCAATTTATATGAAATTCAGGAATCCATACTCTTTATGTCACTTTCCCACTTGTTCTGGGTAAGTTTTTGCATATCAAAAAATTTTTAAAACGTGATTTTTAGTCGTGTTGGGCACTTGTGAATGCAGAAAATGCACTAGTACAATTCGAGTATGGTTGGTTCTTTTGCCAGAAAAATAATTCCTTTTTTTCATTTTAGGGAGCTACGGGCGAGATCGATTGGCGCTTTATTTTGACGCGAAACATTTGCTAGAGGAATTTATCAGAAAACATTCTTCGTGAATAGGCATTTCCTTTTTTCTCTCTTTTCACTTACATTGTCGTCTCTGGTCTCTCTTTGTGGCCTTTTTTTGTTTTGATTCTGCCTTACTTTTATATGACACAACGATTAAATCAGGGTCTCATTTGATATGCTGAATTTGTAATTTTGCTAGATTGAAAAATAAACAATTTCGAAACGAATCAAAAGACACGTTTAGACAAGTTTTCTGCTTTAAATTTACTTCGGGTTATGCTAATTTATGCAAGCCCATAATTTCTCATTTGTAAATCTCGTTTTCCTGTCTGGTAGACTGTTTTTCACAATAAAGTGCACTTTAAGCGAAGAACGCTTGTACTTTTTATGGCGCGCCCCTTTTTTGTTTGATAGTCACCGAGCCGCGACGCGTCAGTCGGGCCCAAAGCGAGCGGCAAAAAGGGGCAAATCAATGCGTTCTCTATCAGGATCCGTGCTGCCGGATTAAGAAAATAGGCAGTGAGAGGGGAAAGCCTCGAGGTTTTTTTCGTGTTAACTTTGACTATCACGCTCCGATCCCAAAAAGCCTTCTTTATCTGCCGCAATTATGCATAAAGCGGCCGCATCTATTCGCTCTAATAGGCCCTATCAAAAAAGTATTCAGTCGTTAAACTACGCGCCAGTCCTTTAATCGATAATTCTTGGGAGAATTTTCTCCCAAAGTTGTGCGATCGATTTCTCTTCCGAGTCGGGGCGCGTCTCACACATTTCGCAACCCGATGATTTTATCTCTGCGTCATCTCTCTTATCGCAAATCTTTTCTAATATATATCTAGGCGGCTGTTTCTATTTCTGGTCATATTAATTTCTTGTTTTGATCTCTCTGATCTTTGTTTACTTTTTTTGTTTCTTTTACGAATTGGTTAATAAGTTTCTTTTTTCAGGTAGCGAGATGGCTTCCCGCAAGACTGTGAGCCGCCGTGCTCGCCCACAACGTGCGACCAGCAATGTTTTTGCGATGTTCGACCAAGCGCAAATCCAGGAATTCAAGGAGGCTTTCAACATGATTGACCAAAATAGGGATGGTTTCATCGATCAAGAAGATCTTCGCGATATGCTTGCTTCGCTTGGCAAGGAAGTTGAAGACAAATTCTTGGATGAGATGGTCACCCAAGCTCCAGGACCAATCAATTTTACGATGTTTCTCACGTTGTTTGGTGAAAAGCTGACAGGAACTGATCCGGAGGATGTGATTCGCAACGCATTCCAATGCTTCGACGACGACAACTCGGGAAAAATTACTGAGGATCGCTTGCGAGAGTTGCTTACAACGATGGGTGATCGCTACTCACACGATCAAGTGGACGAACTTTTCCGTGACGCTCCAATCAAGGATGGAATGTTTGACTACATCGAGTTCACTCGTATGCTCAAACATGGAACCAAGGACACCGATGCTTGAAGACTGCCAACACAAAAGAAATACTTACTTTATTTGGGGGTTTTGCGTTCATTCCGTGTATCGATCACTTACGATTATGTGCTTTCCTGTTTCTCACTCTATAGTGCCTTTGCTTTCTTTTTTCGGATCAACTTTACTGTGATCTCCCGATGTGCATCTTAGTAATTTTGATTTTTAAATGCAGCTTCCGCTTTGCTAATTTATTTTTGGATAATTGGCTTTGAGAATTTTTGTAAGTGTTTATCTGGTAAATTAATGCAATAAATTTTCAGGCTGCATGGCGTCTGGAGATTCGCAAGAGAAAGGTTTCCTGAAGGATCTCGACTCTTGGGTAGGGATTTCGCTTCAATTCTTTCAATTTTTATTTTTTAGGTCGAACAACTTTACGAGTGCAAACAACTTTCGGAACAAAATGTAAAGCAACTTTGTGAAAAGGTGCGATTCTATTTTTCGTATATTCAAGTTAATTTTGTTTAGGCAAAGGAGATCCTTGAAAAGGAATCAAATGTGCAAGAAGTCAAATGTCCTGTGACCGTTTGTGGCGATGTTCATGGCCAATTCCATGACCTGATGGAGTTGTTCAAGGTATTTCTAGAATTGCAGTACCAAACATGTATTTGTTTAGATGGGCGGAAAAAGTCCTGACACCAACTACTTGTTCATGGGTGACTACGTTGATCGAGGTTACTACTCGGTTGAAACTGTAACCCTGCTTGTTTGTCTAAAGGTTTGTTACGAATAATAATCACAAATAAAAGTAATTCTTATTTGAGGTGCGCTACCGTGATCGAGTGACCATACTTCGAGGAAATCACGAATCTCGACAAATTACTCAAGTATGTTAAAGTTTTAATCGATCTTCAAATAGCTTTTTTATTACTTTATTATATTTTTACACTTTTATTTTACAGGTTTACGGGTTCTATGATGAATGCTTGAGAAAATACGGCAACTCAAACGTATGGAAATATTTCACCGATCTCTTCGACTATTTCCCGCTTACTGCCTTGGTCGATGGACAAATATTCTGCCTACATGGAGGACTATCACCATCGATTGACACACTGGATCATATTAGAGCCTTGGATCGCATTCAAGAGGTATTTATATTTTTAGTTAACAAATCTATTCTGATTTTAGGTTCCCCATGAAGGACCAATGTGCGACCTTTTGTGGTCTGACCCCGATGATCGCGGAGGATGGGGAATCTCGCCTCGTGGAGCTGGTTACACTTTTGGCCAAGACATCTCGGAGACATTCAATCATTCAAATGGACTTACTCTTATATCTCGAGCACATCAACTGGTTATGGAGGTATTAATTAAATTGATTAAAAAACCGAGTTATTTGTTAGGTTACCTGTTTAATAACTTCAATTTTTAGGGCTACAATTGGTCACACGATCGCAACGTTGTCACAGTGTTCTCAGCACCAAACTACTGCTATCGCTGTGGAAATCAAGCTGCAATGGTCGAGCTGGACGACGAGTTGAAGTATTCATTTTTGCAATTTGACCCTGCTCCTCGTCGCGGCGAACCACATGTCACACGTCGTACCCCCGATTATTTCCTTTGAAGTCCCTTGCCAGTATCTTCTTTCTTAAACGATCATAGCATTTTTATATTTGTAGTCTACGTAAATTTATGTGTGTTGTAAATTTATGCCATGATTGCATCTTTACTTCAATCTCCTCAAACATTTTTTCGAGATCTTCGTTTAGGTTTCTGCCCAGAATTTATTGGTTTATTTTAATTGGGGGCCCTCTCGCCCGGGTATTATGTATATCATATGCTTGTCTCCCTGATCTTTGAGAAAATTTTACTAGGCATAACGTGTTGTAAGTCAATGAGCTCGGTGCAATTCTTGTGCTAGCTCTGCTATTTTGTTACAGTTTTTGTTGTTTCTTGGGAGTTAAGCACACGAAAAACACGTCTATGCGCTGCGCGTAGCCCCCACGGAGTCTCGGTTCATTGTCATCTAGTCTTTTAGTTGGCAGCGACACGATAGACTTGCTGATTTCATTTATGTTGGTTATAAATTATTGCTTACGGCTCATCATCCTTTGATGTTTCGTGGCATTAAGAGTAATACGAACGGCTCTGTTGAATGTGGTGAATTGTTTGTCTTTTGGCAATCTTTCTACCCATACGATACACCTATTCCTTTCTTGCTTTACCCAACTTTCTCCTATAATCTCTATCATTTGTTCCTGTAAGACTTTTACGATAATTGTTCTCATAAAGCGAATATTCGTTTGCCGTTGTAAAAGTGAAATGTTCAGTAAAATAAAACTATTCATTAAACAAACAACACAAAAACCACACAGGCACCAGTGCTTCTAAATAAAATTGACTAGGATTGGATGAGATCGGCGGTAAAATGAATCATCAATGAGATACCCGTAGTGACGATACATGGTTGATTTGGTGTAGAATTGGTTCAATTTCAACAGGAATGAATATGGTGATAACTTGAAAAATCACTAATGAAAGACAGCGATCAAAAACAATAGCAAATAGAATAGAAATACCCATTGTACGATTCTTATTTGAGAAGCAAATTGACGTAAATAGACAGGCACTAACCCTAGAGCTTTCAGCTAACTTTAAGGGTTAAACGGGCATGTCTCCTTGAGCCAGCAATCCGGTAGTGGCCGCTGTGCCATCGCGGGTTGTACTCTGAAAATTTTTCTTCCTATTTCCCCCAAGTGGTTCGTGTACTCACGGCGAATACGGCGGTGCATCCCATTGCCACTCGTTGGGTGTCTTCGACGAAATTTGTGCAAGCCGAATCGAATCGTAATACCCGCATCGAGTAGTACATCGGCTCACAGCGAATAGATGAAAATCTGGAATTAAGCTGGGGGTTTTGTTTCGATTTTCCTCTCACCGATCCGGATTCTTCGAACTGTGCGGCATCAGACACATACATTCGACCTCGACAATACTTGCTGGTACTCTCTGAAATTTTAAAGTCATAAAGATTCAGAAGTTTGTCTTACCTTTGGATCATAGTTTAGCACATGTCGAAACGGGCACAGCGCTCTTTCGCGAACTGGCTGACCGGGAAGTACCTGGGAAATTGACTGAATAAATTGAAATTTGAAATCATCTCCTTACTTGTTCAGTTTTCCCATCGACATTGCATTGCTCATCGGCTACACTTGACTCGGTGGTAGCCCGGAAAGCATGCTGAAAACATTTCATAAACAAGGAAGTGTGTGCTTTGATGGTGGCTTCAAAAGTCTTCAAAAGTTTCTTCGAAAAAAAGTGTGCACAGTGGCTTCTATCCAATTACAGAATGATTGCTTTTCACTTTAATTGTATCCTTTTGCAAATGTTAACTTTTTCTTGGGGTCAATGAATGAAAACGTTTCTTGGAAAAATGCTGGCACTGTAATTTTGGTTTTTCGAATTTCAAAACCCCCACCTGGTTATCGGGCTCAATGTAGGCGACTGATCGGCCTTGCTCTTTTCGAGCCGACAAAAGCGCGTTCGCCTTGCCGATCAATGGAGAAGTGGACATGCACTCTTCGGAGGAGTGCAGGGATCTGAAGAAGATAGAAGGTGACTTGCTTTTAATTAAAGCTGTGTACAGTTGTAGGGGCACTGTAAGCCCTAGGATCTTGTCTCGTTATCGGATACCGAATCGAAGGTTTCAATTTAAAAATTCAATCAATGTTATCTAATTTAGTTGAAGGATTTACTAATTGTAATCAAATGTCAAATATTTATGCACTAGACTTGGTATTCGATTGAAATTCTGTTGGATTGGATTGGATTGGATTGGATCGGATAGGATTGGATCGGATTGGATTGGATTGGATTGGATTGGATTGGATTGGATCGAATTCAATCCGATAGAGGCTTTTATCGGATCGGGTCATCATCTGAGGCAATCCGATCCGATGTAATCCTAATCCGAATTCAGCCCATCGGATCGGAAGAAAGAAGAAAAAACGTCTACTAGCATACTTCCATTAAAAATGGAACCAAGAATGGAAAAGGTTAGAGTCAGAGTAACCTTCGAGTTGGTGATGAAACAAGTTATCAATAGTGCAGTTAATTGAACGACTTGCAAACTGTAAACCAAGAAATAACAGACTTACGATACAAGTACGGACATTTAAATTTAAGATCGAATTTAAGATTCCAAAATCTGATTTTTCTATCTTGCTCGCATTGTAAAAAGGCTTTGCAATTGGAAATCTTTAGACTTTCGTGTATAATTTTCAGCCTTTAGACTTTAAGAGTAGCAATTTTGAGAGAGGAAGTGTAGAAATAAATATTTCCCCGGAACCACTTTTAGTCAACTCATTGTGAGGAACCACTTTTAGCCAACTCATAATGAGGAACTATAAAAGTGAAATTTTTGAATAACTCTGAGAGCTGACAATTTTCGGTGAACTTTCAAGGAAGAAAGAAGAAGAAAAAAAACGACTATAGTCGAATCATTTCTTTTTTTTTTTTGCTCTTTTTTAATGTCGACTTTGGAAAAAGAATTGTTTAAAGTGGTAATTTTAAAAAAAACAAAATTTGGCACAGTACAGTAACTTTTTTGAAATAACTTACATTAACTTTATAAAATATTTTAGTAATAGGCTATTTTGAAAGCTTTTTTGAACATTTAAAACACAAATTTCTACGAGTAAAACACAGCTTTTTTTGATTAGTATTTGGAAAACTTTTTTCTGAAGGGATCTGAAGAAGATAGAAGGGACTTGCTTTTACTTAAAGCTGTGTACAATTGTAGGGGCATTGTAGGCCCTAGGATTACTTAAAGCTGTGTACAATTGTGGGGGCACTGTAGGCCCTAGAATTACTTAAAGCTGTGTACAGTTGTAGGAGCATTGTAAGCCCTAGGATTACTTAAAGCTGTGTACAGTTGTAGGGGCACTGTAAGCCCTAGGATCTCGTTATCGGATACCGAATCGAAGGTTTCAATTTAAAAATTCAATCAATGTTTTAAAAAAATGGCACAGAACAGTAACGTTTTTTGAAATAACTTACATTAACTTTATAAAATATTTTAGTAATAGGCTATTTTGAGCATTTAAAACACAAATTTCCACGAGTAAAACACAGTTTTTTTTTGATTAGTATTTGGAAAACTTTTTTCAAACTTTCTATCCATCAATTTCTGAAAATTAAAAGTTCAATCACATCACCGTCTATCACAAAAAAGTTTTTATTGATTTTGAGCTTTTGGAATTGTTTCAATTGTTTCTTGGAATTGTTTGAATTCTTTTTGAAAAGTTAGAAATGTTAAGCTTGAGAAAATACGGCAACTTTCGAGTTATGGAAATATTTCACCGATCTCTTCGACTATTTCCCGCTTACTGCCTTGGTCGATGGACATTTTTCTATGAGAATAGGGGAAATTCGAGAGAATTCTTGTGGAAAGAGTCGTTTAAAAACAAGTAAAAAAAAAATGAAGAAATGAAGAAATGTTAGAACGAGAGAATATGACTGAAATGGAGTCTTTTTGAAATACCTAATTTAAATGTTTGACATTTTGACCTATTTCCTTTGAAGCGATTACTTTTTGCAAATAGACAAAATAGACTTCTATTTTTACTTTGTCATTATTGTTTTACTTTTACTTTTACTTTGTCATTATTGTTGTATCTTTCCTCAGGGCTTTTTCCCTTAATTCATTTTAGGATAAATAAAAATAAGAGTATTTAAAAATGGATATTGATGATTTTTGAGAAAAAAAAGGAAAAATAGGTATTTAGAGGAAGGTAATTTTGGAGGATGAAGGGAAAAAGGGAAAAGTAAACGGAAAAGAATGAAGGGAAAAGGAAAAGAACGATACGAATATATATATATATATATATAGATATATATATGTCGCAGCCGCTCGTGATTTTCATCCGCTAGTGATTGAATCACCCCATCGGCTAGCCGCTAGTGATTCAATCACCATCGGTCAAATGTTTCGTTAAAAAACTTTCAATCACCATCGACTAGCCGTTGGTGATTTAACCACTAGCGGCTAGCCGATTTTATCAGCTGGTCAACTATATATTCAACTAAACATCGGAAAATTCCAACCCGAACCTAATTCCACTTTCGTTTTCTTAACCGATTCCTCTGGAATCTTGTTTACAAATAGAAATCGACATTTTCAGTTTGTAGAGGAATCGGCCAAGAAAACGAAGGCGGAATTAGGTTCGAATTGGAATTTTTCCATGTCTATGACATTGTTAAGTCTGACACTAGGCTAACCGTTAGTTTCAGATCCATTGGCGGAATTGGCGAAAGAATCAGATCGACTAAAGGAGTGACTGTCTGTTGGAATCACTTCTCATTCAAATCACTTTAAAATCACTTGACATTTAAACTCAATCCCCCTTAACTCATTGAGTCTCTCTCTCTCTTTTGTGTCATCTTTAAACCAATCCATTTCTTCTCAACTCTCAGTCATTCGGTTCATTGAGAGATTTTAAAATGTCCAAAAACTGTTCAATTTTTTCATCTCCATTAGCAATTATCTTTTGAAATCAGTGGGTGGTTTCCCTGTTTCCCCTTTTCCAATCACAAAATCATTAAAAAAAGCTTGATTGGCGGTGAAATTGGCACCTTTCTGCATCTCTAATAGTTATCCAAAACTCATCCAATTTCTTTATTTTCTCTTCCTATTCCTCCACAAATCTCTTCTCTATAATAGAAAGCTAAAAGGTCAATTCTTTTGTTTTTAAACACAATTTTCAGCTTTATTTTGCTTGGAAATCTTTTGCTTGGAGATCTCTCTTGGAAATGAATGTTTTGCTGTCAGTAAATTGAAAGTTTTTGGGAAACAAGGAAAAATAGAAAATAGACAAAATGGAATGTTTTTCGAGTGTTTACAGTTAAATTTGAGGAAATTCTTGATCTTTGTTTTTTGCAAAATATTGCAAATATTGTAGATACTCACCGATGCCTCCGCGTGCGTCCTTCTGTCAGGGGGAAAGTGGCGAGGAACTGGAAAGTGATGAATGATTACCGTAAATACTGTAATAGTACCCCACCCCCCTCGTACAGTCGCGTAGTCGCAAAAGTTTTTTAGCAATTTCATTTTTTTCAAAGCGCTCGTACTTTCAAAAAATGCGTCTTTGGTATCAAAAAATAGCTGAAATTCAGGGCTATTTTTTGATACCTAAGCGCACTTTGTAGCATAAACCAGTGTCGGGAAAAACGCGTGCAAAGCTAGCTAGACTACGCAACACTCCGCACCGTCATTATGGGGCTGGGGTACTACTATAGGATTTACGGTGTGTACATTGATGGCTTTAGCCAGAGTTAACCCTCTCTGGAGAAAGGGAGATCGAGTGGGTTGTGGCTTAGGCTTAGGCTTAGGCTTAGGCTTAGGTGTAAGCCGCTGTGGTGTAAGCCGCTGTGGTGTAAGCCGCTGTGGTGTAAGCCGCTGTGGTGTAAGCCGCTGGGTGTAAGCCGCTGGGTGTAAGCCGCTGTGGTGTAAGCCGCTGTGGTGTAAGCCGCTGTGGTGTAAGCCGCTGTGGTGTAAGCCGCTGTGGTGTAAGCCGCTGTGGTGTAAGCCGCTGTGGTGTAAGCCGCTGTGGTGTAAGCCGCTGTGGTGTAAGCCGCTGTGGTGTAAGCCGCTGTGGTGTAAGCCGCTGTGGTGTAAGCCGCTGTGGTGTAAGCCGCTGTGGTGTAAGCCGCTGTGGTGTAAGCCGCTGTGGTGTAAGCCGCTGTGGTGTAAGCCTTAGCACAGTTGCCTGGTAAGCGAAAGGTCGCGGGTTCGAGTCCTGGATCTGCCCTAGTTCCAACTCCAGGAATTCGTCTTTGATGGTAGACTAATTACTTAGCTTTATCCAATCTTACATCTCACCGACCTTTGTTTTTAAGACAAATTTCGGACTTAAATACTGGTGAAGAGTATTCTGATGGGAATCTAGAAAATCTAGACAAATCCAATCTTGAACTGGGCAAGAAAATGCAGAAATTTTGCACATAACTCACCAATAACGAGAAGCCGAGCACGGTGAGCGGTCGATTGGACACGCGAAACATTGAAGCGCTGAAATGGGGTTACAGTCTTTAAAACAAGAATAGAAATTCTTTAATTAGTCAAAAAGAAATTTGACACAAGATTTATGGTAAATCAATGAGTTTAAAAGTAAAGTCGAAATGTTTGAAGTGATGAGGATTGAATCTGCTACAGTTCAAGGGAAAGGAAAACTGGTTTTTTTGAGATTGACTATCGTTGATTAACTAGACTATTGACTTAACTATTTTCTAAAAGTATCAGCAATTTAAGCTAGCTGTCAGATCACAATCAGCTCAGCTTAGAAATGGGTTTTTTTTCCTTAGAAGCTGGATGTGCTAGTATCAATTTTCTACATCATTTAGATCAAAGTACGAGGTAGATCTGCCTAAGGATTTATCAACAAAACAGCTAATCAGCTAATTAGCTCATCAGCTAATCCACGAACCAGCTCATCAGCTAATCAGCTAATCAGCTAATCAGCTAATCAACTAATCAGCTAATCAGCTAATCAGCTAATCAACTAATCCACTAATCAGCTAATCAACTAATCCACTAATCAGCTAATCAGCTAATCAACTAATCAACTAATCCACTAATCCACTAACCAGCTTTAATACTTGCTTTATGACAAGATGCCAAGATCTACTGTAGAGAAAGGAAAATGGAAAACAAGGAAATCGGGAAAACCAAGAAATGTTAGTGGAATAAATGAATTGGTATTTGGAGAAGATCACAGAATAAGGGAGATTCCCTTCATTTACTTTTACTCTTTATCAAAGGCTCTCATTAAATATCTTCTATCTTTGTAGGGGAGACTTTTAGAAGAAAACTGATGGGCGGGCCTTTTTGTGACCTTTCTCCCCTTTCAATAACTTCAACTTCTGAAAACTTTGAAATTTCCATTTCCATCACAAAAAAAGGATAATTTGAGATATTTGGGATATTTCATTGGGAAAAAGAGTAAAATAATTGTGTTCTTTTTGTTCTTCTTCTACTCGAAATCAAAAACAACAGTATTGTGCAGGTGCAAAGGCATAGATCACTTAGAACTTGTATACTGAACGTTTATTGCAGAATGGTTATGGATAACTGTTGCGTCAATAATTAGCTTTTAAAATGCAATGTTGCTTAAATTTTTGATTTAAGTGAACTGTTAGACATCTGGAAAACTTTTCCATTCCGATAATATAGAATAGACTGAGGAAAGTGTAGAAAGTGAAGGAAAGTAGAAGGAAAGTGAAGGAAAGTGGAAAGTGTAGAAGGAAAGTGTCATTAACAAGTGTCGAATTTGATAATGAAATGACGACAATGTCAATCGACAAGGAAATGTCAATTTGTAGACATTATTAAAATAGGAATAAGGTAGAAATAGATGGAAAATTGAGATTGATTAACGCTTTAATGATGTCGAAAGATTGTAGATGTTAGAAAGGAAAGAATGAATCGAAAAAAAACAATATTATTGGGTTGGTGAATTGAGAACTGCCGGCTATTGTCATGTGTGACAGTTTGAGCACTTTCTTCAAAAGAAACCCATTTTGGTGTCAATGGAAAAGTTGTAGAGAATCAAAAATCAAACTTATATCCAAATTTTCAGAACGATTCAAAAACTGGTTTTCAAGAAATGCCAAATTTACGAATTTTCACAAAACTTGCATTTTAAGCGAAACTACTAAGTGTATCTTTTTGCAAATTTGGCTATAAGCCTAATTTTTGATTCTCTACAACTTTTCTATTGACACCAAAATGGGTTTCTTTTGAAGAAAGTGCTCAAACTGGGACATCTCCAGTCCTCCATTTTTGAGTCTCACACTTGTCTCACACACAAACCAAAATCCTACCACGAAAGAGGAATCCGCAAATTGCCTGTAAAATGGGCAGAAGTCGTCAATAATAATGGAAATTATTTGGAATGATTTCAGGATTTTATGTTGAATAAATTTTAGTTCAAAGTCTAGCAGTTTTCAATTCACCAACCCAATAGCTGTGAACTGGATACCGGATCGGACTTTTGAAGACTTTTCTCGAGGGCTTAAAGGCTTCAAGCTCTGACTTGACTACCATAACCTGTAACCCAGTTAGTCACGTTTTCAGTAAGCTTTTTTCATCGTAGCTGTAAAGATTACTGTAACATCGACCAAATTATAACCTCCATCGACATCTGGGCTACGGTAAATGACCCTCAAGTTGGTGCTCGGAAAAGTTTGCAATTCGAAAATGTTCTAGTGCCAGGCATACTTAAATTTTGAAAATACTTCTACTCTCAGTTCAGTGCTTCAGTTTCAGTCTACTTATGTGAATAAAGACCCTAGCATGGTGGCTGGGACAAGTGTCGGTGTAGCTCATTTGTAGAGCGCTCGCCCGGTGAGCGAAAGGTCGAGGGCTCGGATCCCTCGATAAGTAATAATAAGTAATTAATAAACACGCGGACTCATGCTTTTTTTTGTTTTTAAAAATTGTCACCTGTGGCCTTTTTTTATTTATCTTGAATTTTCAAGGGGGAAATGATTCACCAAGTAATTGGAGATCATTTTTGTAAGTGGGGAGGCTTTGGTCAAGGTTATTTCAGGATCCTGTGGTCATGAGCTGGGTCAGTGGCCGACTTGAGCTTGCTTGAATCGGGTCTAGCCAGCCACTAGATTCATTGATTCCATTTTGCCATAAGCCAGTTTTTTTTGTGCCCGTTTGGAGTGAGTAAATCTGACAAGTTGTAAATTTTTTGAAGAAAAAATGCGAACAAAATCAGGGCAAAAATTTTCGCAAAAGATCTGACATTCAAAACCAGACGAGAGCTCGATCGTTTCTTCCAAAAGGAAAGCCCTTATACCGGGACGATTTGCCAGAAGGTGGGCGGTTACTCGGCCGCACAGAGAACACCTCGTCACTCACTAGAGAGAAGATATTCAGCTGTAAATTCAGACAAAAGCTATAAAAGAAGATGTTCAGCTGTGGAAGGGTTTTCGGGGTCGGCGAATCGATTGGAACTATTCGCCTTATCGAGTCAATCGTCACTCTGCCTTTGTTTGTTTGTTTGAAGTTTGCTTTTAAGTTAAAGTTTCCTATTACTGACTACGAGCTCTAGGTACTTTACCGGCTCTTCCCCATGTAAATCCTTCTCAAATTTTCCCCCCAACTTTCCAAATTCGAATTCCCAGCATAATCTCAAAGCACAAATTTTTCCATCAACTCTATTCGTTTTAAATTTTGCGTTTTTTCTTTCAAATGATTACCGTATTTCTTCGAATAGAAGACCGGGTAAAGAGTATGATCGCGTACTCCTGCGTAGCAGCCCCCTTCTTTTCTGCATAAAAGCTTTCAATCAAGTGCTATAGAGCTGGAAAATGGTTCAAAAATCTGTTAGCTCATGCGATATTTTTGAGTCATTTTCCAGCCCTATAGCACTTCATTGAAAGCTTTTATGCAGAAAAGAAATTTTAAAAAGGGCTGCGAGTACGCGATCATACTCTTTACCCGGTCTTCTATTCGAAGAAATACGGTATTCCCATGTTTTCAAAGGCTTTCAAACCATTCAAGAATTTTTCTTTTTAGTTACACTTTCACCTATTTAAAGTGTAAAAAAAGATCATTTTTTTCTTCACAAACACTTACCGTAAATACTGTAAAATATATCAATGGGAATTACCCCATTGATAGAGTACCCCACCCCCGTCGTACAGTCGCGTAGTCGCAAAAGTTTTTTAGTATTTCATTTTTTTCAAAGCGCCCGCACTTTCGAAAAATGCGCCTTTGGTATCAAAAAATAGCTGAAATTCAGGGCTATTTTTTGATACCTAATCGCACTTTGTAGCATAAACCAGTGTCGAGAAAAGCTTCTGAATAAAGTGTCTATATGTCGTAGCCGATTATGAATGAGTGGGTCTAGGAGCGTCCAACCATCAAGTATTTGATCTCATTCAACGCAGAATCATTGATAATTATGTTAAATTTTTAAAATTAGAAAGATTTGATAAAAAGAAAAAAAATTATCGGGCTTCAAAGTTTCCTCTTGAACAAACAGTTTTTTTGCTCTAATTTTTTTTCTTTTTATCAAATCTTTCTAATTTTAAAAATTTAACATAATTATCAATGATTCTGCGTTGAATGAGATCAAATACTTGATGGTTGGACGCTCCTAGACCCACTCATTCATAATCGGCTGAAATTCATAATCGGCTACGGGGGTCCCGCCGATTTTGAATGAAACGTTGTAGCGCCGGCAATTTTTAACTTAGACTCACAAATTTGGTACCAATCGACGCAGAATTTAATTCGCTACAAGATGATATAATATTGTCCTCATACATTAAAGGGTTGCTCTACTAGAAAGATTTTTGCCAAAGAATGTTCATTCATAATCGGCTACGACATATATATTGACAAAAATCTCCTTTGTCAAATTGTTCTTTAAATGATATTCTTTCATTTCAATTTTCAAATGGATACATACAAAATTGGAAATGAGTTTTCTTTTCAGAATTTTGTGTTTAGGATTTCGTTTGTTTGTTTGTTTTGTTGTTTGTTTGTTGTTTGTTTATCTAGTTCCTATTTAGTTCCTATTTGGTTAGTTTATAGTTCCTATTTGGTTATTTTATAGTTCCTATTTAGTTCCTATTTAGTTCCTTTATAGTTTCTTTATAGTTCCTATTTGATTACTTTATAGTTCCTATTTAGTTTGTTTCGAACAGCTTGATTCAATAGTTTACAAAATTCAATCGTTCCAATAGCTCAATAGTTCCCACACGTCAATCAAAATATTTTTTTTTCCTTTTTAAATGAGGAAACTCGTTTACCCGGAAGCCTTTCATGAGTCCTTATTCTGTACTTTTCTTCGTTAAATGTTTGAAGGTTCGAGACGTAAACACACACGCAAAAGAAACTCAAAATGAAGCGCCCACTTTCCCGCTGCTCACACAAAATGTCATCAGCCAACCCACTCCTCCAGAAAATGACTTTTGATCATAATTGGTTTCATTCTAGAAATGACGAATGAAAAAAAAAGCGAAAAACCTTTGTCGAAATAGTAACATTTAGCAAATATCATCTGCATTAGAGAAAAAGGGAATCCGTAGTTTTGTCCTTATTAAGAAATATTATTAAGAAATTAGTTTTGTTCTTATTAATTTTTGTTCTTATTAAGAAAATATATTTCTTCATACGAAAAAATCTGAAATAAACAATAAACAAGCCTAAATGTAGAGAAAAAACCCATATCTTTGACAAAAAAGAAACTAACGAACCAGAGGGAGGATTGAACCCTTGACCTCCCGACTAGAATACAGGGCTCTTAGCCAGTCGGCCATGAGGCCTACTTGTCCACGGCGAAAAGAAGCGGGTTTTCTTTGGCTTGGGTCACACATTGGATTTAATTTTCTGAAACTAAAGAACTGTAAAGAAATTTTCGAGGTACTCTTTAGTTTAAAGACATTTTCTTGAAGTGTTTTCTAAAAAGTGCTTCAAGGAACTGGGATATAAAACTAGCTTCTTTTCGCTGTGAACAAGTAGGCCTAATGGCCGACTGGCTAAGAGCCCTATATAGAGATATGTCGCAAGTAGGCATTGGGTTTTATATCGTAATCCCAATGCCTACTTGCGACAACAATGACATTTCCATTCAAACTTTAAATAAAATCATCAACTAGAATCATATTTATAGCACAAAATCCAAAGTTTTTCCCTGTTTTTCCCTGTTTTTCTCTCCTTTTTGAAACCCTAACAACGAAATGTCAAAAATGTCAAAAATTCATTCTTAACCCCAATATTTGTGTTATCATTCGCCGGAAGTCCCACTTTGCAGACCATCAATTTTCCCGGGAATTTCAATCAAAATGTCACCCAATTCCCCACGCAAACCTTTCCCGTTCTAGACAGGAAATTTTCAAAAGCTTCAACCACCTTATTTCTTCTTCCTTTTTACCCAATTTAAATTAGAGGTTTCAACTTTATCTCCACCTACAAGTCTCTCATTTTTTTCCCTCTTTTCGAATGAATGTTTTGTTCTTGATACAATTTTAACTAGTAAATTAAAACTAAGCAATATGCTAAATAAACAATATGCTAAATAAGAAAAGTTTCGAATAAACAACCCTCATTGCTAAAGCACTTTCAAAAAAGTATTTATGATTTTAGGAAAGACTACATCAAATTAGTACTCGATAAATGAAAGTAAAATGACAAGCAGATGGTTGAGGGTTCAATTCCGCGCTGTTCCTCTCTTCTTTTTGTTATTTCTTAGTACTATACTGTAAAGGTTTGCTGAAAAAAAGGCTACTGACCAAGTTAATCTTTCAAAAGATTAAAAAGTATTAATTTTTTTTGATCTTTTGTGCCCAAAAAAGATGAAAATAGCTGCAGATAGTTGCAGATCAGTTACAGCAATGTTTTGTTGGAAAAGCAAAGCAATGAGGGAAAAATCTTGCAACTGTAAAACCCGGATTTCGATTCTTCTTGGAAACCCGGATCTTTGTGAAAAGCTATGCTAACCCAAAGCAATTTGGGAATCATTTACAGATTTTGGGAACCATCAAAGGTCAAACCACTAGACAGAGTAACTATTGAGGTCCTCTTTGGGGACCTATCTATCGGCGACATGTGCCAGACGACGAGCGATGACGCGACCGCACAAAGAACATCCCTGCCACTTTATAGTGATTTTTCTTTTGTTCTGTAAATGATTCCAAAATCGAATTAGCTTTGGGTTTGCATCTGATAGCTTGATAGCTAAAGACTGGGATTTCCGAGAAAACCTGAATTGCAATCTTCCAAGAATTGCATTATTTAGCCTTTCTCGAACTCTATAACAGTTGCAGAAAAACCTAAAAACTTGAGTGAAATTCTTTGCTTCGAGTATTAATGAGGGAAAAGCAATGAGGGGAAAGGAATGAGGGAAAAGCAATGAGGGAAAGCTCCTTGGTACTACTCTGCAACATTTGCTTTGTAATTTCTTCTTATTTCATTTTTACAAACTTTATTAACAAGCTCAAGATGAAGAAGAAGAAAAAGTGAATTTCTTGGCTCAATTGTGACGAGAGACAATTGGAATGTGTTAAAGGGAATTCTTTTTTTACACAATAACAATTTTTTACACAATTTCTTTCTCTACTCAAAAAACACACACAATAATCTTATCAAGGAAATGATTCAATTCAATGAATAAATTGATTATTGAAATGAATAAAGGAAACCTGTAAAACCTGGCACTCTTTAGGGAAAGAAATTTGTAAAAATAAACCCAAAAAAAAAAAAAGAAAACATCAAAATTCTGAACACCGTAATTGACTACGAATTACTACAATGTTCAAATGAAGATTGAGGGAGAAAATGGGCATAAATATTGAGCTTATCGGGGGGCGGCTATAAACTAGTATTCACTAAATACTACGATCCTACAAGGGATTGGTGTAGGTGATGGATTTGATCTTTGTGCAGTTCAATTATCGAGATCCACATCGCTCAAAGCACCGCCTCCGTCACTTGCCGCCTCGTTTGGCTTGCCCTGAAACGGGTTTACACTTGGGGAAATTGATTTACTACTGCAAACAAAAAAAATCTGCTCAAGCAGATCACTTGCCGTTATTTTTACTACAAGTTCATAACTGACATTCTTGCCTTTCAAATGAAACAATTTTCAGATTGATAACTATTCTAGAAACTGAGATCGTCCAGGGGTTTAGGTCTGGTTTAGGTCTGGTTCAGATCTGGTTCAGATTTGGTTCAGATTTGATTCAGATCTGGCTCTGGTTCAGATCTGGCTCAGATTTAGTTCAGATTTGGTTCAGATTTGGTTCAGATTTGGTTCAGATCTGGCTCTGGTTCAGATCTGGCTCAGATCTGGCTCAGGTTCAGATCTGGTTCAGATCTGGCTCAGATCTGGCTCAGGTTCAGATCTGGTTCAGATCTGGCTCAGATCTGGCTCAGGTTCAGATCTGGTTCAGATCTGGCTCAGATCTGGCTCAGGTTCAGATCTGGTTCAGGTCAAATATGAGCATGAATATCGATAAGTTCCGATCTACTTAACAGCGTGCTCAGCTTAAAATGGTTATAGCTTTGAATTTAATTGTTAATTTGTTCATTGGTATTAAATAAAGATTTTAAAAGAAAAGTTAACTCTTTAAAGTTTAATCTTGTCTACCTACAAAGCTTTCTATCTGCACCTATAATGACCGCCATGTAATAAATGTTTTAATTAGCTCTAGAGGGTGATTAGGCAAGTGAAATAAGACCTCACCCAGGTTCAGGTCAGCCTTCTGGCAAACCCAGGGCCTCAGACTTTTTGGGTCCAGGTCCAGCTTGAGCCAGCTCCTGTCTTCAGTCTAGTCAGCTTGGCCTAGATCTTAGAACCTTGATTAAGAGCATAATAACAACTTATCACACTATATCACACTATCCGCATATTGCTCTAGAAACCAGAGCTTCAAGTGACTCTTTGTCCATTCAACTCTTCTTTTCCCCTCACCTTTCCCTTCTTTTTGTGATGATGATGATGTACAGGTGGATTGCCGGCGATATTCTTGATTTGCTTGAACGTTTTCCTCTTTTCTTTCAATTCTGCTGGTAGTTTTGTGCGTTTTCCTTGATCTTCGGTCGTCTCGTCCGCGGTCGCTTTTGCTTCAGCGGCTTCTGAAAGAAAATTGTTCGAATGAAATGGATGAAATGATTTTTGATCTAAACTGAATCAACTATAAATGGGAAGAATATGTGAAGCTTTTTTTGGGCAAAGAAAAAAATCTTTGAACAAACCACAACACTACTTAACTGGGTTCTTTTTGGTTAAAGCGTTTTCGAAAAGGTTTGCTTTTGTACCGTAAATCTGTTGTTCTTTGGTCTGTTGTTCTACCATAATAGCTTAAACTATTCATTCATTAGTCTAGGCTAAATTCAAAACGAGTTACTGTAGCCTTAGGTAAAAAATCTTGTTACTTGGCTAGCTTAAAAGCACTTTTCAAGAAAGCACACCATAAGGAACCCAGTTTCTACACTATTTCTTTAGAGCTAAGAAATTTGCGGTGAATTTGAAAAATTATAACTTATCTTATAAATTTTGATATGCAAATTTCTCTGCTCTTTCTACAGCCCATTTGAAAGTGGGATAGTGAAAAAAGAAAGAATTTTACGAAAACAAAAGAGAAATCTTGCTCTCTCACAACGAGAAAAATGGCACACCGAATACCTCGGCAGATTGTGATCCATGATCTTAAAATGGTTAGATATGAACAAAACAAAAAAACAAAAGATAAATAGTTAATTGAAAATGTTTTTATGATAAACAAACTCTTTTCTTGATGCTTTTGGTGTCGATACTTGCGATAACTGTTTCTCCAACGTTGCGCGTCGGCGGCCGTCATTTCGGGCGCCGTTCGGCCGAAACCTCTCATTTGACCGAATTTCATTTGACGAAGCACGCGGAACTGAAAACAGGATAAGAGATTTAGGATTCGTGTGTAAAAATTGACTAACTAAGGGTGAGGAGAAGGATGTGGATACTGAAAAGTCACTACTAAATAAGTGCTAAGGTGGTAAGATCATGGTTTTTTTTAAAGCTCTCTAGCTAAGCTAAAAGCTAGACCAGGCTAGGCCTGGGGATCAAAATGAGACCAGTCCAGGCGATTTTTTTTCTTTCAGGCGGCTTTTGAAAACATTAGAATGAGCACATCTGGACTAGTCTGACTCTAGCTTTTCGCCTCTACATAGAATATGGCTTCAAATTTCAAAGAATATTCAATCTTTGATGTCTGAATTCATCTCTTGAATCATTGCATACCATAGTGAACTAATGTTTTACAGTATCTTTACAACTATGTCTACTGAAAGGACAAACAAATCTCCGTAAAAATCACCACTACACTAACATGCAAAAAATCGGGAACTTTGAAAGCTTTTTTAAAGCAAATTTAAAGCAATTTTAAATAAATTCAGATTTCAAAAGAGAATTCTTGTTTAAAGTTTTAAAACTCAGAATCCCCGATCTTTGCAATCATTCAATAAAATCGATACTCGTTTATAAAATCCGTATGAATAGTTCGGGGTTATCGCGTAAAGCCAAGCCTTCTAAAATAGGTTGAATTTAAGACTTTGATAATAATATTAATAATATTAGATAAATAAATATTTACATGCATTCCCAGCAATTGCATCCCCCTCAACCACAATCCTTGGCCCGTTCGACGAACGGTCAACGCTCTCGAGCGAACGTTCACGTTGTAGTCGCCATTGATGTGCAGTTTTGACGGCTCCATTGGACCCTGAAAAGTCATTGGGTGAAAGAAAGAAAGATTGAATTTAAGCTTCAAGATATTGCAGTTTATTTGTAGCTTTGCAAACCTTGAGATAGGCGAACTTCTTCGGCAACTTCTTGCTAGGAATCGTTGCAACAACTTGACCCCAAAGGAGTTCCGAAACACCGAAACCGAGACAAACGAGCCTGGGAGCAATTAATATTAGCGTAAATTGCTTATCAAGTCAAGTTAGTACACTGATAGGCTGAATATTCTAGTACTTGATAGCTATTTTTGTATCAAATAACTGCCCAATTACAGCAATTTGCGTAACAGACTCTCACCATTGATTCCATGTAAGCGGCGCCACCGAAAACCACTGTCCACCGTAATTGATGATGAAGATTTGCCCGATAAATGTTGACAACCAGATCACACAGAAGACACGATTACGAAGAAGACCCTGAAAAAGGAAAAATGAATTACCGTAAAGTTAAAAGGCTAAAAATAGCTTGAAATAATTTCACTTGGCAGGCTAAAATTAGCATCATATTCTTAGAACTAGACTCATTTCTTTACCTTAAAGATATTCCTCTCTCCATGCACTTTTCTCGCGTTGAATTCATTGAAAAGGGTCATCATGACAAAAGTGTTGAAAACGATTGTGAAATGTTGAGTGGGCGGAGAATATAGAGGAGCATCGATACCCGTTGGAATGTTGAAGATTTTGTGACCTAGAAACATTGGATTGACAAGGGATAATGTTTAGGTTAAAGATTAGAGTAAGATCTTTAGATTAAGATTAACTCTATCGTACTTAATAAAACTTAAAAACATTCCAACTCACCATAGAAGAAGAAAGTGAAGAGAACGATGAGCTGATAGATCGCATGACTGACAATATTCTTCACCATCGTCCGCGAGATCAGCGATTTCTTTCGGCCATATGGTTTTCGATTCAGCAAATCCTCGGTGGGTACCTAGATTATTATGTTAGATTAAATAGATTAGATAGATTAGATAGATTAAATAGATTAAATAGATTAGAAAGATTAAATAGATTTGATTGATTGATTAGATTGACTAGATTGATTTGATTGATTTGATTAGATGTTTAATTAGCTTGTTGTTTAGATTGTTTGGCTGGTTTTCTAAAAAGTGCGCTTGATAGCAAGCTGCCGTACACGGACTACTTTAACATGAGCTTACTTCAGTGGCCAAGGCAAGCGAGGCGAGCGTGTCCATGATTAGATTGATCCACAACATGTGAACAGCCTAGAAATGGAAATAGAAAGGATATTCATTTTATTGAATTTCTATATGCTGGATATTACTTTTTTTTGATTTTATACGGGTTAAATATTGCTTTTCATCTGTTATCTGATTGAAACCTTTAGCGGTGAATCGGAAACGGCGACAGCTCCGACAAACGCTGTGATCACGGCCACCACATTGACGGTCAATTGGAATTGAAGGAATTTCGCGATCGAGTCATACACATTTCGACCCCACATCACTGCCTGTAAATTGGATTTGATTGGCGACAAAACTGAACATCTCTAGCTATCGTAAAGAACCTAAAGAGTGTCGTATTTTCTCAAACTCTTTTTGTTTAAGTTTTTTCCTTTTTTGCCATTAGCAATCTAACTTTGAGCTCAAATATCTTGGTGTTGAGCTGTTCAATTTAAATATTCTTGATATCATTAGATGCGCCAATTCTTTCTCTGTCGATTGATACAAAAACTATTTAAATTGAATAGCTCAACATCAAGAAATTTTGAGCTTAAAGTTAGCCATTGACAAAAAGGGTGGAGGGGTCTAGATAATTTACAAGCTTTAGCCAAGTAACAAGCTTTTTTACCTTGACAATCGACGTGAAATTATCATCGGTGAGGATGATATCCGATGCTTCTTTGGCCACATCCGTTCCCGCGATTCCCATCGCAAAACCGACATCGGCTTTTTTCAGCGCCGGTCCATCGTTTGTTCCATCACCTGTCACGGCGACGATTTCCCTGAAACTCGTTGATTTGTTTTTATCCACTCTCCAACTCTACCGTTGTGCTGTCGCTTTCGAATCGATAATTCCCTTCACCAATGTGTATTTGTCAGCTGGCTAAAGAAGTCAGATTTAGTTTTAAAAGTCAGAAAATCATGTAGAGGATAAATTATTGATAAACCGATTTACATGTCATGACTTATGTCTAGATGTGGGATTATGGTCGAGGCTAACCTGAATTTTTGGTCCTAGAGAAACAGCCCTAATCCAAGTTCATTACCAAAGACCCACCTGTGCCCTAGCCAGCACTCTCAACCTCGGCCAGATCTCGTCGAGTTTCTCTTGAACGACTTTTCCCTCTTCATCACGAATTCTGAAAATAGAAAATTTTGTTAACAGACACCAATTCTTAATTCAATAACCAACCGTTGATTGAAATCCTTTCCTTCGAGAGCCAAAAAATCATCACCCGGTTCGAGGATTTTGCATGAACGAGCGATAGCTCGAGCCGTATCGATGTTGTCACCAGTAACCATTCGAACTAAATCGAAGGCATTTATTTAAAAGTTTTTACTTATACTTGCTTTTCAACTTGCGTACTTTGTGCTTAAACATGGAAACGCACCCTTTCTAGTGCACTGAACAAAGATTCATTAATCTTTCTTCATTTTTTGAGCTCAAAACACTTCTTAAAGATTTTTACAGTTTCCCCAGCCTTACCAGTGATCCCAGCTCGTCGGCATTTCTCGATGGCGGCTGGAACTTCCGCGCGAACCGGATCCTAGAATAAATATTAGAAATTTGATATTAGGCTAGGAAAATCCGAAATCAAATTTCAAAACAAACTTGAATTCCGCAAAGTGCAATGCCGACAAAACGGGCGTTCATCTCATCTTCATCTTCCCATTTGATGTCCTCATCTTTCTCGAAGGGAATCTGAATAGGAGATTGGAAATTATTAGTTGAATAGTTGTCTCGTGTCAAACCAAGCTACAAGTCTTGGCAAATAGTCTCGAAGCCAGGCTTGGACCCGACTTCTGTTCCGGTTTTGTCTATTCTTTATTCAATCTAGAGTGGGGATCGAACTTGTGAGGTCTCGCTCTGGAAAAGAACGCTGTCTCGCTCGGGCACGACTGCACCGAATCGGGTCCGCAAGGAGGCCGCTAAGACCACATTTTCAGAGTCCTAACAAAACTTTAGGCGCTTATAACTCCTGACAGATTGTGATTTAACAAAAACGGAATACGTATTCGGAAGCAGCATCAAATTCTGCGTCGAATGGCTATTGGTCGCATAGCATCTGGCCAGCTCGATCAGTCTTTATCTTTTCCCTACCTCAATCGGCTCAGCTTCACGAGCTTCGGCTCGGACATAATCCTTGTACGCAATACAAATTGTTCTCAATCCATTTCCGGCCATTTTCGAGATCACCGTCTCATTGATCTGAATTGAAAATCTCTTGATCTACTAGATTTGAGATTTATATTTGTTAGAACAAATGTTTACCTCTTCAAGTCGATCTCTCGAGAAAGGATGTGGACCACCGTCGGCACCAATCAAAAATGAGCATCTAAATTTTGCTATGAATTCCGCTCATTTCAATTGAAGTTTTCAAGTTCTTTTAATTCAAACACCCATCATAACAGTACTCATCAAAGTACCACTACCATACCTTCCAAGCACGATCTCCGAGGCTCCTTTGCAGTACACTCGATATCCGATATCTTTTCCATCTTCTAACAAACGAATCACCGTCATCATGCATTTGCGAGACGAGTTGAAAGTGTAAACCTGAATTTTATGGAAATAATTGATGCTACCGTACTTATTCAATAAATATATCAGCTAAGAATGAATCTAGCACTGATCCTTATCGACTCATTATCAAACCAAAATTCAAAATACAATCTCAATACAATACTCAATACAATTTTTAGTCCAGACTCGTTACGATTCACTGAAAGGATTACAGTACATCTCGATATTGTTATTTCAAATAGAATCCCCAGTGCTCACCTTGAAAAACGTTTCTTCGGGGAACTGTTTCCGTATGAGTGAATAGTCAGCACCGAGAGTTTTCACGAATCCCAGTAGACCGCATTCCGTTTTGTTGCCGAGTTGTTGAACTTGTTGGCCAGCCTGGAAAGATATTCTTTTAAAACTAAGAATCATTTATATAGTTCACCTTTGTCGGTTGAACGATTTGCGACGAGTAAGCGGAATTGATCGAGATGGCCTTTGTGAGGAGATCGTTCGTGTTCCCAGGCAAATTCGCGCCTTTTGGTTGCTGATCTTGTCCCTCGTAGTGATTACCTAACAATATTGAAAATGATATTCAATTAATCGAATTACCATTAACATATGAATCGACGACGGTCATCCGATTTGTGGTCAGTGTTCCCGTTTTGTCCGAGCAAATCGACGTCGCATTGCCCATCGTCTCGCAAGCGTCCAAATGACGAACCAAATTGTTATCGAACATCATCTAGATTATTGTCTAGATATTAGATAATAGGTTTTTATGGTTACTTTTCGAACGGAATAGGTGAGCGCCAGAGCGATGGCTAATGGAAGACCTTCGGGAATTGAAATCACGAGAATCGTCACGGCAATGATGAAAAATTTGACGAAGAACTGAAGAATAGGTTTTGGGTTTTATGGTTCTCTTATATAATAACTCACAGCGACATGACTCAAATCGAAGGGTTTCCCCTCTTTCACATAAGTGGTGATCGTGAAACGAGTGATCAAGACGACGAGAGCAACCAAGGCAACGGTTGTACCTGAAAGAAATCATACCATAGCTTTAATGATAAAATCCAGAATTTGTCATAAATAAATCTATAGATCCAACTTACCACAATAGATAATCTGAAGAGCCAATTTCGAGAGTTTGCTTTGAAGAACGGATTTCGCGCACAAATCATCCGTGTCGGCCGACGATGAGGATTTTGAGGAGGAACTGGAAAATGATGGTTTAGGTTTAGATAATATAGATAAAATATAATAAATCTAGATAATAAGCCTATAATAAAGCTTTATTATCTTACCTGCTTCCCGATGAGCTTGAGGAACCGGAGCTTGACGATGATGAGGAAGAGGAAGAGCTTGAGGTGGCTAAAAGATTAAGAATTCTAACGTTTTAACGGATTCCACAACAACCATCTTATCTAAAAGATTCTGGAAATGCTTATTATAAGTAGACGATTAGATCGTTTTAAATGTGCTTAGTGACTTACATTTCGCGTCATCATCCTCTCCATCGGGACCTTTGCCCGCTCCCAGCAACATCATGATGATCCCGGTTTGTGAATTCACTCCCACAGCTGTCACCAACATTTTCCCCGATCCCTCCATTGCGTATGTTCCCGAGAGAAGCACTGGATCACTCTCGACACTCTTCTTGATGTGATCCGATTCACCGGTGAGCGCCGACTCGTCCACTTTGAAGTCGTTGCCTGGAATTTTACACAATTGCACAATTGCACTCAATGATTGCAAACTTTTTACAGTATTGTAAACTTTAAACTTTAAATACTTAAAACTCTGTTGTCACTCATCACCGTAATCATTTCAATTTTTCAAGCCAGCAGATCAATCTGGACTAGGTAAAGTCACAGAAACATTGCGCTTCTGCTCAAAAATTTCCCCCAAGCAAACCTTGCAGAAGAAATCCATCGGCTGGCATCAAATCTCCGTATTTCACGCGCAAAATGTCACCGACAACGATTTCACTGAAAATTTTTAGACATAAACAGATTAAGGATCGTTTTTTTTCAAACCTGACAGCGATATCGAGCGCCTCGCCATCGCGGATACACGAAAATTTGTGGCCGGTTTCGATTTTTGCCTGGAAACCATAAATAAAACCAAATAAGATTTAACAAGATAAAAACTTTGTTTTTTTTGTAAATCAAAATTTCGATAATTTGGCTAGAGTATTTTAAGATTTTGTGTACCTGAAGACTTCGAAATTGTCGCTCCTTGGAGAAATCGTTGAGCGCAGTCACGAGCACCACCACCACTACGCAAATCAAAATCGCGACACCTGAAGAAAAAAAGAAATAAATTTTGATAAACGATAGCTCTTAAATCAAAGTTACATATGCAATCTACTTATTTTCAATTAATTTCCTGAATTCCTAAAGCTCTAGATCTCTTTGTACCTTCAATCCAAGCACTTCCATGCCCATTCTCCTTTGATTCTTCGTCGGTTTGATTCTGAGCGGCGAACATCGGTTGGGTTGAATTTGAATCTAAATTTGCATTAATATATCAAAATATTATTAGATAATATTAGATAATATGTAAAATTTACCAGTCGTAAAATTCGATGCCCCAATCGCAGTCGTGTTCCCGGGATGGATGATCGCCTCGGTGGGCGGATTGTAGAAGGAAAGCGCGAGCGAGAAAAAACCCGAACACACCAGGATGATCAGGGTTGGGTCCTAAAATATTAGATGTGAAATTATTTTGAATTAATTTAATGTATATGGAAATTTTTGAAACTAATTTCCCTTACCCTGCACGCATTCCAGACGAGCTGCCAGAAGTTCTTGCTTTTCGCCGGCGGAATCGTGTTTGCGCCGAATTTTTTCCTGAAAAATCGGGCTTTTCGATTAGATCAAATATCTAGATAATTTTATTTACATATTTAGATTTAAACTCTACATATTTAGATTTAGAATTTTGACTTTTAACTCAAACTTTTTTACCTTCGATGCTCGAGAATGGCCGCCTCACTGGAGAGTCCTTTGGACGGGTCAACTCTTAACTTTGCGCATAAACCGTCCAATCCATCGTGCTCCGTGCTCAACTAAAATTAGATATCAGATATTAGATCTAAGGTCAAAGAATATTATTAAAATAAGAATAGATTTCATTTCTAAAAACGAACCCTGACGATCGCTTCAGCTCCGCGAGCCTCCATGAGAGAGCGCAACTCAGTGAGGGAAACGGTCGGCTCCGATACATGAGTACTCTAAAAGGAATTGAATTCTAAAAGATATTCAATTGA